CATACTTCATGTGAGTTTATGTGAAAATCACCAACACAGCATCATTTTAGAAAGACGATGTTAAAGACAAAAATATTCTTCATCAAATTTCATAACAAGTTACCAAAGAAAAAAATCTCAATTTCCACCACATATCAGGAAAATATTTGCATCAATGTTTTTCAAAAAAAAAATATTTTCTAAATTTTTTGGATAATTTTTTAGACTTTTTTCGAGTTGATGCCTGAAAGTAGCATAAAATTTCGTCTTAGGCGGAAGATGTTAAAAGAAGAAATATTCTACACAAAATTTCATTACAAATCTCAGAATAAACCATATAGCTTGGTACTATGGGTTTCAAGAAAATTACATTCGAAATGTAGGTGCTATAAGTAAAAATTATGTGCTTGCTTTTTTCACTGTTAATTGAACACGTTTTCGATCCAAGTCAAAATCTCCTTTGTACTTCATTTTTTTGGTGACAGTGTCAAAGGAAGAATTATTCTAGATCAAATTTCATTGTGAGTCCCTGCACAAACGAAATTTGTATATTTCATAGGTACCATGAAAAACTATAATTAATTTTAGTTAATAAAAACCTTATTTCTGATTTCACTGCACAATAGCCTAAGTCTGAGTTATGACTAATTTCAAGTAGACACAATAGAACTCGTTTTTAGAGTTTTAAAATATTTTTCCAGGGTATTTAAGTGGTTGCCAAAAGTAGATTTTCAAAATATATCCGCAAGGATTATTAAGAATTATTCTAAAATATTTTCTTAAGCATTATCAGAGCCACGAAATGTGGATTTTTGCATATTTTTTCGCAGCAATTTGTTTTGGTATTTAACATATATTCTGAGAAAACATTTATGATTTATACATATGTCATTGACACAATTCCCACACATACCACACACCTGCATACTACACACATATGTACATGCATGCGTGTATGTGGTCAACATCTCTGTAAATGACAACTAAAACAAACAAAAAACATTTATGACATGTAATTCCATGTCACCCATCGGCACATTTCCGACTCTCCAAACAAATACTTAAATACTTCATTATTTTGACGCAATAAATGACGTCAAATATTGCTGCTGCTGTTGTTGTAAAGTAGCGTCACTAATTAGTTTGAGCCGTTGTCGCAAGTCAACAAAATAAACAAAGATTGGCGGAGTAAGAGGTGGGGAATAGGGAGGGTATCTGCAAATGACCATAAAACACGCAAGCCGGCTTCTTCAAAAGACAAAAATTCCGGTAGCAATTCGAACCTCAAAAATGGCATTTAAGTAATTGACAATATTTGTTTTTTGGTGTTGTTAAATGTGTTGTTTGTGCTATTTTTGTTGTTGTTACTTATATGCGAGTGAGGAGGGGAATTTTGACAAATTTATGGCATGGAAAATAATCTAAAAATGGGAGGACGTTTGTGGGTCTTTTTTAGAAAAAACAGATAAAAAAGCTGTAAGTACGGCCGGGCCGAACTTTGAATCCGTTAAAAATTCTGTTGAAATCTTAAAAATAACGAATGTAGCCGTTATATAAGGCTCTATACAACGACGTGGAACTGAATAGGCAACTTTTGTCATAAGCCTTTTGAATATTCAAATGTGAAACTTGAAAAAAAATCGGAGAATAATGTAGCTAAAATCATCAAAATACCGAATGTCGGAAAGTACCATTATATGGAGGCTATACGAAGACGTTGACCTGCACAGACAATTTTCTGTCACAGGCTGTAGTATCCATTACGAACTTCAAATGATAAATTTGAAACAATTTCGGTGACTAATGCCGCTTAAATAACCAAAATACCGAATATCGGGAGGTACCATTATATGGGGGCCGTACGAAGGCGTGGATCTGCACGGGCAATTTTCTGTCATAGGCTGTAGTATCCATTACGAACTTCAAATACCAAATTTGAAACAATTCCGGGGACTAATGTCGCTTAAATCATCAAAATATCGAATATCGGGATGTAATATTATATGGGGGCTATACCAAAACGTGGACCTACATGACCCATTTTCAACACCAAAAGTCCTACAGACATAATATACATTTGAGTAAAATTTTAACAACCTACCTCATTTCGTTCGGAAGCTAAAGTGACTTCCACAGACGGACGGACATCGCTAAATCGACATAGAATTTTATGCTGATTTATTGTGGGGTCTAAAATGTATATTTCGGGGTGTTACAAACGGAATGACAAACATATTATGGTGGAGGGTGTAAAAGGTCTTGTATTCATAGAAGACTTTCTGTAGGTCTTGAAGACTTTTTATGGCTTTTCTGTGGCTCTTCTTTGTATAGAAGACCTTATAGAGGTCTTCTATAAGTAGAAAAACGTATAGGGGTCTTCCCCGGATAGAGGACCTTGTAGTGATCTTCTTTGGATAGAAGAGCTTATACATGTCTTTTTTTTTGGATAGAAGACCTTGGATGGAAGACCTTATATAGATCTTCTTTGAACTTTAAAAATACCGTATATAGGTCTTTTTTGGATAGGAGACTTTCTATAGGTCTTCTTTAAATGGCAGGTCTTCGTTTTTGGAAAGAAGGCCTCATATAGTTCATATTTGGATAGAAGACCTTATAGAGGCCTTTTTTTTTGGATAGTATACCTTCTATAGAACTACAGGTCTTCTAAGGTACCCTGAAGGTATTCAACAGATTGTAGGCCTCGTCAAATTTTAAGTGAAATTACATTACTAAGACCTCCCATAATCTCCCGAGGCCTTCTATAGGTATCCCATAACCATCCCAACACCATGCACTGGAAGGCTTTATATAGGTCTTCTTTGTATAAAAGACCTTATATAAGTCTTTTTTTGGATAGCAGACCTTCTATAGATCTTCTTCAGATAGAACGGCTTCTGTAAGTTTTCTTTGGATAGAAGACCTTATATAGGTCGTCCTTGGATAGAAGACCTTATAAAGAAATGTTTCGGATAGAATACCTTCTGTAGAGATATAGGTCTTCTAAGGTACCCTGAAGGTATTCAACAGATTGTAGGCCTCGTCAAATTTTAGTGAAATTACGTAGGACCTCTAAGACCTCCCATAATCTCCCAAGTCCTTCTATAGGTCTCCCATAACCATCCCAATACCATGCATTGTAAGACCTTATAAAGGTCTTCTTTGGATAAAAGACCTTATATAGGTGGGGTTTTTTTTTTTTTTTTTTTTTTTTGGATAAAAGACCTACTATAGGTCTTCTTCTGATGGAACGTCTTCTGTAAGTCTTTTTTGGAAAGAAGACCTAATATATGTCATCTTTGGATAGAAGATCATATAAGGGTCTTTTTTGAATAGAATGCCTTATACACAACTATAGGTCTTCTAAGGTTCCCTATAGGTCTTCTACAGATTGTAGGCCTCATAAATTTTTTAGTGAAATTACATAGAACCTCTAAGACCTGCCATAACTTTTCAAGACCTTCTATATTATCTCTCATAACCATCCAAACACCATGAACTGTAAGACCTTATATCGGTCTTCTTTGGATAAAAGACCTTATATAGATGTTTTTTTTTTTTTTTTTTTTTTGGATAGAAGACCATCTATAGGTCTTCTTCTTCTAAGATCTTCTATGGGAGGTCTTCTATAAGACTTTTTAGAAAAGAAGTTCTTGTGTAGGTGTTCTTTGGATAGAAGACCTTATAAAGTACTTATTTGGATAGAATACCTTCTATAGAACTAATGGTCTTCTAAGGTGCCCTCAAGGTCTTCTACAGATTGTAGGCCTCATCAATTTTTAGTGACATTACATAGGAACTCTAAGACCTCTCATAACTTCCCAAGCCCTCCTATAAGTCTCCCATAATCATTCCAACACTATGCACTGTAAGACCTTATATAGGTCTTCTTTGGATAAAATACCTTATATAGGTGCTTTTTTGGATAGAAGACCTCCTATAGGTCTTCTTTTGCTAGAACGTCTTCTGTAAGTCTTTTTTTGGAAATAAGTTTATTATAGGTCCTCTTTGAAGATAAGTCTTTTTTGGATAGAATACCTTCTATAGGACTATAGGCCTTCTAAGGTGCCTGTAAGTCTTCCACAGTTCGTAGGCCTCATCATATATTTTTTTTTTTTTTTTTTTTGAAATTGCACAGGACCTCTAAGGCCTCCCATAACTATTAAAGGCCTTCCGTAGGTCTCCCACAACCATCCTCATAACGGCACTGTAAATCCATCCGCCTGAACATCTGGGCATTGTTGTCGACTTAGTTTTCAAAAAAAAAAAAAAAAAAAAAAAACAAAAAAATATATATAATTATTTATCACATATTTTTCTTGTTGTTTTTGTAGTTGTTGTTGTTGTATTTTCTAAGTCACTTAATGATAATTGATAATCATAACTGCCTCCCAGGCGGACAATGGCAATGACCACTAAATGTTTTTTTTTTTTCTACGACATTTAATTTATTTACTTCTGCTATTTGGTATACAAGACACATACACATTTACATATCACCAACTGGCAACAAGGCAACCCAGCGAACATTTTTAGGGGAAATTCGAAGAAAATCGATTGCCAATATTGAAATTGAAACTGATATGAAAACCATGATTATGGATTGGATATACGAATATGACCGACAAATATATTGATGAGAAAGATTGGTAGATATTTGAAGAGAAGTCGTATGTCTAAGTTTATCTACTTCCGGATTTTTTTTGGAATAAATATTGGAACTTTTAAAATGTCTACAAAGAATTGTTAGGAAAAATTGTTTGTTGGACCTAAAACCCTAGAATGTGTCATTGCAGATAGAAAATACTTGCGGCATGGATAGGTGAAGGGGTGGGTTGTGTTTGACTATTTACGTTGTAAAATTTTCAAAACAAAAATTTTGTATGCAAACGTTTTTTTTTTTCCTTTCCGTTTCGAATTTTCTCTTCGTTGTCATTAAGCATAATGTATTTTTAATGGACTTTGTAATTTGTTAATAATGTTTTTTCCGTTTTTTTTTTTTTTGTTCTTTCCTCTCATTACAGTTGTCATAATGTGTGCCGATCCCCAGTCAATCAGGCAAATCATGTTAACGGCCGAAGAGTTGAATATGATCGATAGTGGTGAATATGTTTTCATCAATATTGAACTGTTTTCAAGGTGAGTTTAGAAAAAAACTGAATAAAAAACAAGTGAAGAAGTGCCTAAATTTGGCCGGGCCGAAGTTATAATATCCTCCACGATTTGGAAGGAAATTAAATTTTTTTTTAAAAAATTTCGTAGAAATACAGGATGAGATGAAAAAAATGCAATCAACTCCAGACTGCTGTCATTTCTAAGCCACTCATCCGACAGCTATTAAATTTATTCCAGTGATAGCTCATTATATTGTTTACAAGCGTACAAAAGTATTTTGGTGAGAATTTTTCAGGAAAAAAGTTATTCGTGATGGAATTTAAGCGTGATAGTGTGATTTCTTTATATTTGGCTGGAAAACCACAAGTGGCTGTCGCTAGAGCACTCCAGCATTAAAATGTGAATAAATCGTTTGCTGAATAAATCGCTCGTTACCGTGATACTGGTAGCGTAGCCCGACGTCAAGGAAGTGGACGGAAGAAAATAGCAACATCAGCAGAAATGGTTGGAAAAGTGAAGAAGCGACTTGATCGAAACCCGCGTCGCAGTGGCCGAAAAATGGCTCGTGAGTTGAACATATCGCAATATTCCATTCGGCAAATATTGAAAAATGAGCTCGGGGTAAAGCCAATTGAAATTCCAAAAAGTGCAAGAACTTGCACCGCAACAGAAAAAACCAGTAAGGAAAGCTCAAAAGTCGGGCGGGGCCGACTATATGATACCCTACACCACTATGCATATTTAGTAGAGCTCTCGTAAAAAGGTTTATACAGGGCATTTCAGAGCTCTATGCGATATTTGGTACAAAATCAAAATCTATCTAATTCTATCGTGCATTTTACGAACTATAGCTATCTTTGAACCGGGTTTCTCCAAATTTGACGTATTAGCTTCTAGACTGAATTCGGTCTTATGTACGAAAATTCAGGTGATTTGGGCTGATATTGGCCATTTGTTGCACAATTAACACGAAATCGGATGAAGATACATGTAGGTGCTATATCCAAATCTGAACAGATTTTGATAAAATTAAAATCGACTATTTTTGGGCTTTATCTGATATCTGGTACCAAATATCATTCCTGTGGAGTGCATATTACGAATGTGAGGGACTTAAAGACCAAATCGGATGAAAGATATATATAGGAGCTATAGCTATATCTGAACCGATTTTTACTAAAATTGGCTGGTTTCGGTTGAGTTTGCCAAAATTCATGCCATTTGGGCTGATATTGGCCATTTGATGCACAATTAACACGAAATCGGATGACGATATATATGGGAGGCATATCCAAATCGGAACAGATTTTAATAAAATTAAAATCAACTATTTTTGGGCTTTATCTGATATCTGGTACCAAATATCATTCCTGTGGAGTGCATATTACGAATGTGAGGGACTTAAAGACCAAATCGGATGAAAGATATATATGGGAGCTATAGCTATATCTGAACCGATTTTTACTAAAACTGGTGTACTTGCTTCTAAGCTGGTTTCGGTCGGATTTGCCAAAATTGATGCTATTACGGCCATTTGGTGGTCAATCACCCGAAATCGGATGAAGATATATATGGGAGCTATATCCAAATCTTAACCGATTTCGATAAAAATTTAAAACAGCTATTCCTGTGCTCCATCTAATACTTGGTACCAAATATCACGGTTGTGGAGTGAATATTACGAATGTAAGGGACTAAAACACTAAATCGGATGAAACATATATATGGTTGCTATATCTATATCTGAACCGATTTTCACTAAATTTGATATACTTGCTTCTAGGCTGAATTTGGTCCGATGTACTAAAATTCAGTCCATTTTGACTTATATCGGCCATTTGGAGCACAATTAACCCGAAATCGGATGAAGATATATATGGGAGCTATATCCAAATCTGAACCGATTTTCTCCAAATTTGTTGTATTTGCTTTAAGGCTAATCTCGGTCACATGTGCCAAAATTCGGGCCATTTGGGCTGATATTGGCCATTTGGTGGTCAATTAACCCGAAATCGGATGAAGATATATATGGGAGCTATATCCAAAACTGAACCGATTTCGATAAAATTTAAAACAGCTATTTCTGTGCTCCATCTAATACCTGGTACCAAATACAACGGTTGTCGAGTGCATAGTAGGAATGTGAGGGTCTTAAAGATCAAATCGGATGAAAGATATATATGGGAGCTATAGCTATATCTGAACCGATTTTCTCCAAATTTAATATACTTGCTTCTAGGCCGAACTCGGTTGGGTGTGCCAAAATTCAGGTAATTTGGACTGATAGTGGACATTTGGTGCACATTTAACCCGAAATCGGATGAAGATATATATAGGAGCTATATCTAAATTTGATCCGATTCTCACCAATTTCAATAGGGTTCGTCCTTGGGCCAAAAAAATATTGTTTGGAAAATTTCATCTCAATCGGATAATAAACGCGACCTGCATTTTGTTCACAAGAATACATGGACAGACGGACAGACGGACGGACGGACGGACAGACGGACTGACATCCATAAATCGACTCAGAAAGTGATTCTATGAAGGTTCTCAAAAGTAACTATGGGTCTATCTCGTTTCCTTCTCCATGTTACAAACAAATGCACAAAGACATAATACCCTAACCAATATGTGGTGTAGGGTATAAATAGACTCAAAAGAGATAAAGAATTGATTCGCTTGGCCGAAAGTGGTGAACTGCCGAATTTGGTTTTTTCTCTCTCTCCGATGAGAAAACATTCGTTGTCCAGTCGTTTGTAAACCAACAAAATGATCGTGATTACTTGCCAAAGAGTTCAGCAGAAAATGTGCACCTTTGGTTGGCCATCAGAACTCAAGAGCCGGCCATGTTGATAGTGTGGTCCGCCATAACAGCCGAAGGTCGCTCTCCGATCGTATTAATCGACCGTGGCATCAGAGTAAATGCTGAATATTTTCGCCGGCCATGGTGATGGTGTGGGCTCCCATAACAGCCGATGGTCGCTCTCCGCTCGTATTAATCGACCTTGGCATCAGAATAAATGCCGAATATTTTTGCGAAAATATTCTGGAGGGTGTATTAAAGCCTTGGGCACGCAAACCTGTTGGCCGCAGAACTTGGACATTCCAACAGGACCATGAGCACCATCGCACTCAGAACGCCCCACCACCCAAGAATGGTTACTAAATGAGGTTCCTCGCTTCATTTCCAGCGCAAAATGGTCACCAAAATCTCCGGATACCAATCCGTTGGACTATTGTGTCTGGAGTATTTTGGGAAAGCAAGGTTGGCACTAAAAAATACCAAAGTGTCGATCACCTCAAGCAAAAGACTCACCGGGAGTGGGCCAAAATACCGTAGAGCAACATTCGGGCAGCGTGTGATGGTTTCAGTGGCCGCTTGAAGGCCGTAATTCGTGCCTAGGGTGACAAATTCGAACAAATCTAAACTTATTCTAAGATTTGATGCTATTTCGACATTTTTTGCTTTCATTCAATAAAATTAAAAAAAAAAAATGTCAAAATTATGGCGTTAGACTTTGTTGCAGTTTTTTTTTATCTCACCCTGTATACCGAAATTAAGCCTAGCGAATATCCTGTAGCCATGCTTAATGGCGTCTAAACAGTCTATCTCCATTGCTGGACGACGAGGCAGGGATTCTATTCATATACCAGCTGGCTGACTTGCCGGGGAGTCTATTCAGAGACGAGCTGGCTGGGATCCCAAGGAGATGGCTTGCCAGCCAGGCACGCCACCTCTAATAATCCTTAAAAACATGTTCTAAAAATCCCCATATGACTTTCTTCAAGAACCCTTTAAAAAAAATATAAAAAATCCACTATTGGCGGCTCTGAAGGATTTTGAAAAAAATATTTTAAAATTCCCGTTAAAAATCCTTAAAAAAAATATTTAAAAATTTCACATTGGGTGGCTCTAGTAATTCTAGAAAAAATATTTTCAAAATTCACTTTTATGGCTCTAATAATCCCAGAAAGAAATGTTTAAAAAAATAAAATAAATAAAAAATGGCTAACGGGTCAGGTTGTCTATATCCATAGAAGAGATGGCTGGCATGTCAGCTCTAATAATAATCCTTGAAAACATGTTCTAAAAATCCCCATTTGACTGTCTTCAAAAATCCTTTAAAAAGTATTTTAAAAAATTCCTCTTTTGGTGGCTCTTAGGTTTTTTTTTTTTTTTTTTTTTTTTTGAAAAAAAAAAATCTAAAAAGCCTTGAAAAAAATTATAAAAATTTCACGTTTGGTGGCTCTAAAATCCTTGAAAAAAATATTTATTTAATCCTCTTTTGTGGTTTAAATAATCCCGGAAAAAAATATTTAAAAAATTTAGATTTTTTTTTTGGGTGAAATAATCATTGAATAAATATTTATAAAATATCCAAATTTGATGGCTCTAAAAAATATTCTTAAAATCTCCCATCTCCTGGCCCCAAAAACCTCTTAAAAATTCTCTCTTGGTAGCTATAATAGATTTTGAAAAAAAATATTTTAAATTCTCTGTTTCTAAAAATCTTTGAAAAAAAATATTAAAAAATTTAAAGTTGTCATCCGAAGGAGTCTATCTCCATAAAAGAACTAGCTCCACAGACGAGATGGCTGGCAGGCCAGGTTGTCTATACACATAGGCCTGCCAGCTCTAATAATCCTTATAAAATATTAAAAAATTTCACGTCTGGTGGCTTTAAAATACTTGAAAAAATATTTATTTAATCCTCTTTTTGAAATTTAAAAAATTTAGGTATTTAAAAAATGTAGTTTTTTTGGGATGGCTCTAAAAATATTCTAAAAATCCCCCATCTGCTGGCCCCAAAAATCCTCTTAAAAATTCTCTCTTGGCGGCTATAATAAATTTTGATAAAAAAATATTTTAAAATTTCTGTTTCTAAAAATCTTTAAAAAAATATTAAAAAATTTAAAGTAATTAAAAATATCCACATATAGTGAAAAATATTTTTTATATATTTAAATCCCCTTTTGTTGGATTTTTGAATTCTTCCTGATCATTTTTTTCCTCATCTGTATTGCCCTACACTTTGATTCCACAAATGGTTAGCAATATGCCCCGATAATTATCTCTAATAAAATTTCAAGTTGGATGAATTTTTTTTTAATTACCATTCGAACCTAATTACCGCAATAAAAAGGGCATTTAAATGTTTTCGAATTCAATTGAAGGGCAGTGGGGAGGGATTGGATGTTCTCTATAGGAGAACGTGCACTGCTACAATGTTTATAATTAGTTGAGAGAAAGAAAAAAGATTTACAGTGAAAATTTATTTGTTTACAATTTAATTTTAGTAATTCAACAGTTCGTTTGAATACACACACAGACATACACACCGATAGACATATGTATGTACATACGTATGTAACATATCATTCATTCAGCTCGAAATGGACAAATTGAGAAAATGCCAAATTAAAGGATGAGCGGTGTCGTTGAAAAAAAGTGAAAGTATTTTCAATGCCAGAGAAAAACAAAAAAAAAAGATCTGAAATGTAAAGGTGCCAAAATTGAAACTGAACAAAATATGTGATGTTGAAAATCAAGGTATTCAAGGGGTATTTAGGCAATTTTTCTTTGAAAACAAATAAAAAGGCAGTAAGTTCGGCCGGGCCGAACTTTGAATACCCTCCACCATTTCGAATGATTTTGGCAATTTTCAAAAAAAAAAAAAATAAATAAATAAAATCCGTTGAAAATTCTGTTATGATCCTAAAAATACCAAATGTAGTCGTTATATTAGGGTCTATACGACGAAGTGGACCTGCATAGGCAACTTTTATCATAAGCCATTACAATATTCAAATGCGAAACTTGAATAAAAAAATTCGGTAAATAATATAGCTAAAATCACCAACAAATTCCGAATAAAAACGGTACACCCCGTTACATTGGGGCTATATGAAGACGTGGATTTGCACAGACAATTTTCTGTCATAGGCTGTAGCATCCGTTACGAACTTCAAATACCAAATTTGAAGCGATTCCGTCGAATAATGTAGCTAAAATCATCAAAATACCTAAAATCGGGAGGTACCGTTAAATGGGGGCTATACGAAGACGTGGACCTGCACAGATAATTTTCTGTCATAGGCTGTATTACCTATTATGAACTTCAAATACCAAAATTGAAACAATTCCGGTAATTAATGTCGCTAAAATCATCAAAATACCAAATATAGGGAGGTATCGTTATATGGGGCTATACGAAGATATACCAAAAGTCCTGCAGACATAATACAAATTTGAGTAAAATTTTATTAACCTACCTCATTTCGTTCGGAAACTAGAGTGATTTCCACAGACGGATAGACGGGCGAACATCGCTAAATCGACATACAATTTTATGCTGATTAAGAATATATATACTTTGTGGGATCTAAAATGTATATTTAGAGGTGTTACAAACGGAATGACAAACTTAATATACCCTCCATACTATACTTCAGCTCGCCTATAGAGACTCGCCGATGCCTTCAGCTCGCCTATAGAGACTCGCCGATGCCTTCAGCTCGCCTATAGAGACTCGCTGACGCCTTCAGCTCGCCCATAGAGACTCGCTGACGCCTTCAGTTCGCCTATAGAGACTCGCCGATGCTTCAGCTCGCCTATAGACCCCTCGCCGATGCTTCAGCTCGCCTATAGACCCCTCGCCGATGCTTCAGCTTGCCTATAGACCCCTCGCCGATGCTTCAGCTCGCCCATAGACCCCTCGCCGATGCTTCAGCTCGCCTATAGACCCCTCGCCGATGCTTCAGCTCGCCTATAGACCCCTCGCCGATGCTTCAGCTCACCAATAGACCCCTCGCCGATGCTTCAGCTCGCCTAGAGAGACTCGCCGATGCCTTCAGCTTGCCTAGAGAGACTCGCCGATGCCTTCAGCTCGCCTATAGAGACTCGCCGATGCCATCAGCCCGCCTATGGTGACTCGCCGATGTTTCAGCTCGCCTATGGTGACTCGCCGATGCTTCAGCTCGCCTATGGTGACTCGCCGATGCTTCAGCTCGCCTATAGAGACTCGCCGACGCCTTCGGCTCGCCTATAGAGACTCGCCGATGCCTTCGGCTCGCCTATAGAGACTCGATGCCTTCAGCTCGCCTATAGACCCCTCGCCGATGCTTCAGCTCACCTATGGTGGAGGGTATAAAAATAATCTAGGGAATTTGAGGTTAACGGGCAATGTGACAAAATTCTTTTGAATACTTTCTGAATTGGAGTTTAACAGTTCCAAAGCTCATAATCGCCTTTACATATCGAAATTTCTATCCAACACGATTTTGAGAATTTCTGACTCAGAAAGTCATGTCACAGCAACAACAACAACACCACTTTTGTTGTTGAAAAATAAAAAATGATTTAATTACATGTTAAATGTCATCACCAAGACCCTGCAACTTAGTAGCAATACTAAAATGTTTTAATGGCAAACATCAACAACAACAACAGCACAGCAGCAGCAGCTACAACAATAAAATTAATTATTGCAATTAATACACGACAACTAACTAATTGTTATTAGGTGAAAATTAAAAACAAACTAAATTTTTTTATAAATTTTTTTTATAAAAAAAAGTTTATTTCTATGCCTCAATAATTCAAAATTTTCTCTCTCTCTCCCTCTTTTCAGATCCCCCGATTTAACATCCAAGCCATGGTATGATAAAAACGATACGGTCGAAAACAATGAACGTGCCCGCAAGGCCTATACAGCCATGTTGACGGTAACACCCAAGCAACCGGATGATGAGGAATATACCAAAGTTTCGGATAAGGTAAGCACTCCACCCTTCTCATCCATCAGCTCTTCTCCCTACACAACTCACACAAATCAATGCGTATAAATAAACAAAAACTAAAACAAAACAAAAAAACAAAATTAAAGTAAAATTTTCAACGAAATCTTAGAATTGCAAATAAACAATAACCAGAAGATGAGCCAAAAAAAAAAACGTGACATAACAACAGCCTCAGCATTAACCCGAAAAAAATATGAAAAACAATTGTTTAAACAACAAGAATGGAGGACAAGTGGCCAACAGACAGACGTACCGACAGACATACATCAACGTCAGATGCCAATACTTCAGCACCATTTGGAATTTAAGTTTTTAAGGGTGGCCGACAGCAAAAAATATAAAAAAAAGACTAGCAGTCTTCTTGTCATTTGGTTGGGAATAAATAGTTTACAAAAAAATCTAAATTGAGGCTAAATAGGAAGTTTTAATTAGCCAGGTGATATAGGGTGTATATGGAAGATCAGAAGAGTCAACGCATCAATTTTGATGATATAGAGGTCCATTGATACTACTCCACATTAGGGCAAGAGAATATTCGTTAGAAGGGCTTACTGGCACCCAAGGGAGACTATTTTCCAAATTAGAGCTATCAAATATCTCGTAAATAAATAAATGGCTCCTAAGCAATCTATATCCATTGCTGGATGAAGAGGCCGGGATTCTCTATTCGCCCAGGAATGCTTGGGCGCCATCATGTTAGTCTATGAATAGCTAACCTGGCTTGTCAGCCATAAATAACTCTCCATAGATGAGCTGGCCAATGGGACAGGCTGTCTATCTCCATATACGAGTTGGCTGACATATGGACCAGGAAGTCTATCTCCATAGACGTGCTGGCTGACACATGCGCCAGGGAGTCTATCTCCATAGAAGAGCTGGCTGGCGGGTCAGTTTATCTATCGCTATAGACGAGCTGAACGATGGGCCATGTTGTCTATCTCAATAGACGAGCTGGCTGGCCGATGGGCCATGTTGGCTATCTCCATAGACGAACTGGCTGGCGGACCAGTTTATCTATCCCCATAGACGAGCTTGGCCGATGGGCCATGTTGTCTATCTCCATACACGAGCTGCCTGACACATGGGCCAAGGAGTCTATCTCCATAGACGCGCTGGCTGGCGGGCCAGTTTAGCTATCTCAATAGACGAGTAGACTGACACATAGGCCAGGGAGTCTTCTCCATAGACGAGCTGGCTGACACATGGGCCAGGGAGCCTATCTCCATAGACGAGCTGGCAGACTCATGGGCCAGGGAGTCTATTTCTAAAGGCGAGCTGGCTGACGGATGGGTCAGGTTGTCTATCTCCATAGACCGAGGACCAGGTTGTCTATCTCCAGCCCCTCTACAGAGACTCGCTACCGCCACAAACCCTCTGCTGAGACTCGCTGATCCCTCAGCTTCTCTACAGAGACTTGCTGATCCCTTATGTTCTTTACGAAGGCTCACTGACCACTCAGCTCCTCTACAAAGGCTCACTGACTCATCAACTCCTCTAGAAAGGTTCGCTGGGGCCTCAAATCCTGTACTGAGACTCACTGACGCCACAGTTCCTTAACAGATACGCTTTGACACATCAGCTCTTCTACAGAGACTCGATGATGCTACAGCTCCTCTACAGAGTTTCTCTGAACCACTCAGATTCGCCAAAGAGGCTCTCTCAAAAATTCAGCCTCTCTACCGACACTCGCCGACGCTTCAGCTCGCCTGACGCTTCAGTCGCCTATAGAGACCCGCTGACGCTTCAGCTCGCCTATAGAGACCCGCTGAAGCTTCAGCTCGCCAATAGAGACCCGCTGACGCTTCAGATCGCCTATAGAGACCCGCTGACGCTTCAGCTCGCCTATCGAGACCCGCTGAAGCTTCAGCTCGCCAATAGAGACCCGCTGACGCTTCAGATCGCCTATAGAGACCCGCTGACGCTTCAGCTCGCCTATAGAGACCCGCTGACGCTTCATTTCGCCTATAAAGACTTACCAACGCTTCAGCTCGCCTATAGAGACTCGTCGACGTTTCAGCTCCTCTACAGAGACTCGCTGACCCGTCAACTACTCTAGAAAAAAATCGCTGTGGCCTCAGCTTTACTACTAAGACTGGCCGACGCTTCAGCTCGCCTAAAGAGGCTCACCGACGCTTCAGCTCTCCTATAGAGACCCGCTGACGCTTCAGCTCGCCTATAGAGACCCGCTGACGCTTCAGCTATCCTATAGAGACCCGCTGACGCTTCAGCTCGCCTATAGAGACCCGCTGACGCTTCAGCTCGCCTATAGAGACCCGCTGACGCTTCAGTCGCCTATAGAGACCCGCTGACGCTTCAGCTCGCCTAAAGAGGCTCACCGACGCTTCAGCTCTTCTATAGAGACTCGCCGAGGCTTAAGCTTGACTATAGAGACTCGCCTACGCTTTAGCTCGCCGATAAGTTCCTATGTGTAGTCTCGCTGAACCACCAACTCCTCTGTGTAGAGTAACTGGTCCACCAGTTCTCTGTGAAGGCTCACTGAACCACCAGCTCCGCTGCATAGACTCGTTGAATCCCTAGCTGATCTATGAATGATCGCTGGAGTTCTAACCCCTCTGTGAAGGATCACTGGACCATCAGCTCCTCTTATAAAGCTCGTTGAGCCACCAACTCATCTGAGAACTTTCATTGACCCACCAGTTCCTCTGTGTAGTCTCGCTGAGCCCTCAGCTCCTCTTTTAATATTCGCTGAGCCCCCAGTTCATCTGTGATAGCTCGCTTTCCCACTGGCTCCTCTGTGAAAAATCACTGCCAGGATCGCTGGGTCCTCCTTGTGTTACGTGACGGCTCTCTGGGCCACCAGTTCTTTTGTAAAGGCTCTTTTGTATATCCGTTTCTCTGTGAAGGTTCGGAGGGTCAAAAAATCTTCTTCGAAGATTTGCTGGGCCATTTCTGTGAAAACTCGCTGTGCCAGCTCCATTGTGAAGACCACCAGCTTCTCCGTAATGGCTCGCTGTCCCACCAGATCTGTAAAGTATTGTTGGACACCGTCTTCCCTTTGAATGATTGCTGGTCCACTAGGTAGGGAAAAACTTACTGGTCAATCTGCTCCTCTGCTATGGCTCGCCGAGTCTCAGCTCCTCTGTGAAGGCTGGATGTGCCACATGCTCCTCTGTGAAGGCTCGCTGTGCCACCAACTCCTCTGTGAAAACTTACTGCTCTTCTGTGAAAACTCACTGCTCCTCTGTGATATCTTGTTGAATCCCCAGCTCCTCTGTGAAGACTCACTGACCCACTCCAACTGAAGGTTCACCAATAACTGGGCTACTATCTGCTCTGTGAACGCTCCCTGGTTCACCAGTTCGTTTGTGAAGTCTCGCTGAGCCACTGGCTCCTCAGTGAAGCCTCCCTGTTCCACCATCTTCTCTGCGAAGACCCTATGTGCCCTCAGCTCCTCTGTTAAGGTTCGCTACGCCACCAACTCCTCAGTAAAGGCTCACTGGACAACCAACTCCTCTGTGAAAGATCGCTGGACCACTAGCTGTTCTATGAAAGTCGCAGACCCACCGGCTGCTACGAAGACTCTCTGAGACAGCAACTCACTTCTCCAAACTCCTTGCACCACCAGCTCTTCCCTTAAAATTCCTTTGTTCATCAGGAAGTTTATGAGGCATCCTCGGCCCACCAACTCCTCTTCGAACACTCCCTGTGTCTTCATTTCATGTACGAAACCTTCCTGCCACACCAGCTGAGACATCCTGTCCCAACAAGAAAACTCCTTTTCATTCATCCCTTGGAACGAAAAAAACCCTAAGCTTTTTTTAATGTCTTGATTTATGTACCTGCAATGAACTATGACCCAGGACTCCAAACAAGAACATTGCAATTTTCGAGGCAGATGGTGCCTCGAAAATGCTATAAATTCGCTAACTTTTGCTTAAATTTTATGAGCTCTCAGGTTTTTTGGGTTTGTTCTGCATGTCCTTTAACATTGTTTATCCTTTTATCTTCCTTTACGCAATATTCTATAAATCCTCGTCTAGTCATGTTAATGGAGCAGAGACAAATTAAATAATGTCGGTATGTTATTCTTCGCATTAAAACTGCATCCATCCAGGATTCAGGGACAAACTTTGGGACGGGAGGGAGAGAGTTAGAGAGAGGTGGATGGTGGTTGGTGGAGATGAAAACGCAAGAAAATCGAGTTAAACAAATAAAAAGTTTGAACAAAGTTTGCTTGGAACTTTTTTTTTCGCTGTGGCGGGTTCTTTATGGGAAAGTTGTTTTGCTGCTGCTCTTCTCTGAAGGGTTGTGGGAAATTGGGAGGGGGGCAAAAAAGTTGGTGACTGGTGGGAATTTCGCAAAAGTGGGGAGTGTTTGAATGTCAGAATGTTTTTATTGCAAATTTTAAAGGAGAACCCCAAGCTCCGCACATGTATAAGGATTTAATTTTGGTAGTCTATGAGGACTATCTAAAATCGTCTATCAACCCCCCCCTCTGCTGGGCCCTTAAGACTATAATGAGGTCCTCTTTTAGGCATTTTTAAGGACTCACTTCTGGACGTTTATAAATTCAAGTCCCTGGCCTTAGAAACGCGTTCCTCCGTTCCCCTATTAATAGCTCTTTTCCCTCCCTATTTGTGGGCCACAAACACCCTTCTGTTTTCCCTTTCCCACATTTTTCTCCCACCTCATTTGTCATTCTCTACCCTCCTGCAATTTCCATATAAAAATTATTAATATGGAAATTATAGTTGGAATGCCATCCACAATTCTTCCTCTCCCCTCACCCATGATTATTATGTAAAAGAAAATCCTGTCGATCTGCTACATTTTTTCTTTCTGCCAACACTTCCCAGAACAATTTTCACCTTCATTAAAAGTTTTCACACTTCGGAATATTTTTCTGTTTGTTTCACTTGCTGAAATCATGAATTCATTCATTCACGAAATTGTGCATTCATTAAAGGAGGGAGGAAGGGTGAGTGGGCGTCAGAGAATAGCACAGTCTTGTTAAGCAAAAATGTTCCCCCTCTGTAGGTGTAAAAATCGCATAAACGAAATTCATATTCGGTTACATTGTTCTCCGGCACTCACTCACTCAGTCGGATTTTCAATTTATGATATTCCGCTTTTTTTCCTCTTAATTCTGTTTTTACGCTTTTCCGTGGAAAATTAAAAAAAAAAATTACGAAGGAAGAGCAAGCAACGAAAGCGGGAGGAAAAAAAGGGGAAATATATTTCGCCTGATGGTTTTTAGGTAAAACACTAACCTTTTAGCTTCTTCACAGAGGCTTGCTGACCCCTTACCACTTCTACAGAGACTCGCTGACTACTCAACTATTCTAGAAAGGTTCTTGGAGCCGTCATATCCACTAGAGAGACACGCTAACCCCTCAACTACTCTAGAGAGGTTCTCGGAGCCGTCAGTTTTAATATAGAGACTCGCTTACCTCTCATCACCTCCACAGACACTCGCTGATCACTCAGGTTCTCTATGGATTCTAGCTGACTCCTCAGCTCTTTTGTAGAGGCTCGCTGATGCCACAACTCCTCTACGGAGATTCAATTATGCCACAGAAGCTCGCTGAACAACTCAGATCCTCCACAGAGTGTCGCGGAACTACTCAGATCCTCCACTATAAACACTCTATAGACCATCGCTGAGCCTTCAGCTCGCCTATTGACCATCGCTGAGCGTTCAGCTCGTCTAGAGACCATCGGTGAGCCTTCAGCTCGCCTATAGACCATCGGTGAGCCTTCAGCTCGCCTATAGACCATCGGTGAGCCTTCAGTTCGCCTATAGACCATCGGTGAGCCTTCAGCTCGCCTATAGACCATCGGTGAGCCTTCGGCTCGCCTATAGAGACTTGCTGACGTCTTCAGCTCGCCTATAGAGACTTGCTGACGCCTTCAGCTCGCCTATAAGGACTTGCTGACGCCTTCAGCTCGCCTATAAAGACTTGCTGAGGCTTCAGCTCGCCTATGGAGACTTGCTGAGGCTTCAGCTCGCCTATAGAGACTTGCTGAGGCTTCAGCTCGCCTATAGGGACTCGCTGACGCCTCAGTTCGCCTAGATATCATTGCTGATCCTTCAGCTCGCCTATAGAGACTCGCTGACGCTTCAGCTCGCCGATAGAGACTCTCCGGCCAGTTCCTCTGAGCCATCAGCTCCTCTTTTAATTTCCACTGACTCTTCTGTAAAAACTCACTGGGCCACCAACTCCTCTGTGAAGGATCGCTGAACTAGTAGCTGCTCTGTGAAAGCTCTGTGATTCACCAGATCCTCTGTAAAGGTTCATGGACCCATCAGCTCCTCTGTAAAAACGCACAGTCTCACAAGTTTTTATGTGAAGGCTCTATAGGCCACCAGTTCTTGTGTAAAGGCTCTTTGGGACACCAGTTCATCAATGAAGGTTCGGAAGGCTCCTTCCTCCTCCATAAGCTCTTCTTTGAAGATTTGCTGGTCTACTAGCACCTCTGTAAAAGCTCGCCTTATCCGTAATGGTTCGCTGTCCCACCAGTTCTGGGTTATCCGCTCCTCTGTGAAGTATTGTTGGACACCGTCTCCTCTGTGAATGGTTGCTGGACCACTAGATCTTCTGTGAAGGTAAAACCTCACTGGGCAACCAGCTATTCTGCCGTGGCTCGCCGAGTCTCCAGCTCCTCTGTGAAGGCTGGCTGTGCCACCTGCTCCTCTGTGGAGTCTCGCTGAGCCACCAACTCCTCTACAGAGAATCGCTGATCTCTCAGCTCCTGTACAGAGAATCGCTGATCCCTCAGCTCCTCTACAGAGAATCGCTGATCCCTCAGCTCCTCTACAGAGACTCGTTGACTCCTCAGCTCCTCTACGGAGACTCACTGATCCCTCAGCTCCTCTAGGGAATCTAGCTGATCCCTCAGCTCCTCTACGGAGACTCACTGATCCCTCAGCTCCTCTACGGAGACTCACTGATCCCTCAGCTCCTCTACGGAGACTCGCTGATCCCTCAGCTCCTCTACGGAGACTCGCTGATCCCTCAACTCCTCTACGGAGACTCGCTGATCCCTCAGCTCCTCTACGGAGACTCGCTGATCCCTCAGCTCCTCCACGGAGACTCGCTGATCCCTCAGCTCCTCTACGGAGACTCGCTGATCCCTCAGCTCCATTACGGAAAATCGCCGGTCCCTCAGCTCCATTACGGAAAATCGCTGATCCCTCAGCTTCATTACGGAAAATCGCTGATCCCTCAGCTCCTCTAAAAAGCCTCGATGACGCCTCAGCTTTTCTACAAAGGGTCGCTGACCCCTCAACTTTTTACTGAGACTCGCTGACCCCCTCAGCTTCTTTATAAAGGTTCGCTGACCCTCATGTCTTATATAGAGACTGGCGGACGCCACGGTTTCTTTATGGAAGTTCGCTAACGCCACAGCTCCTCTAGAGATGCTCGCTGACCCCTCATGAGCTTTAGGGATGCTCGCTGAACCCTCATCTCCTCTGTGAAAACTTACTGGCCCCTTAATTCTTTTTTTCCGTAGGCCTTCAGCTCACGCGTAGAGATTCGCTAACGGATTACCTCTTCTGCAGAAAATCGCTGACCCTCTGTAGAACTTCGTTGACTCTTCAGCTCCCCAACCTTTTTCTGAACTTCTGTTTTGGCTTAATTTTTCCCCTTTGGATCCAATTAAAATTCTCTTAGAATTCCCCACCCTTCCTCGTTATACCACAGCATCTATGTGGAATATGCATTGTCACATAGCTTCCATGCCATAACAATTCCGCACACATGAACATGACACGGCGAATGTAACCGCCTTAATGCACCATCACAAAGAAGTAATTGTTGAAGAGACAGAAACACACATTCTCACTCAGAACATCCTTTATGTCCTTGACGTTACTTTACCACCTCCTGTCACTTATTTTCCACCTCCGTTCTTTGTTTGGTTTTCCATTTTTCCAGATTAAAGCCATTGCTGAGGCCAAATACAATTACACGTTCCATGACAACGAACCGATATCGGTGTTCGTTACATCCTTTTTCGATGGTGTCCTGCTGTATGCGAACGCACTGAATGACAGCATACGTGAAGATCCGACAGTCTTAACACGTCCCCTCAATGGTACGGATATGGTGAGGAGAATGTGGAATCGCAGCTTTATGGGAATAACGGGTAATGTGACCATTGATGCCAATGGAGATAGGATATCGGCGTATTCGTTGCTGGATATGAATCCAACAACGGGACGTTTTGAAATTGTGGCCCATTTCCAGCACAACAAATTGGAATATGTTCCGGGCAAGACCATCCATTGGGCCGGGAATCGTTTGGATCCACCGTTGGATAGGCCGGTGTGTGGTTACGATGGGTCACTGTGTCCGGATAATTGTGAGTATTTGGAAACGAATTTCGAAAAGGAAGTTTTATAAAAGTCGAATTCTCCTTTACAGCTCTGCCAGGCTATGCCATACTCTCCCTGGTCCTGGGTGTGGTGGTGATCATAATGAGTGTGTGTTTCTTTTTCGGTTATCGCCACTACAAATCAGAGGCTGAAATCAATTCCATGGCCTGGAAAGTGAATATCGACGATGTCATCTTCCACAATTCCGCTGGACGTTGCTTCCGTGGTTCTCTACACTCGCTGGTCAAGCATAGCTCCCAAATGACCCTAATGTCCGATGATATGGGCTCCCTCAGTGGTGATCGTCAAATCTTCATACCCGTCGGACTATTTCGTGGCTGTAAGGTGGCCATCAAATCGATAGATGAACGTAACATTACCCTCAACAGATCTCTGATGTTGGAGCTGAAGCGAATGAAAGATTTACAACATGACCACTTGGTGAAATTTTTCGGCGCCTGTTTGGATCCGGCCAAAAGTTTCATACTGACAGAATACTGTCCAAAGGGTTCACTGCAGGACATCTTGGAAAATGAACAATTCCAGCTGGACTGGATGTTTAAGCTGTCGCTAATGCACGACATTGTGAGGGGTATGCAATTCCTTCATAATTCCGACATCAAGGCTCATGGGAATTTGAAATCCTCGAATTGTGTGGTGGATTCTCGATTTGTCCTGAAAATCTGTGATTTTGGTTTGCACACACTGCGCCGTAGCAACGCGGATAAGGACAACGATGTGGAGAATTGCAATAGTCATTCGTATTGGAGCAGTGAGTATCTCAAAAGAGGGTATATTTTTGAGGAGGATCTAAAATATATTTTTTTTTGTTTTTGTAGAACTTTTGTGGACCGCTCCTGAATTATTAAAAATGGAACATGACCGCCCCCCGGAGGGTACTCAGAAGGGTGATGTCTATTCCTTTGCCATCATTGTCCATGAGATCAGCACCCGCCAAGGTCCTTTCTATTTGGGTAAATTGGAAGAGGAGAAATCACCACAGGGTAAGCGGGAAGAACAGAACACAAATTTTATTTTAAGGGGAAAGAAAAGCTTGCTGTCATCGGTAGACTCCCTGGGATTCAGAATATATGAGCAGACTTTCGGAATGTAGAGCTGAAGCCCAGGGAACGGTTATAATAAAGCCAAAGTTCCTATTGACTAGCTGAAGAGTTATAGAGATTAGCTAATGGTCAGATAGAAGCAGAAGGTTCAACAAGCCTCTACAAAAAAGCTTAAGGGTCTACAAGTCTATACAAGAGGATGATGGATTCAGTGAGTTTCTGTAGAGAAGCTGGAGTCTCTGTAAAGGTGGTGATGGGTCAACGAAGCTTTGTAGATGAGCTAAGTAGCTCAGCCCGTTTATGTGGAGAAACCAGCTTGGTCATCGGGTCTCTCCAGAGGAACTGAAGGGTCAAAAGTCTCTGTGGGAGAGCTGAGGGGCCTGTGAGTCTTTGTAGAAGAGCCAAAGGACCAGCGAAGCTCTGTTAAAGAGCTGAGGGGTCAGCGAAGCTCTGTAGAAGAGCTGTGGGATCAGCGTGTCTTTGTAGAAGAGCTAAGGGGCCAGCGAAGCTCTGTAAAAGAGCTGAAGAAGTAGCAAATCTCTACAGAGCAGCTGAAAGGGTCAGCAATAGAAAAGCTGAGAATTCAGCGAGTCCCTGTAGAAGAGATGAAGGATCAGCGAAGCTCTGTAGAGGAGCTGAGTGGGTCAATGAGTCCCTGCAACGGTGTTAAGGGCTAAGCGACTCTCTATTAAAAAGCTGAAGGGTCAGCGTGGCTCTGTAGGCGAGGTGAAAGGTCAGCGTGGCTCTATAGGCAAGCTGAAGGCTCAGCGATAGTCTATAGGCGAGCTGAAGGCTCAGCGATGGTCTATAGGCGAGCTGAAGGCTCAGCGTGGCTCTGTGGGCGAGCTGAAGGCTCAGCGTGGCTCTATAGACGATCTGAAGGATCAGCGTGTCTCTATAGGCGAGCTGAAGGCTCAGCGTGGCTCCATAGACGAGCTAAAGGGTCAACGTGGCTCTATAGGCGAGCTGAAGGCGTCAGCGAGTCTCTATAGGTGAGCTGAAGGCTCAGAGTGTCTCTATAGGCGAGCTGAAGGCTCAGCGTGGCTCTATAGGCGAGCTGAAGGCTCAGCGTGGCACTATAGGTAAGCTGAAGAATCGGCGTGGCTCTGTAGGCGAGGTGAAAGGTCAGCGTGGCTCTACAGGCGAGCTGAAGGCTCAGCGTTGCTCTATAGGCGAGATAAAAGGTCATCGAGTCTCAATAGGCAAGCTAACGGTTTGACGAACCTTCACCAAGTCTATCTAGAGCAGTCAGTGAGTCCCTACACCGGATCTGAAAGGAATAAGCGAGTCTCTAGAGAAGTTGAATAGGTAAACGAAAATCTGCAGAAGAGCTGAGGCGTCATCGAGCTTCTGGGTCCAACAAGTCTCTATAGACAAGATGAGCAGACCACGAACATCTGTAAAGAAACTGAAACTTAAGCGAATCTGTCTAGAAAAGCTGAGGCGGTCAGAAGACCTGAGAGTTCAGCGACTCACTCTAACGAAGCTGAGAGGTCTGCGACTCTCTCTAGAAGACCTGTGAATTCAGTGACTGTCTCTAGGAAAGCTGAGAGTACAGCAACGCTCCCTCTAGAAGAGCTGAGATGGTCAGCCAGTCTTTGTAAAGTAGCTAATGGCACAGCGAAACTCTGTAGAGGAGCTGAGAGGTCACCGAGTCTCTGCTGAGGACCTGGCAGGTCAGCGAGTCTATGTAGAGGGGCTGAGGGGTCATCGAGTCCCTGTAAAGAAGCTGAGAGGTCAGCGAGCCTCCACAGAAAATCTAAGTTGTCACTGAGTCCCTACTCCGGATTCGAATTGAATGAGCGAGTCTCTAGACAAGCTGAATAGGTAAGGGAATCTCTGTAGAAGAGGTTTAGAGGCCAGCGATTCTCTGTAAAGAAGATTAGGTTTCAGCGAGTCAGTGTAGAGTAGAGGTCTGTAGCTGAGGTATCTGCGAGCCACTGTAGAGTAGATGAGTGGTCAGTGAGCCTCTGGGACCAGACGAAATGAGGGGTCAGCAAACCTATGAAGAGAAGCTTAAGGGTCAGCGACTCTCCGTAGAAGAGCTGAGAGTTCAGTGCCATCTCTCGAAGGGCTGAGATTTCAGTGACTATCTCTAGAAGAGCTGAGAGCTCATTGACTCTCTCTAGAAGAGCTGAGCGTTCAGTAACTCTCTCTAGAAGAGATCGACTCCCTCTAGAAGAGCTGAGGTAGTCAGCGAGTGGTTAAGTAGCTGATGGTTCAGCGGGCCTCTACAAAGAAACTGAGGGCCTCCATGTTCCTTACCTCCTCTCTTCCCTCTCCCTATCCTTATCTTATCCTTAAAAGGGCATAGAACAAATGCTAGCTAAACTCTTCCAAAAAATAAAAATCCAATTTCAAACAAAGTTCCAAACTTTTCATCCAACGCCACTTTATTTTGGCGAAACTTTGAAGCTGAAAAAGTTTTATTCTTGAAAAAAATGCATAGGTCCTTCCTACGCACATTGTCGAGTGACAACCACTTAAATATTGTCAACCTTAAGTACAGCGCAAACCATCAATTTGAAGAGCTTGGCTGTCATATAACGAAAAAAGGAGGGTTGCCATTTGGGATAAATGTTTTTTTCTACCAAAATATGCAAGCAGAGGGGAATATATTGAAAGCTGAATAGAGAAGAGCTTTAAAAGATAAAAAAAGACAAAAAAATTTATACAAATCAATAATTGAGGGGATTATTTTGGGAACTTAAAAAAACTCGTTTTAAAATTAAAAATTTCTCCAAAAATGGTTAAAAAAATTCAAAAATATTAACTTTATGAAAAAATATCTTTTGTGACCAAAAATACCAAATTTGATGTTTCGACCAAAAAATTTTATTTTCGACAAAAAGCTCTATAATGCTAAAAAATTAAATTTTTTATTATAAAACATTTTGAAAATGTGTATTTGGTCCAAAAGTGAAATCCGACCATAATTTGATGTTTCGACCAAAGACGCTGGAATGCTTAAAAATGAAGATTTTTACTTTAAAACTATTTAAATATGTCAACTTTATGAAAAAAAAGTCCTGTGTGCCTAAAAATATCAAATTCGATGATCCGACCAAAAATTCTATTTTCGACCAAAAACCCTGAAATGCTAAAAAAAATAAGATTTTTTACTTTAAACGATTTTAAATATGTGTATTTGGTCCAAAAGTGAAATCCGTCCAAAATTTGAGATTTGATTTCGTTTTCTATAAAAAATTTTGTTTTCCACTAAAAATAGCAATTTCGATGTTCCGACCAAAAAAACAGTATTTTCGACCAAAAACCCTGGAATGCCAAGAAAATTATTTTTTTTACTTTAAATCCTTTTAAATATCTGTATTTTGTTCAAAAGTAAAATCCGTCCAAGATTTGATGTTCCGGCCCAATTTTTTTTTTCGACCAAAAACCCTGGTATCCAAAAAAAGTATTTTCTTTTAATTTAAATCAATTTAAATATTTGTATTTGGTCCAAAAGTGAAATCGGACCAAATTTTTGTTTTCCACAAAAAATACCAATTTTGATGTTCCGACCAAAAATTTTACTTTCGCCCAAAAAACTTTGCAATGCCAAGAAAATTATTTTTTTACTTAAAACCCTTTAAATACGTGCAATTGGTCCAAAAGCGAAATCAGACCATTTTTTTATTTCCAACCAAACCAAAAACCCTGGAATGCTAAAAAATGGTCATTTTTTCTTTGAAATATGTTCATGTGTATTTGGTCCAAAAGAGAAATTCGACCAAAATTGTTTTTCGACCAAAAACTCTATAATGCTAAAAAATTAAGATTTTTAACATTAAAATATTTTAAATATGTGTATTTGGTCTAAAAGTGAAATTCGACCATAATTTGATGTTCCGACCATAAATTGTATTTTCTACCAAAACCCCTGGAATACTAAAAGATGAAGATTTTTAACATTAAAACATTTTAAATATGAGTATTTGATCCAAAAGTGAAATTTGATCAAAATAATGTTTTCTGACCAAAAATACCAAATGTTATGTTCCGACCAAAAAATTTATTTTTAACCAAAAACCCTGATATGCAAAAAAATAAAAACTATTTTACTTTAAAACAATTTTAAATGTGTGTATTTAGTTCGAAAGTGAAATCCGTCCAAAATTTAAGATTTGATTTCGTTTTCTTTAAAAAATATTGTTTTCCACTAAAAATAGCAATTTTGATGTTCCGACCAAAAAAAAACAATATTTTCGACCAAAAACCCTGGAATGCCAAGATAATTATTTTTTTACTTTAAATCCTTTTAAATATCTGTATTTTGTTCAAAAGTAAAATCCGTCCAAGATTTCATGTTCCGACCCAATTTTATTTTTGACCAAAAACCCTGATATGCAAAAAAATAAAAACTATTTTACTTTAAAACACTTTTAAATGTGTGTATTTGGTCCAAAAGTGAAATCGGACCAAATTTTTGTTTTCCACAAAAAATACCAATTTTGATGTTCCGACCAAAAATTTTACTTTCGCCCAAAAAACTTTGCAATGCCAAGAAAATTAATTTTTTACTTAAAACCCTTTAAATACGTGCAATTGGTCCAAAAGCGAAATCAGACCAATTTTTTTTTTCACCAAAAAATTTTTTACCAAAAAAATTAAAACAACTTTTACCAAACATCAGCTTGTTACTTTCGTATTAATTAATAGTCAAGCTTTATATTTTGACATCAAAACATCTACTTTAAGATCAAAATTAGCTTTTCGACCAAAAAATACCAAATTTAAACTTCCGACCAAAAATTTTATTTCCAACCAAAAACCCTGGAATGCTAAAAATTCCAGTTTGTTCTTTAAAAGAAAAAATGAAAAAATGATTCAAAATGAAATCCGACCAAACAATTTTATTTTCGACCAACAACTCTTTACTTTAAAACACTTTTAAATGTGTGTATTTGGTCTAAAAGTGAAATCCGTCCAAAATTTGATGTTTCTAAAAAAAGTTTTATTTGCGACCAAAAACCCTGGTATGCAAAAAAAAATGTATTTTTTATAATTTAAATCAATTTAAATATTTGTATTTGGTCCAAAAGTGAAATCGGACCAAATTTTTGTTTTCCACTAAAAATACCGATTTTGATGTTCCGACCAAAATATTTTATTTTGGACCAAAACCTCTGCAATGTTAAAAAATTTAAACTTTTTACTTTAAATCCTTTTAAATATGTATATTTTGTCCAAAAATGAAAATCGACCAAAATTTGAGATTTGACCAAAAATTCAATTTTCGACAAAAAACCCTGGAATTCAAAAAAATACAATTTTTAACTATAAAACATTATAATATGTGTATTTGGTCCAAAAGTGAAATCGGACAAAATTTTTTCTACCATAAATACAAATTTTGATGTTTCGACCAAAAAAAAATATTTTTGACCAAAACCTCTGCAATGTTAAAGAATTTAATTTTTTTACTTTAAATCCTTTTAAATATGAGTATTTGGTCCAAAAGTGAAATCGGACCAATTTTTTTCCAACAAAAATACCAATTTTGTTGTTTCGACCAAAACATTTATTTTCGACCAAAAATTATGCAATGTCAAGAAAATTATATTTTTACTTTAAATCCTTTTGTGTATTTGATCCAAAAATAAAATCCGAACAAAAATTGTTTTCGACCAAACCTTCTTTTACCCAAAAATGAAAATACGACAACCTCTACCAAACATCTGATTGTTACTTGTGTAGCAACTAATAATCTACAGTTAGTTGTTGAAGCCAAAATAATAGAGACATTGCAATGCGGTTAAAGGAAATGCATTGATGAAGCTCCACCACCCCACCCTCTACCTATCACTCTCACCCTCCATTACTAGGTTAAGAATACTTCACAGTGTATTTGGTGGCTTGTTTCCTTAGCTGGCAGAACACGGCAGCTACATCGAATCTAAAAAAATGAGGACAAGAAAAACAAGCAACACAACAAGTATCCATTTGCAGTTGTTCGTTCGTTCTCCTTTCAGAATCGAACAGAGAAATTCCACAAATTGAAGGGAAAACAATTCAAGTGGCTGGCCCACTCCATGACAATTAGAGTGCAAAACGAAGAACTAAGCAAACCTTTATTAGATAATTGAAATAAAATAATAGGTAATTGTATTGGATACAAGGTAAGTGGTTGGGCGGAATCGAGGAGTGCGATATACGCGATGTAATTTAGGGGGGAAGGTAGGTGAGAAGGGACTTCTACAAAATTCCAGCAGATGCCAAAGGTTCTCAGGAACAAAGATAATATAACAATGTTGTCCATTCTATGTTCCTCATACCTACCCCTCCCTCTTCAAAGGTCCAACCCACCGAAAATTGTCACGTTCCTTTTACGGTAACATTGATTAAGTGATTGTCATTGCACTTTAAGTCCATGCCCATTAAAGAGGAAATCTCCAACATCACCACCACAAAGACTCACCAACATCCACATCACTTGCTCACCCACTCATTTTGGTAATTGCCCTTCACTAGGACGACGAATCTGTAGTTCATTTATTAGTTGACTCCCCTTTTTGGGGGCCACCTCTTCACTCCTGGCCTCCAATTTTGAGAGCCATTCAATACGTGATTCCATCCAAATGCATTGCTGGCCAAAAACTTTATCCGCTGTGCCAAAAATTACATCATGGTCGTCGGAAAGATTTGACTGGTACTTCACTGCGGAACAAATAAGCATGGAAGGAAGAAAAAAAAACAGAATAGAAAACTTAGAAAAAGGAGAGCAATCAAAGAAATAAATTTCAATTGAAACGCTCAAATGCAATACAAGTTGGATGAATTGTAATTATTAGCTAAGTTCTGAGCGGAATTAATACAAATAGCTTTAAGAGATTTCAAAATCAAGACAGTTTTAAATTCAAAAAAGTGGAGGAAAATAAATGAAAATAAGAAAATGTCTATTCAGCCCGGCTGAATAGCGAATTTCCCTAATGGGAAAATTTCTATTCAGCCCGGCTGAATAGCGAATTTCCTTAATGGGAAAATTTCTATTCAGCCCGGCTGAATGGAGATTTTCCCCAATGGGAAAATTTGGAGAATTTCCCTAATGGGAAAATTTCTATTCAGCCCGGCTGAATAGAGAATTTCCCTAATGGGAAAATTTCTATTCAGCCCGGCTGAATAGAGAATTTCCCTAATGGGAAAATTTCTATTCAGCCCGGCTGAATAGAGAATTTCCCTAATGGGAAAATTTCTATTCAGCCCGGCTGAATAGAGAATTTCCCTAATGGGAAAATTTCTATTCAGCCCGGCTGAATAGAGAATTTCCCTAATGGAAAAATTTCTATTCAGCCCGGCTGAATAGAGAATTTCCCTAATGGAAAAATTTCTATTCAGCCCGACTGAATAGAGAATTTCCCAAATGGGAAAATTTCTATTCAGCCCGGCTGAATAGAGAATTTCCCAAATGGGAAAATTTCTATTCAGCCCGGCTGAATAGAGAATTTCCCAAATGGGAAAATTTCTATTCAGCCCGGCTGAATAGAGAATTTCCCAAATGGGAAAATTTCTATTCAGGGATTATTCCTATCGAGGATAATCCCTATACAGCCGGGCAGAATAGAAATTTTCCCATTTAGGGAATTTCTCTATTCAGCCCGGCTGAATAGAGAATTTTCCTAATATGAAAATTTCTATTCAGCCCGGCTGAATAGAGAATTTTCCTAATGGGAAAATTTCTATTTTTCCTAATGGGAAAATAGAGAATTTCCCTAAATGGGAAAATTTCTATTCAGCCCGGCTGAATAGAGAATTTCCCCCGATGGGAAAATTTCTATTCAGCCCGGCTGAATAGAGAATTTCCCTAAATGGGAAAATTTCTATTCAGCCCGGCTGAATAGAGAATTTTCCTAAATGGGAAAATTTCTATTCAGCCCGGCTGAATAGAGAATTTCCCTAATGGGAAAATTTCTATGCAGCCCGGCTAAATAGAGAATTTCCCTAATGGGAAAATTTCTATTCAACCCGGCAGAATAGTGATTTTCCCGGATAGGAAAATTTCTATTCAGCCCGGCTGAATAGAGTTTTTCCCTCTCCTCACCCATCTTCCACTTACCTTGTCCATAATCCGCATAATTCCCCCTCTGCGCGTGGTTGTCAATATCATTCGCTTGCATTGATGGATGCGAAGAGACATTTGTCGCAGACTTTCCATGTCCTGGGTAGTTTGTGGATGCATGTCGTTGCAATCTGTTATCCTTTGGGCTTTTTGCATGGCATGTTGGCAGAACTTCGAATAAGTAAAGAACATAACCAGATTCCTGGCAATGATGTTGGGACAGGGACAAGCGTTGATAGTTGTCAATGTTGTTTGGGCAACATTGTGGCATAGCAATCTGGTGGCGGTTGACTTGATTTATTCTTGTCAATTGCACATCCCCTGAATGTTGCTGCCAAAGAACATCCTTACGATCCTTTAGAACATTTCTTTTGTCATCATCGCCAGCATTAACATATGAGCTGGCGGTGTTGAAAGTTTCTGCCATTTGTAGCTGACAATTTAAGTGGCGTTCATCATCGTCGGTTTCGAAAACTTGTGATTTTGATTTGTATCCTTGCGGTTGAAGGGATGCGGTGGCCATGTCTTGTTCTTTCAAGGCCAGAATAATAAATCTAGAAGATTTGTATTGAGTTGTTGCCATATTAGCTTTGGTTGGATTTTGGTATCCTATTTCAGGAATTGACAAGTGAGATGTTGTTCGCTGCTCCTTGTTGTTGTCCTTGTGTGTTTGCCAACACGGCACAACAGTTTGTGGTTGCTCCGTTGTGTGTTAGGTTAGGCCCAAGGGATTAACTTCGACATGACATTTTCCCTTTTTGTGCATGTCATGGATACCCGGAACAGAGAGAGAGAGAGAAGACCACCCTTTTTGGTGTGAGAATTGTTTGGTGTTGGTTTATGGATACGTCTTGTTGTTTGCCACCTCTCCGATATCCTTTTTCTTTCGAAAAGGAGAAATTGAATACCCAGATTGTTATCAAATATGAAAGGTTGCTTGCTGGGATTTTCTTCGTTTGGGTGTACACTTCGTGTTAAACGGTTGGCATTTAGTAAGGATTATAACGGATTTGAGGAGGGCAGGATTATTTTATGATAAACAGCAGAATATCAGTTCGAAAAAAATATTTTGAGTTTATTTTCAAATATTTTTAAACTTTTTGGGATTTTTTTTTACAAAACAAAAATACTAACTTCGGAATACAGTATTTTATAAGAGGGTGGATATTTTAATATACAGGGTGAGATAAAACAACTGTAACAATGTCAAACGCCATAATTTTTACATTTTTTCTTTTAATTTTATTTGACAAAAGCAAAAAAATTCGGAAATTTTAGAATAAGTACGCTTGTAAACAATAAAATGAACTGTCACTGGAATAATTTTAACAACTGTCGGACGAGTGGCTTAGAAATTACAACAGTCTGAAGTTGGTTGCAGTTTTTTTCATCTGCAAAAAAAATAGAAAATAGATGTGGGCCGCTATAACAGCCGGTGGTCGCAATAATTGGGCAATACCAAATCGTGGACCTACATATTATGACCTACAAATACCAAATTTTCAGACAAATCCGTGAAGAAATGTGGCAAAAACCATCAAATTACCGAATATCGGGAGGTACCGTTGTATGGGGGCTGTACCAAAACGTGGACCTATAATTACAATGACTCTTCACACGAACTGGGACCCAATATGATCTACAACTACCAATTTTCAGAGCAATTCTTGAAAAAAATGTGTCAAAAATCTTCAAAATACCGAATATTGGGAGGTACCGTTATATGGGGACTATATCAAAACGTGGATCTATACATACAATGTTTCGTCACACGAACTAGGGCCCATAATGACCCACAAATACCAATTGTTAGACAAATCCGTGAAAAAATGTGGCAAAAACCATCAAAATACCGAATATCGGGAGGTACCGTTATATGGGGGCTATACAAAATCATGGACCCATACATGCAATGTTTCGCCACCGGAGCTGAAACCCATTATGACCAACAAATATCAATTTTTAGACAAATCCGTGAAAAAATGTGGCAAAAAAAATTAAAATGCCGAATATCGGGAGGTACCGTTATATGGGGGCTATACCAAATCATGGACCCATACATGCAATGTTTCGCCACCGGAGCTGGAACCCTTTATGACCAATAAATATCAATTTTTAGACAAATCCGTGAAAAAAATGTGGCATAAATCATTAAAATACCGAATATCGGGAGGTACCGTTATATGGGGACTATACCAGAACGTGCACCGATATATCTCATTTTCAATATCAATCATCCTAGACACAATACAAATTGCTCTGCTAAATTTTGTCGCTCTACGTCAAATAATGTGGGCTGTATCTAGATTTCAACAGACAGACAGACGGACATCGTTAAATCAACTTAGAATTTTACGCTGATTATGAATATATATACTTTATGGGGTCTACGACGAATATTTAAGGATGTTACAAACGGAATGACAAAGTTAATATACCCCACTTTCCAAGGTGGAGAGTATAAAAATACCAAAGTGTCGATCACCTGAAGCAAGCGCTTCGCCGGAAATAGGCCAAAATACGGCAGAGCAACATTCGGTCAGCGTGTGACGGTTTCATTGGCCGTTTGAGGGCCATAATTCGTGCCAAAGGTGACCAATTTGAACAAATCTAAACTTATCCCAAAATTTGATGCTATTTCCGACAGTTTTTGCTTTCATTCAATAAAATTTAAAAAGAATGTAAAAATTATAGCGTTTGGCGTTGTTGCATTTTTTATCTCACCCTGTATGTACTTTATGGGGTCTACGATGAATATTTAGGGATGCTTCAAACGGATTGCCAAAGTTAATATACCCTTTACAAGGTGGAGAAAAGAACAGAAATGTGGCAACACTGAGCAAAAACGTCAAAGTCATGTCAACAATGATGACACAACCAAACATCTCATCAAATAACAAAGTGACAGATATTCGTTTATGAATAGCAGTAGGAAAATTGTGGAACACTTAAGGGCTAAGTACATAAGAGGCTTGAAGTCATGGCTAGGCATATTTTGTGACATTTCACAAAGGGATTACAGAGCCGCACTAAAATCCAGCCGTCGTTTTCCATTATAATTTGACATTAATATGCCAAGCCATGACTTCAAGCGTTTTATGTACTTGAACCCTTAAGGGCTAGGCATATTAATGTCAAATTATAATGGAAAACGACGGCTGGATTTTAGTGCGGCTCTGTAATCCCTTTGTGAAATGTCACAAAATATGCCTAGCCATGACTTCAAGCTTCTTATGCACTTAGCCCTTTAGGGTGCAAGTACATAGAAAGCTTGAAGTCATGGCTAGGCATATTAATGTCAAATTATAATGGAAAACGATGGCAGGATTTTGGTGCGGCTCTGTAATCCCTTTTGTGAAATGTCAAAAAAAAAATATGCCTAGCCATGACTTCAAGCTTATGTACTTAGCCCCCTTTAAATATATAACAAAGAAGTGGAATTTGGTCTTCCAAAAGACAGGTTATTATAACGGTATAATCAAGAAGGTAAAGTCATGCAATCATTTGTTTACATTTTTTTCAAAATTTGACAACATTTCGTTATCAAATTCTATATTTATAAATCCATTGAATATACAGAAATCAGAGATGGAAACCTCTTTTCTATTCAGCAAAATTTGACAAGGTAAATGGCAGAAAATGAAGAGGTGAATATTACTATTATTATTTGAAATGACTTTACCTTTTTTAATTTTACCATGAGGAAATCCTAAAATGTATTCCTTTTCTTTTTCAATGTCATAGAAATTTGTTTGTTTAGTGCAAGGCCCATTAAATAGGTCGTCCGATTAGCCCAGCTGATTTCACCCATTCTGTCAAAATACATTTGTTTATAAAATTTGGAATTCGCCGAAAAAAATGACAAGCTGTCATTATACAATAGGCCTGTCTGGTTATTCTCCTGAAGTAATTGTAATTTATGAAAAACGAAGGAATAAAAAGAAATGAAGTACACACAATTTTAAAATAAGCCGTAAGACTATACAATTAGGCCTTTGATTACTAAAATAAATATGTTTTAAATGTGCATCGGAAGGAGAAGAATAGCAAATGATTGCAAAAAGAAATTTGTCCAGGAAGAATTTGCAAACACTCAGTGAAAGAATTCCTCTCTCGAGTAACTCTCTTTTGCCGAACTTTTGTGTTAAAAGTAACAGTTGTTAAAAATTTTAGGGTAACCAGGTACACCTAATTCTCTTCTGGCTGCTTGACTGCAAATGCGAATTTTTCTCCATTCCAAGGTCAAAAGGAGCACAAATTACCAAAATAGGTTCATTGAAACGTCTTGCCTTGTGCTTTGTTTCGTATGCTTTACTTCGTTTTTTTTTTTCTCGTAGATGTTTAAAAATTCGCCACAAAAAAAGATAAATTAAGGCGAATTATTATTCGCTTCAGAAGAAATTTTGACAGTTCGAAGTAGTAAAACAGCTGTTTTTAAGGCAATTCGCCCTTTACATAACCTAATAAATGGGCCTTGGTTTAGTGTTTACTTTATTTAGACTTTTTGCTGTCAATGAAATAACAAATTCACGTTTGACAGATTTTCCACTTTTACTTTCTCAAAATACCTTGTATTATTTTGCCATGGTTTACACGTACTAAGTCGAGTGGAGTTAACTGTCACTTCCATTGCGCATACGTCAAATGAAATCGGAGAATTTGACATTTACTTTATGGAGTTGACAGTTGAAAGAGTGGATTTGTAGCGCGTATTGCGTAATCGTATTTTTTTCTAATACCAAGCTCATATGAAACGTTAATCGCTCTCTATTCGTTGTATGACCTTCATTGTCAAATATCTAATTAATTAACCCTGACAAAATGTCCAATGGATAAAATACTTGTCATTCTTGTTGTTTACTTTATAAATTTGAAAACTTTTGCAAGATTTTTCATGCGGGAACACACATCATATTTTTATAATTTTTGCTTTCCTTTTCATTACAGAAATAATATATCTGGTTAAAGGTTACCCGCACATCGTCCAAACACCATTTCGCCCTCTGATTGTTGACATTCCCAATGATTATAAGGAAATCAATACTGTGATGCAGAAATGTTGGTCCGAAGATCCAGCCGAGAGACCGGACTTTAATGCTCTCAAATCGATTATAAGGAATATAAATAAGTAAGTATTCATAGGCAAAACACCATACGAATTTGAGTAGTGGAAAAACGTCCCAGTGTATACATCATGCCAGAAGAATACAGGTAGATACATCAACGCTTGGAAACAATAATATGTCAAAAAAAATTATTTTTTTAATATAACTAGATTTTTATATGCTTTCTTATACGACATCAATCGGAGGTTATTACAATATGCGTTTTTCACAAATTTTTGCAAATTTAAATAATTTTTCATTCAAAAATATCGACTCCAAAATTGTTTTGACAGTTCATTGTCCCTTCAGCTGTGTCAATGCTGGTACAATTAACTGTCAAACCAATTTTGGAATTGAAAATAATGAATGAAAAATCATTTAAATTTGTAAAAATTGTTGAAAAACGCGAATTATAATAACCTCCGAATGACGTCGTATAAGAAAACATTTAAAAATCTACTTATATTTGAAAAAAACATTAAATTTTTTTGACATATCAATGCTCCCAAGCGTTGATGCATCTACCTGTATTCTTCTGCCATGGTCTACATCACATTATTCTTACCTAGCGTTTACACAAGACAAATTGTCTTGAATTAGAGTTTTATTTGTACTATCACATACATATTGGGCGAATTGTCTTCTCTGCTGTTCAGCACTTTCCATAATAGAGTTATCATATGTTTAAATTTTTTTTATCAAATTATATCTTTGACAACATGTATATTCATAAATCCAAAGTTTTGAGAGATTACTCATTAAAGCCTTAAAAAAATTCTCTATGGTGTAGAATTAAGAAGGTAAAGTCATGCAATCATCGATTTACACATGGTACAATAAAAAGGTAAGGTAGAACTAACAGCTGATTAGAATTTTTTACAAATTTTTGTAAGTGTACCCGACTTCTGCCAATGTTGTTATTCCCCAGTTTTGCCATGTAATTCAAAGATCGAACTATTTAGATCATATTTGCATGCATGCAATTTGACAGGAAGCGGGCATAGCCTCAGGGCTGTATTTCTGTAGTTTTACGAAGCTGTTCTACCACCTTATTGTACCATGGATTTACAATTTTTTTTTTTAAATTATTGACTTGACATTTCATTGTCAAAACATTGCCACTAATTAACAAACGTTGTTTTTATAAACAAACGTTGTTTTTATAAAAAAAAAAAAAACAACAATAATGCGATTGAGCCTGACAATTTTGCAATAACAAAAAATATATTTATTAATCCATTGTACATACACAAATCAGAGATGGGAACCTGTTTTCTATGCAGTGCAATTTGACAAGGTAAATTACAGAAAATGCAAAGATGGGAATTCTTATTTGGAATGACTTAACCTTCATGATTTTACCGTGAGCTTCTAATAGAAAACATTAAAATGCTTCCTACTGAACATGGCACGATTATTTCCAGGTAATCCTGATTATAATTGTTTCAAGCCTTTAAAATCTTCTCAATTAAAATACCAAGACAGTTCTTTCAATAAAACACTTGACAGTCAACTGATTAGCTCCATGCTGTCAGCTGATCTTATCGCAAATATAAAGGTCATGTATTACAAACAATGACGCAATAATCACACGAAATGTCATTTTTTTATTTTGACACCAAATGCCATGATCAGCTGTTATAAATGTGATGTACCTATTCAGTGTACCATGATGTGGATTTTTTCCTCATAGAATTATCAATTTATTGCTTTAAGGTGGGAATACGCTTATTTGGCTGGCTTAAGTCATCGGCTGGCTTCTTCGTAGAGGAAGGAAGGAGTTTTAGCATGGTAGAAGTTAGATGCAGGAAGATGCATCAACGCTTGGGAAAATTGATATGTAAAAACATTTTAAATGTTTTTTTCAAATATAAAGGGTTTAAGTACATAAGAAGCTTGAAGTCATGGCACGGCCTATTTTGTGACATTTCACAAAGGAATTACAGAGCCGCACTAAAATCCTGCCGTCGTTTTTCATTATAATTTGGCATTAATATGCCTAGCCATGACTTCAAGCTTTTTATGTATTTGCAGCCTAGGTAGATTTTTATATGTTTTCTTACACGATGTCATTCGGGGGTTGTTATAATTCGCGTTTTTCAACAATTTTTACAAATTTGAATAATTTTTCATTCAATATTTTTAATTGCAAAATTGGTTTGACAGTTCATTGTCCCAACAGCTGTGTCGAAGCGTTTAACTATATTAATCTACCATGAGTTTTAGGTTGACTTAGTTCGATTTCGGCCCTACGCTTTTTTTTCTCTCCGAAGAAGCTTAAAACTTAAGCCAGTTAGAAAAGCGGTTTGTATATTCTCACCTTTAATCCCTTCAACTATTATTTTTTATTTATTTATTTATTTTTATTTTATTTATTTATTTATTATTATTATTTTTATATATTTATTTTTTATTTATTATTATTTTTTTGAGAATGCCACTAATTTTCCCCTTCTTTTTTCTTTCTTCTTCTCCTTTCAGAGACAATGAAACCGGCCACATTGTCGACAATCTGCTAAAACGTATGGAACAGTATGCCAACAATTTGGAAGAGCTGGTCGAAGAACGTACTCAGGACTATATTGAAGAGAAGAAGAAATGTGAGAAGCTACTCTATCAGCTGTTGCCACAAAGTGTGGCGGCACAGCTGATTTCCGGTGAACCGGTTGTGGCTGAAACCTTCGATCAAGTAACCATTTATTTCTCCGACATTGTAGGCTTTACCGCCATCTCGGCGGAAAGTACACCCATGCAAGTGGTACAATTTCTAAATGATCTCTACACCTGTTTCGATTCGATTGTGGAAAATTTCGATGTTTACAAAGTGGAGACGATAGGTGATGCTTATATGGTGGTGTCCGGCTTGCCCATACGCAATGGCAATCAACATTCAAGGGAAATTGCCCGTTTGGCATTGGCCCTGCTGGAGGCTGTGCATAATTTTAAGATACATCATCGGCCGAATGATAAGCTCAAGCTGAGGATAGGTCTGCACACGGGGGCCTGTGTGGCCGGAGTGGTGGGTTTGAAAATGCCACGCTATTGTTTGTTTGGTGACACCGTGAATACGGCTTCACGCATGGAGTCGAATGGCGAGGCTTTGAAGATTCACATAAGTGAGAAAACGAAGTTGGCTTTAGATGCCTTTGGCACCTTCATTACCACCAAACGTGGTTATGTACCGATGAAGGGTAAGGGTGAAATGTTAACCTATTGGCTTGAGGGTGAGGTGCCCAAAGTGGAGACACCCATATCGCCACAAAAGCTGATGCTCTCACGACGCTCATCGCTGAAGCAGGTGCCACGCTATGGCCTGCATAAACAAAACTCCGAAGCCTCAGCATTCCTGCCGCCGCCCTACAATCAACAACTGGACATTGGTCGGTCGGTGAGCCGACAAAACTCCCCCAATTTGCGGGTGAAACGAAAGATATCCTCGTCGTCGCCCAAATTGAATGGCAATGATTTTAAGACTGATGATTTCTACAATTATCTGGAGGTAAATGCCCTGAATAGCATGAAACTCTCACCACCGCATAGTGATATTTATAGCAGTAGGTCGCTGAAGGATGATGCCAAAGAGGGCTGCTGGGAAATGGCCAATTTCCGTTTGCCGCTGTCGGGCACACTGAAGCAGCCTCATTACAACAGCAACCATCCGAAACACAGTTATACTCAACTCTCATCGACTCAATCGAATTCCAATTTGTCCGGGGTACTGGCACCCAATTCCGCCTCAAAGTTGAGAATGAAAAATTCCCCCACCATTTCAAGTCTGATCAACAACAACAACAGTGATACGGCCAGTTTGGGCAGCTCGACGAGAATAAAATTCAGCATCAACAATGAAAGTTCGGAGGAGACACAAAACCTCGTCTCATCGCATGTCTATGAGGATGATGAAGGTGAGGCCGAGGCTGAGGCCAATATGATAAATCCCCAAGCGGAAGCTGAGGAAGATGATGAGGAGGAGCAGGAGGAAGGGGAAATCATTGAAACTCCCTTAACGCGTGAGCGTAAAACTGCAATTGTTATGCCCCAGCCGCCAGCCATAAATGGCGACCTGCTCTACAACTACAACAATCGTACGCCATCGTTGACCAATCTGGATCAACAGACAAATCACTATTTTCACCCGCCTCCACTGAACTCCTCGAGAGGTCCATACAATAATACCCCACCCGCCAGTTATGTCAAGGCCAATAATTGTCGAAATGCCACGCAATTTTTGGCAAATAACTCATCGAATAATAGTCTGGTCCAAATGGACGATAACTCGCTGACGAAAATGAATAGTTTACCTGATGATGGTGGTGGTGGTGGTGGGGGAACGCCATCTATTGGCAATCGTCTAACGGTGAAACATCATCCATCGGTAACAACAGTACCGCCGTCGTCGACAAATAATGCCGTAACACAACCTCTCTTGGCTAAAATTAATTCATAGCAATAAATTTAGTTGTAAATTTATTTATGTTTTTTCTGCATATGGCAACACTGTGATGTGCGAAAATGCAACTCTGTAATGAAGTGGGGCAATGTGGTGTATGTGACACCAAAGTGAAAAGCGTACCTACATTTGGCAAGGGCATCACTGTGTGTGTGGCACCAGAGTGAAAAGCGTTCCCGTATTTGGCATGGGTAATGAGAAAATAATCAAGAAGGACTTAAATCATGTTTACATATGCGACATTCAGGGGGGTTAAACCGTCAATCAAAGTACGTTTACATTTACTAAATCATTGCATATACTTTACATGAAATGGACTCTCATTTCATGTATATACCATGGTAGAAGAATAAAGGTAGATTCATCAACGTTTGCGAACATTAATTTGTCATAATTTAAAAAACGTCTTAAATAAATAATAAATTATTTTTACACGTTTACTTATACGCACTAATCGGAGTATGTTATGATTTGCATTTTCAAACATTTTTACAAACTTGAATAATTTTTCATTAAATTTTTTCAATTTCAATGTTCTCAAGCGTTGATACATCTACCTGTATTCTTCTACCATGAGTACCTGCAATGAATCTACTATTTTTACAATCTTTTTCGATATTATAAAGGGAAAATCTGTTATCGTAAAAAAAAAAACTTTTCATTCTTGCAGTTCTGGAACAGACCAAATGACAGCTGATAAAATAACAAATAAATCTAGGGTTAACTAGTCTGAATTCGTTTCATAAATAGAACTAGAAAGCCCGCCGATAAATTATGCCTTGTCAAATGCATCGTCACTCACTGTATATTTCAGAGTTGCATTTAACACAAGTGCTGCAGTCAAACGTCAATGTGATGTCATAGAGGTCATTGCTTTTAGTCTTCTTTTCATTACTGTCTGTTAAAAACTCAAAATTTAACGAAAAAAACACAATGAACAACTGGCTTTTTCCTTTTTTTGGGAAATGTCAAATTTTAATAAAATTGTTAAGACTAAAGGTGTGGTTACATAAGCAGCTTGAAGTTTTCACATGGCATATTTTGTGACATATCATAAAGGGATGCCAGAGCCGCACTCAAATTCTGCCGTCTTTTCCCCTATAATTTAACATTAATATGCCTTGATATGATGCCATGATGCTGCTTATGTGCCCTCACCTTAAAATAGCTTAAAGTTTAAATCATGACTTCGGAGGGAAAATACAACACTGTTAACACTTTGTAGCTTAAAACATTGTTGTATTCGATCAGACCAAAAGTGGCAACAGTGTTGTATTTACACACCGAAGTCCCGATTTAACACATTGATCTGTTTCACCCTTTAGAGTTTTATCTGAATTTCTGGTATTCCCCTATATTATAATTTGACACTTCAAAGCCAGCATTGTGTTTCTGCTATTATTAGAATTGTATTTTTATAATCACATAAATTATGGTAGTTTACATATTCCTAAGTTACCCCCCCCCCCCCCCCCACTCTCTATATCTAAAGCAAACAAATCAAATAAAATAATTCCCCTATTATATATTTATAATTCCTTAAATATAGTCATAATTTATTTTTCTATATATAATAAATAAAAAAAAACAAATGTAAGAAAAAAATATAGTTATTATATTATAAGAAAACAAAAACAAATCATGCAAATTGTGATTGAAAGTGAAACTTGTTACCACTTAAAAAAAATATAGAATACTAAAGCGATCTTTGTTACAAAAAAATATAAATTTAATAAAAAAATAATAATTTATGACAAACTCTTAAATATAATATTTATAAACCATATATAAATTTATTGCATAAGTTTATGCAAGAAAAAAAGTAATAAATTTTGGCTTTTAGATGATTATCAACAAATGTTCCTTGTTATCAACATAAAAAAAATAAATTAAATTTTTTTTTAACTTTTCTTATTATTTTTTTTTTTTTTTGAAATTTTTAATGAAAAAGTGATAGCTGTGTAAATTATATATAATTTTTTCTAATTTCATAATATTAATGTTGTAAATATTTGTTATGTGTAAGCTTAAATGTTAAACAGTTTTTAAAATTATTATTATTATTATTATAAAATTTGAGGTGTTAAGAGTATTAGTAAACAAATAATAAACATAAAAAAGAAAAAAAATCGCACAAAAAAAAATAAATATTAATAAAGAAAATGATATAAAAGAAATTTACATTTTGTTTTATTATTTAAGAGAAAATGCATTAAACAAGGGTTGGATGTATGGCCGGCAACGTTAAGAGTATTGCTATTTAAGTGGGCTACACACAATCAAACAGGTGGGCCTTTTTGCTAAAGGCTTATTTACATGGAACATGTTCTTAATAAGTAAAAAAGCTGAAAGTTCGGATACCCTCCACCATTTGGAGCAATATTAGCAATTTTCAAAAAAAATAAAATCCGTTATAAAAAACAACAATAAAGGTATTAAGCCTGACCATTTTTCAACAACAAAATACTATCGTATCCCGAACAACTTGAAATACTAAATTTGAAACAATTCCGGTGAATAATGTCGCTAAAATCATCAAAATATCGAATATCGGGAGGTACCATTATATGTGGGCTATGCGAAGGCGTGGAACTGCACAGACAATTATCTGTCATAGGCTGTAGTACCCATTATGAACTTCAAACACCAAATTTGAAAGATTTTCGGTGAATAATGTCGCTTAAATCACAAAAATACCGAAAATAAGGAGGTACCATTATATGGGGACTATACCAAAACGTGAACCTACATCACCCATTTTCAATACCAAAAGTCCTGCAGACATAATTCACATTTGAGTAAAATTTTATCCACCTACTTCATTTCGTTAGGAAGCTAGCCACAGACGGACGGACATCGCTAAATCGACATAAAAGTTCATGCTCCTTCTATGGTGGAGGCTGCTGTTCAGCACTTTCCATAATAGAGTTATCATATGTTTAAATTTTTTTTATCAAATTATATCTTTGACAACATGTATATTCATAAATCCAAAGTTTTGAGAGATTACTCATTAAAGCCTTAAAAAAATTCTCTATGGTGTAGAATTAAGAAGGTAAAGTCATGCAATCATCGATTTACACATGGTACAATAAAAAGGTAAGGTAGAACTAACAGCTGATTAGAATTTTTTACAAATTTTTGTAAGTGTACCCGACTTCTGCCAATGTTGTTATTCCCCAGTTTTGCCATGTAATTCAAAGATCGAACTATTTAGATCATATTTGCATGCATGCAATTTGACAGGAAGCGGGCATAGCCTCAGGGCTGTATTTCTGTAGTTTTACGAAGCTGTTCTACCACCTTATTGTACCATGGATTTACAATTTTTTTTTTTAAATTATTGACTTGACATTTCATTGTCAAAACATTGCCACTAATTAACAAACGTTGTTTTTATAAACAAACGTTGTTTTTATAAAAAAAAAAAAAAACAACAATAATGCGATTGAGCCTGACAATTTTGCAATAACAAAAAATATATTTATTAATCCATTGTACATACACAAATCAGAGATGGGAACCTGTTTTCTATGCAGTGCAATTTGACAAGGTAAATTACAGAAAATGCAAAGATGGGAATTCTTATTTGGAATGACTTAACCTTCATGATTTTACCGTGAGCTTCTAATAGAAAACATTAAAATGCTTCCTACTGAACATGGCACGATTATTTCCAGGTAATCCTGATTATAATTGTTTCAAGCCTTTAAAATCTTCTCAATTAAAATACCAAGACAGTTCTTTCAATAAAACACTTGACAGTCAACTGATTAGCTCCATGCTGTCAGCTGATCTTATCGCAAATATAAAGGTCATGTATTACAAACAATGACGCAATAATCACACGAAATGTCATTTTTTTATTTTGACACCAAATGCCATGATCAGCTGTTATAAATGTGATGTACCTATTCAGTGTACCATGATGTGGATTTTTTCCTCATAGAATTATCAATTTATTGCTTTAAGGTGGGAATACGCTTATTTGGCTGGCTTAAGTCATCGGCTGGCTTCTTCGTAGAGGAAGGAAGGAGTTTTAGCATGGTAGAAGTTAGATGCAGGAAGATGCATCAACGCTTGGGAAAATTGATATGTAAAAACATTTTAAATGTTTTTTTCAAATATAAAGGGTTTAAGTACATAAGAAGCTTGAAGTCATGGCACGGCCTATTTTGTGACATTTCACAAAGGAATTACAGAGCCGCACTAAAATCCTGCCGTCGTTTTTCATTATAATTTGGCATTAATATGCCTAGCCATGACTTCAAGCTTTTTATGTATTTGCAGCCTAGGTAGATTTTTATATGTTTTCTTACACGATGTCATTCGGGGGTTGTTATAATTCGCGTTTTTCAACAATTTTTACAAATTTGAATAATTTTTCATTCAATATTTTTAATTGCAAAATTGGTTTGACAGTTCATTGTCCCAACAGCTGTGTCGAAGCGTTTAACTATATTAATCTACCATGAGTTTTAGGTTGACTTAGTTCGATTTCGGCCCTACGCTTTTTTTTCTCTCCGAAGAAGCTTAAAACTTAAGCCAGTTAGAAAAGCGGTTTGTATATTCTCACCTTTAATCCCTTCAACTATTATTTTTTATTTATTTATTTATTTTTATTTTATTTATTTATTTATTATTATTATTATTTTTATATATTTATTTTTTTATTTATTATTATTTTTTTGAGAATGCCACTAATTTTCCCCTTCTTTTTTCTTTCTTCTTCTCCTTTCAGAGACAATGAAACCGGCCACATTGTCGACAATCTGCTAAAACGTATGGAACAGTATGCCAACAATTTGGAAGAGCTGGTCGAAGAACGTACTCAGGACTATATTGAAGAGAAGAAGAAATGTGAGAAGCTACTCTATCAGCTGTTGCCACAAAGTGTGGCGGCACAGCTGATTTCCGGTGAACCGGTTGTGGCTGAAACCTTCGATCAAGTAACCATTTATTTCTCCGACATTGTAGGCTTTACCGCCATCTCGGCGGAAAGTACACCCATGCAAGTGGTACAATTTCTAAATGATCTCTACACCTGTTTCGATTCGATTGTGGAAAATTTCGATGTTTACAAAGTGGAGACGATAGGTGATGCTTATATGGTGGTGTCCGGCTTGCCCATACGCAATGGCAATCAACATTCAAGGGAAATTGCCCGTTTGGCATTGGCCCTGCTGGAGGCTGTGCATAATTTTAAGATACATCATCGGCCGAATGATAAGCTCAAGCTGAGGATAGGTCTGCACACGGGGGCCTGTGTGGCCGGAGTGGTGGGTTTGAAAATGCCACGCTATTGTTTGTTTGGTGACACCGTGAATACGGCTTCACGCATGGAGTCGAATGGCGAGGCTTTGAAGATTCACATAAGTGAGAAAACGAAGTTGGCTTTAGATGCCTTTGGCACCTTCATTACCACCAAACGTGGTTATGTACCGATGAAGGGTAAGGGTGAAATGTTAACCTATTGGCTTGAGGGTGAGGTGCCCAAAGTGGAGACACCCATATCGCCACAAAAGCTGATGCTCTCACGACGCTCATCGCTGAAGCAGGTGCCACGCTATGGCCTGCATAAACAAAACTCCGAAGCCTCAGCATTCCTGCCGCCGCCCTACAATCAACAACTGGACATTGGTCGGTCGGTGAGCCGACAAAACTCCCCCAATTTGCGGGTGAAACGAAAGATATCCTCGTCGTCGCCCAAATTGAATGGCAATGATTTTAAGACTGATGATTTCTACAATTATCTGGAGGTAAATGCCCTGAATAGCATGAAACTCTCACCACCGCATAGTGATATTTATAGCAGTAGGTCGCTGAAGGATGATGCCAAAGAGGGCTGCTGGGAAATGGCCAATTTCCGTTTGCCGCTGTCGGGCACACTGAAGCAGCCTCATTACAACAGCAACCATCCGAAACACAGTTATACTCAACTCTCATCGACTCAATCGAATTCCAATTTGTCCGGGGTACTGGCACCCAATTCCGCCTCAAAGTTGAGAATGAAAAATTCCCCCACCATTTCAAGTCTGATCAACAACAACAACAGTGATACGGCCAGTTTGGGCAGCTCGACGAGAATAAAATTCAGCATCAACAATGAAAGTTCGGAGGAGACACAAAACCTCGTCTCATCGCATGTCTATGAGGATGATGAAGGTGAGGCCGAGGCTGAGGCCAATATGATAAATCCCCAAGCGGAAGCTGAGGAAGATGATGAGGAGGAGCAGGAGGAAGGGGAAATCATTGAAACTCCCTTAACGCGTGAGCGTAAAACTGCAATTGTTATGCCCCAGCCGCCAGCCATAAATGGCGACCTGCTCTACAACTACAACAATCGTACGCCATCGTTGACCAATCTGGATCAACAGACAAATCACTATTTTCACCCGCCTCCACTGAACTCCTCGAGAGGTCCATACAATAATACCCCACCCGCCAGTTATGTCAAGGCCAATAATTGTCGAAATGCCACGCAATTTTTGGCAAATAACTCATCGAATAATAGTCTGGTCCAAATGGACGATAACTCGCTGACGAAAATGAATAGTTTACCTGATGATGGTGGTGGTGGTGGTGGGGGAACGCCATCTATTGGCAATCGTCTAACGGTGAAACATCATCCATCGGTAACAACAGTACCGCCGTCGTCGACAAATAATGCCGTAACACAACCTCTCTTGGCTAAAATTAATTCATAGCAATAAATTTAGTTGTAAATTTATTTATGTTTTTTCTGCATATGGCAACACTGTGATGTGCGAAAATGCAACTCTGTAATGAAGTGGGGCAATGTGGTGTATGTGACACCAAAGTGAAAAGCGTACCTACATTTGGCAAGGGCATCACTGTGTGTGTGGCACCAGAGTGAAAAGCGTTCCCGTATTTGGCATGGGTAATGAGAAAATAATCAAGAAGGACTTAAATCATGTTTACATATGCGACATTCAGGGGGGTTAAACCGTCAATCAAAGTACGATTACATTTACTAAATCATTGCATATACTTTACATGAAATGGACTCTCATTTCATGTATATACCATGGTAGAAGAATAAAGGTAGATTCATCAACGTTTGCGAACATTAATTTGTCATAATTTAAAAAACGTCTTAAATAAATAATAAATTATTTTTACACGTTTACTTATACGCACTAATCGGAGTATGTTATGATTTGCATTTTCAAACATTTTTACAAACTTGAATAATTTTTCATTAAATTTTTTCAATTTCAATGTTCTCAAGCGTTGATACATCTACCTGTATTCTTCTACCATGAGTACCTGCAATGAATCTACTATTTTTACAATCTTTTTCGATATTATAAAGGGAAAATCTGTTATCGTAAAAAAAAAACTTTTCATTCTTGCAGTTCTGGAACAGACCAAATGACAGCTGATAAAATAACAAATAAATCTAGGGTTAACTAGTCTGAATTCGTTTCATAAATAGAACTAGAAAGCCCGCCGATAAATTATGCCTTGTCAAATGCATCGTCACTCACTGTATATTTCAGAGTTGCATTTAACACAAGTGCTGCAGTCAAACGTCAATGTGATGTCATAGAGGTCATTGCTTTTAGTCTTCTTTTCATTACTGTCTGTTAAAAACTCAAAATTTAACGAAAAAAACACAATGAACAACTGGCTTTTTCCTTTTTTTGGGAAATGTCAAATTTTAATAAAATTGTTAAGACTAAAGGTGTGGTTACATAAGCAGCTTGAAGTTTTCACATGGCATATTTTGTGACATATCATAAAGGGATGCCAGAGCCGCACTCAAATTCTGCCGTCTTTTCCCCTATAATTTAACATTAATATGCCTTGATATGATGCCATGATGCTGCTTATGTGCCCTCACCTTAAAATAGCTTAAAGTTTAAATCATGACTTCGGAGGGAAAATACAACACTGTTAACACTTTGTAGCTTAAAACATTGTTGTATTCGATCAGACCAAAAGTGGCAACAGTGTTGTATTTACACACCGAAGTCCCGATTTAACACATTGATCTGTTTCACCCTTTAGAGTTTTATCTGAATTTCTGGTATTCCCCTATATTATAATTTGACACTTCAAAGCCAGCATTGTGTTTCTGCTATTATTAGAATTGTATTTTTATAATCACATAAATTATGGTAGTTTACATATTCCTAAGTTACCCCCCCCCCCCCCCACTCTCTATATCTAAAGCAAACAAATCAAATAAAATAATTCCCCTATTATATATTTATAATTCCTTAAATATAGTCATAATTTATTTTTCTATATATAATAAATAAAAAAAAACAAATGTAAGAAAAAAATATAGTTATTATATTATAAGAAAACAAAAACAAATCATGCAAATTGTGATTGAAAGTGAAACTTGTTACCACTTAAAAAAAATATAGAATACTAAAGCGATCTTTGTTACAAAAAAATATAAATTTAATAAAAAAATAATAATTTATGACAAACTCTTAAATATAATATTTATAAACCATATATAAATTTATTGCATAAGTTTATGCAAGAAAAAAAGTAATAAATTTTGGCTTTTAGATGATTATCAACAAATGTTCCTTGTTATCAACATAAAAAAAATAAATTAAATTTTTTTTTAACTTTTCTTATTATTTTTTTTTTTTTTTTGAAATTTTTAATGAAAAAGTGATAGCTGTGTAAATTATATATAATTTTTTCTAATTTCATAATATTAATGTTGTAAATATTTGTTATGTGTAAGCTTAAATGTTAAACAGTTTTTAAAATTATTATTATTATTATTATAAAATTTGAGGTGTTAAGAGTATTAGTAAACAAATAATAAACATAAAAAAGAAAAAAAAATCGCACAAAAAAAAATAAATATTAATAAAGAAAATGATATAAAAGAAATTTACATTTTGTTTTATTATTTAAGAGAAAATGCATTAAACAAGGGTTGGATGTATGGCCGGCAACGTTAAGAGTATTGCTATTTAAGTGGGCTACACACAATCAAACAGGTGGGCCTTTTTGCTAAAGGCTTATTTACATGGAACATGTTCTTAATAAGTAAAAAAGCTGAAAGTTCGGATACCCTCCACCATTTGGAGCAATATTAGCAATTTTCAAAAAAAATAAAATCCGTTATAAAAAACAACAATAAAGGTATTAAGCCTGACCATTTTTCAACAACAAAATACTATCGTATCCCGAACAACTTGAAATACTAAATTTGAAACAATTCCGGTGAATAATGTCGCTAAAATCATCAAAATATCGAATATCGGGAGGTACCATTATATGTGGGCTATGCGAAGGCGTGGAACTGCACAGACAATTATCTGTCATAGGCTGTAGTACCCATTATGAACTTCAAACACCAAATTTGAAAGATTTTCGGTGAATAATGTCGCTTAAATCACAAAAATACCGAAAATAAGGAGGTACCATTATATGGGGACTATACCAAAACGTGAACCTACATCACCCATTTTCAATACCAAAAGTCCTGCAGACATAATTCACATTTGAGTAAAATTTTATCCACCTACTTCATTTCGTTAGGAAGCTAGCCACAGACGGACGGACATCGCTAAATCGACATAAAAGTTCATGCTCCTTCTATGGTGGAGGGTATAAATAGGTAAAGTCATTTCAAATACGTATATCTATCATAGTAAAATTTACAAAGTTAAAGTCATTTCAAATAAGCATTCCCATCTCTGCATTTTCTGTAAATTACCTTGTAACAGATGCTGGGACAAGGAGCTGTCAAACCAATTTTGTAATTGAAAATTTTTAATGAAAAATTATTGAAATTTGTAAAAATTGTTGAAAAATGCATATCATAACAACCAAATCGTGTCTTATAAGAAAACATATAAAAATCTACTAAATTTTGTCAAAATATTTTAAATTTTTTGACATATCAATGTTTCCAAGCGTTGATGCGACTACTCTTCTACCATGTAATTTACTTAAGACTCTATCAGACGACATGTTTTTACATATGTAGTGTCAAATTTTCCATATGTAGAAGTTGCACACCTCTTGTGATACATGGACAACATTTCAATTCTGAAATACGTGAGTAATGTACATGTGTACTTGTTCGGTCGCAGCGAGCACTATTTTTTGTTCCGTAAATATAACTCAATCGGAAGTTTTGTTTGTTTGTTGTGTGGAAAGATATAACATTACATTTTTAAATACAATATATGCTCTGTTCCAGTACCTCCAACGTTAATGCGTAGAAGAAACCTTTGGCCAATGTTAATTTAGACACTAGTACCGCCATCAAGCAGCATCTCACACCTTGCACACTAAATGTGTATTTGTTTTAACAAAATAAGTGCATCAAAAGAATATTTAGGAGGTAACTTTGTTCTACCTTCTGTAATTGTGCCATGGGTACACCTATCTGTATTCGTCCACCATGGTATATAACCTACGTATTTTTCTGATATTTTTGTATATATATTTTTTGTTAATAAATTCCAATTACTTACATAAAAACTTCAGTTTGCACCGTTTTTAAAATCTATAAATACAAACACAAAAGTCGGCATACTCACAAAAATTTGTAATCAGCTGATAACTGTGCATACCTATTTATTGTACCATGATATTTCTAGTATAACGAACGTCATCTATGTTTCATTTTCATATTGCACCTGAGCAACGATTATTTCCTGTTCTTCTCATTCTGCATAGTTTTTGGATACAGAAAATAATGTGATTTATAAAATCACATAAAATGTTTTTTAAATGTTTTAATAATTTTAATTTAAATCACATCCGTTTATAATTTTTAATTGCCATTTTCCCCTTAATGGTAAACATTTTAGCATCTGTTTTCTCCCACCAAACACGTCGCATTGACATCACTGCTAAACAACATTCGCCTCTGGCAACACTTGCGCTTCAATGACTTTTTAGTTTTTTTTTGTTTTACTTCAAAACATTTACAAAAAACATTGGTTCGTGGTGTTGTCAAACACACCAGACGAAAATAATAATAATTTTTTTTATTGTAATTGAAGCGCGCGGTTGGTTTCGTGTTAAAATGAGTGCAAAACAATTGTGAAATTCCTAACAAAAACTCCCAGTATAAAGAGAAACAAATCAAATAGTATCGATTTTAGTCGTCAAAGAGGTCCGACCGACTCTTGACAACGAAGAGCGGTTGTAAAGGGTAAAAATTGCATAATTAATTAAATTTAAATGTATTAAATTTCTTGCATTTTGAGTGGTGGTGTGCTAGCCTATTGTGTTGTTGTTTTTGTGCTGTGTCATTTATTTTGGATAGAGACTCTGTGTATGAATGGGGCTTAAGGAGTAATTTCAATGATAGTGGCCAATTTTTGTGGGGCAGTATATGTTTTTGCTGGTGTTGCCTTTTTGAATACGTGTGTACTCGCACTGGTTTTGGAGGAGGTCTGATTTCCTTATCTTGAACATAGTTTCAGGGGGTTTAACTTTTGTTGTTGTGAGTAATTGTCATTTTATTAATATAAAAAACATTAATTTTTTTTTTATCTAAATTTTAGATTGATATTGGTGCGAGTGACATTTTCTGATTAAAGTTTCAAAAAAAAAAAAGTAATTTCAAATTTGCCGGCCACTCTATATGGAGGGCTGCAATGTCTATTTGTAGAAGGACAACTTCATTTTATGTGAAACTCATATAGACGCTGTGGAAAAGTATATTTAGGAAAAGTTATTAAAGAAGGGCCAAAGTAAAAGTAACTAAAGTAAACATGAGAGATGACATGATGAAAAGAAAATGGCCTTTAAAAAGGGTCAACTGAAAAGGATTTATAATTGGCAACTCAGGAGATGAAATGGAAATGTTTTCTTTGGGACATTTTCGTATAGAAAATGGTCTCTGCAATATCTATTTATAGGTGGCTGGAAGGACAACTTCATGGCATGTGGAACTCATATAGACGATGTGGAAAAGCATATTTAGAAGTTCTTATAGAATGGCCAAAGACTAAAGTAACCTAGAGATGACTGAAAATGGGTTTTTCTTGGAGACAGAAAATGACCTTTATTGAAAAGGCTTTATAAATGGCAACTAAGGAGATGACATGGAAATGTTTTCTTTGAGAAATTTTCGTATAAAAAATGTTCTCTTTGGGACATTTTCGTATAGAAAATGTTCTCTTTGGCAGATTTTAGTATAGAAAATGATCTCTTTGGGACATTTCCGTATAGAAAATTTTCTCTCTGGAACATTTTCGTATAGAAAATGTTCCCTCTGGAACATTTTCGTATAGAAAATGTTCTCTCTGGAACATTTTCGTATAGAAAATGTACTCTCTGGAACATTTTCGTATAGAAAATCTTCTCTCTGGAACATTTTCGTATAGAAAATCTTCTCTCTGGAACATTTTCGTATAGAAAATCTTCTCTCTGGAACATTTTCGTATAGAAAATCTTCTCTCTGGAACATTTTCGTATAGAAAATGTTCTCTCTGGAACATTTTCGTATAGAAAATGTTCTCTCTGGAACATTTTCGTATAGAAAATGTTCTCTCTGACATTTCGTATAGAAAATGTTCTCTCTGGAACATTTTCGTATAGAAAATGTTCTCTCTGGAACATTTTCGTATAGAAAATGTTCTCTCTGGAACATTTTCGTATAGAAAATGTTCTCTCTGGAACATTTTCGTATAGAAAATGTTCTCTCTGGAACATTTTCGTATAGAAAATGTTCTCTCTGGAACATTTTCGTATAGAAAATGTTCTCTCTGGAACATTTTCTTATAGAAAATGTTCTCTCTGGAACATTTTCGTATAGAAAATGTTCTCTCTGGAACATTTTCTTATAGAAAATGTTCTCTCTGGAACATTTTCTATCGTATAGAAAATGTTCTCTCTGGAACATTTTCGTATAGAAAATGTTCTCTCTGGAACATTTTCGTATAGAAAATGTTCTATCTGGAACATTTTCGTATAGAAAATGTTCTATCTGGAACATTTTCGTATAGAAAATGTTCTCTCTGGAACATTTTCGTATAGAAAATGTTCTCTTTGGAACATTTTCGTATAGAAAATGTTCTCTCTGGAACATTTTCGTATAGAAAATGTTCTCTCTGGAACATTTTCGTATAGAAAATGTTCTCTCTGGAACATTTTCGTATAGAAAATGTTCTCTTTGGAACATTTTCGTATAGAAAATGTTCTCTTTGGAACATTTTCGTATAGAAAATGTTCTCTTTGGAACATTTTCGTATAGAAAATGTTCTCTTTGGAACATTTTCGTATAGAAAATGTTCTCTTTGGAACATTTTCGTATAGAAAATGTTCTCTTTGGGACATTTTCGTATAGAAAATGTTCTCTTTGGGACATTTTCGTATAGAAAATGTTCTCTTTGGGACATTTTCGTATAGAAAATGTTCTCTCTGGAACATTTTCGTATAGAAAATGTTCTCTTTGGGACATTTTCGTATAGAAAATGTTCTCTCTGGGACATTTTCGTATAGAGAATTTTCTCATTGGGACATTTTCGTATAGAAAATGTTCTCTTTGGGACATTTTCGTATAGAAAATGTTCTCTCTGGAACATTTTCGTATAGAAAATATTATCTCTGGAAGGAAAATGTTCTCTCTGGAACATTTCCGTATGGAAACTGTGTTCTCTGTAACATTTCTGTTTTAAAAATTGATTGTTGGTTGTGATGTCACAATTAATTAAATGAATTTTAACGTTTTTTTTTTAACAAAAAGTTATTATTGAAAATCTCCGGAAAAAAGCTAAAGCTGTTTTGCTTTACTTAACTTACTAAAACAAACCATCCATAATGATAATTTTTGTGAGTCATTGCTAATTTAATTTTTATATTATACTTTTTAGTTAATTGCTGACAGCACATTCCCACCACTCTATCGTTGAAAAATGCTGTATTGTCCGCCAAATGTTACCCTATCCCAGGTGTGGATCGACCATGGCATATCCCATTGTTTTATGGACACTGTCGGTTGGTCGGTGTGCGGTGGTTTTATGATTCTTTTCGGTCTGATACAACTGCTGATGTATCGTAAATATGCCACGCGTATCACCGATCCCACATTAATATCCAAATCACGATTATATGGCTTGCAATTGTTTTTGTTGGCCTTCTTTCCGGGATTGCAATTGGTGCGATTTTTATTGAATGCTCGCATCTATGAAGGAAGTGCAGTTTATGGTTATATGGTGAGTACTTGAAAAAATCTCACATAATTTATTGAGGGAATTTATTGGATTATTTTTTGTTTTATTACAGATACTCGCCACTTGTCTAATATGTGTGGCCTATCCCTTGTCCATGTGTTTGGTGGTTAAGGAAAGACTTTATCAGTTGCCTTCGGTACCCACCAGAGGTCATGGTCTGGTCCTATTACTCTTTTGGACCTTGGCCTTTATCAATGAATCACTGGCCTTTATTAATTTACGCAATGAAGATTGGTGGTTTAATCTTAAAACGTAAGCTCCACCCGGTATTTATTTTAATTCATATTTAATTTTTATTCTTGTTTTAGGAACAAAGATAAAATTGAAATGGGTTTGTTTGTGACCCGCTATATTTGTTCTTTGCTTATCTTTGTATTGGGTTTGAAGGCACCGGGCATAACATTTCCCTATAATGCCCATCAGCGTTTAGACGAAGAATCGACACAATCTGAAGCCGGTAATCTCAATAGGGGTTCTGCATTTAAAAATGCCTTTAAGAAGTTACGAAAACTCTTTCCCTATTTATGGCCTAAAAAGGATATTGTCTTGCAAATTACTGTTTTGATATGTATTGCCTTGTTGTCCGCTGGTCGTGTTATTAAATTATATTTGCCGATTTATCGCAAAAAATTGGGTAAGCTAGAAATTTGTTAAATATTGCACAACAAAATTTAATTGATTTATTTTTTATTTTTATAGTTGACAGTTTGACCATTGAACCGATTGTTTTCCGTTGGGATTTCGTTCTTATCTATGTGGCATTGTCATTTCTCCAGGGCGGTGGCACCGGCACAATGGGCCTGTTCAACAATTTACGTTCATTCTTGTGGATTCGTGTACAGCAGTATACGACTCGTGAAATTGAAGTGGATCTTTTCCATCATCTACATCGTCTCTCGTTGCGTTGGCATTTACAACGTAAAACTGGCGAAGTTTTGCGTGTAATGGATCGTGGCACAGACTCAATTAATAATTTACTCAACTACATTATCTTTTCGATTACCCCGACAATTGTTGATTTAATTGTTGCCGTGGTGTATTTTATATATGCCTTCAATTGGTGGTTTGGCCTGATTGTTTTTCTCACCATGTTCTTGTATATATGTAAGTAGATATTCTTATATTTAATTCATACATTTTCCTTAGTCATAATATAATCTCTTAATAGGTCTTTAGTACTCCTTTTTGGTCATCCTAAAAATTTGATATAAATCTTCGCAGAACATTCTATCTTGTCTTTTTTAAAAGGCTTCGTAATATCATTATATTAATGACCTTCACCCACCCTAAATAAGGTTTTAATTCTTCCATAAATACAGGATGAAATAAAAAAAAGGGAAAAAAAAGTAAAACGCCATAACTTTTACATTTTTTTAAATTTTATTGAATGTAAGCAAAAATGTCGAAAATAGCATCAAATTTTAGAATTAGTTTAGATTTGTTCGAATTGGTCACCTTTGGCACGAATTATGGCCTTCAAACGGCCAATGAAACCGTCCCGAATGTTGCTCTGCGGTAATTTGGCCCATTCCCGGCGAAGCGCTTGCTTTAGGTGATCGACACTTTGGTGTTTTTTAGTGCCAACCTTGCTTTCCAAAATACTCCAGACACAATAGTCCAACGAATTGGTATGCGGAGATTTTGCTGGCCATTGTGCGTGCTGAGCCCTGTTGGAATGTCCAAGGTCTGCGGCCAAAATGTTTGCGTGCCCAAGGCTTTAAAACCTTCAGAATATTTTCGCGATAATATTCGGCATTTATTCTGATGCCACCGGCGATAATACGAGCGGCGGGCGCTTGTGTTCTGGTGCCAACCGAAGGTGCACATTTTCAGCTGACCTTTTTGGCAAGTAAACACGATCATTTTGTTTGTTTACAAACTGCAGGACAACAAATGTCTTCTCATCGAAGAAAACCTAATTTGGCAGTTTACCACTTTCTGCCAAACCAAGAAACTCTTTAGCTCTTTTGAGTCTATTTTCTTTCTGTTGCGGTGTATGTTCTTGCACTTTTTGGAATTTCAATGGCTTTACCCCGAGCTAATTTTTCAATATTTGCCGAACAGGATATTGCGATATGTTCAGCTCACGAGCCAATTTTCAGCCACTGCGACGCGGGTTTCGATCAAGTCGCTTCTTTACTTTTCATACCATTTCTGCTTACGTTGGTGTTTTCTTCCGTTCACTTCCTTGACGTCGGGCTACGCTACCAGTATCACGGTAACGAGCGGTTTTCCAGCCAAATATAAAGAAATCACCAAGTCGTATTCAAATACTTAGTTTCAGGGGTTTATAGAACTCGCTTTCACCTAGTGCAAAGTTTCTCTTAAAACCCTTCAAAATACTTCCATTATTTTCCAAGATTTAGGTGTTATCTTTCTAAAAAAAACCTATCGCCAATTCACAGCCTTTAAATGAGAGTTAATTTCGTCCACGAAGATGCCTTCAAAGTCCCATATTCAATTGTATAAAAATCTTATTTTAGTGACATTGAAAAACTTAATTTTAACCCCAGGGAGTCATATTCATTTTCCGCCCTTTAAAAGACTCCCTTTCTGCCGCCTGTAAAGATTCTCTTACAACCATTTAATAGACTCCCATAAAGTTCCCTAGATTTAGTAGTTTTTTTTTACAAATCCTAACACTTATACTCCAAAAATGAGAGATCTTTTGGTCGACAAAGATGCCTTTAAAATGTCATATTTTATCTCGTAAAAATCTCTTTTTAGTCATATCCAAATACTCATTTTTAGGCTTTTATAAGACTCTATTTTCAACGACCGTGAAATTTCCTTTACAACCATTTAATAAAATATTTCTACAAAACCTTGTCCCATTCGTCAAAAAACATTATTTTCAAATTATATAAAGACACCTTTGGAGAGGTCTCAAAAACTTATCAGTCATCTATCTAAAACATATATAGTAAGTCTCTTTTGGAACTGGATCTATATACTGCATTTAGTTTTTCTGACAATGCCTATAGCTCTCGAAAGGAGTATCCGTTATGATCCAAACTTGGTACATCGTAACATTATTGTCAAACTTAGATCATCTTCGGAGATGGGCAATATAGGTCCACTCCGTCTGGTACCTCTCACACAAAATGTCAATATTTTCAAAGAAAATAATTTACTGCACAGAAAATGAAAGGATAATCCGATTTTGCTCTAACTTTGCAAATTCTGATATGTGCACAAGTGCTAGGTTAGGTGCGAAAATGGACAATATCGGTCCACCCCATCAAGTGCCACCCCCACAAAGGATCAACATTTGGAATAATTTTACCTCTTATAAAATGTGATATAAGAGTCCGATTGTGTTCAAATTACACACATCACAATATTTTTATTACCCCAAGTTCTGGTGTGAAAATGGAATATATCGGTTCACTTCTTCTGGTACCACCCCCACAAAGGGTCAAAATTTTGAATATTCATGAAGCTCATAAAACGCGAAATTAACATCCGATTCCATTCAGACTTGGCTCATATTAATATTTCCATCAACACCAGATCTGCCATAAAGATGGTAGATGTCGGACCATTCCTTCTTGTACCTCACCCACAAAGGGTCAACATTTTGAGTAGGCATAAAGCTTATAAAAAGCGAAATAAGCGTCCGGTTCTCTTCATATTACACACGTCCCATTATTTCTACTAACTCCAGGTGTGGTGTGAAGATATGATATATAGATCCACTCCTTCTAGTACCTCCCCCACAAAGGGTTAAATTTTGAATAATTAAAACTAGCATAAAATCCCAAATCAGCTATCGGGTCCCTTCAAATTACACTCATCAAAATATTTTTATTAACCCAAGGTCTGGCGTGAAGATGGAATATATCAGCCCAGTCCTTTTGGCACCTCCCGCACAAATTGTAAAAATTTTGAGTAACCATGAAGCTCATAAAACGCGAAAATAACATCCGATTCCATTCAGACTTGATGATAGAGATCGGACAATTCCTTCTACTCATTTTCAATCACAAATAAGAATCCTTCTAAAAAAACTCTTTTAGAACGTTTTTAAAAGTGTCCCCTGAATTGCTTTTATTTAGGCATCTAAATATTCTCCTTTGAGACGTCCAGTTTCCTCTTTTCAAACCCCTAATCTAATCTAATCACATATAAGAAGTCTTCTGCAAACTCTTTTTAAATCGTCCTTAAAATACCCCTTAATTGCCTTTGAAGCGTCTACGAAAACTTTTTCATTCGTCTTAGAAATATTCGTTTGAGTCTCTTCCAACGTTCCCAATAGTCTCAAATCATTTTCCTACTTTTTAATGAACCTTTCAACATTTCTTTTCGTCCTACAGTGGCCACCATCTTGGTTACCGAATGGCGTACCCAATTCCAGAGACGTATGAACCAAGCAGACAATGAGCAGAGGGCTCGTAGTGTAGATTCTTTGCTTAATTTTGAGACAGTTAAATACTATGGAGCTGAACAGTATGAAGTGAATGCCTATCGACAAGCCATTGAGAAATATCAGGTATTTCCCAAATAAAATAAACAAATTAAAAAGATTATCCTAAACTCATATCCTTCTCTTTTTAGAAAGAAGAATTCCTCTCCCTGCTGACGCTGAACATTCTCAACACATCACAAAATATTATCCTATGCTTGGGTCTGCTATGCGGCTCTATGCTCTGTGTCTATTTGGTGGTACATCATCAAACCCTAACTGTGGGTGATTTTGTACTCTTCTTTACGTACTTAATGGATTTGTATATGCCCCTGAATTGGTTCGGAACCTATTATCGAGCAATTCAAAAGAATTTTGTTGATATGGAAAATATGTTTGAACTGCTCAAGGAGGAGGAAGAAGTGGTAGATGCCCCCGGAAGTTCCCCATTGCTGACGGCAGGTGGTGCCATTGAATTCTCCAATGTTAGTTTTGGTTATAGCCCAGAGAAAATTGTCTTACGCAATGTCAGCTTTAGTGTACCGCCTGGTAAAACCGTTGCCATTGTGGGTCCCTCGGGTGCGGGTAAAAGTACAATTGTACGCCTGCTTTTCCGTTTCTATGATGTACAATCGGGTTCCATTCTCATCGATGGACAAAATATTAAATTGGTTACCCAGCAAAGTTTGCGCCAGGCCATTGGTGTGGTGCCTCAAGATACGGTGTTGTTCAACAATTCCATTTACTATAACATTGAGTATGGCAAAATTGGCTCCTCACCCGATGAGGTGTATGAGGCGGCACGCATGGCTGATATTCATGATCGTATTTTGGGTTTCCCCGATCGTTATGAGACCAAGGTGGGTGAACGTGGTCTACGCTTGAGTGGTGGTGAAAAGCAACGTGTTGCCATTGCCCGTACCCTGTTGAAGGCCCCGGTCCTAGTGCTACTCGATGAGGCTACCTCGGCTTTGGATACAAATACCGAAAGAAATATCCAAGCGGCCCTACACAAAGTATGCTCCAATCGAACAACTGTCATAATTGCCCATAGACTATCCACAATTATACATGCCGATGAGATTTTGGTACTCAAAGATGGTGTAATTGCCGAAAGAGGTCGCCACGAGGATTTGCTGTTGCGTGACGATGGCCTCTATGCCGAAATGTGGCAACAACAATTGAAAAATCTAGATGCCCCCTCAACAACATCGGAAATTTCCGATGGCAATACAACAACTGACAAACCTCCGGCGGCAGGAAATGCTGCAGGTGGTCCTGCTCCTTCCGGAAGTGCCTATCTAAGGGCTGGCCATGCTCATGGTGGTGGTGGTGGTGCCTAAACGAAACAAAATACACATATATACCATTTAAGACTTACCTCTAAGATTCCTATTATGTTGTACATCACTTTTTAATTTGTTTCTTTCACTTGCCCAAGAAATGGTTTCAAAATCTATTTCTCGAACCTTTTTTTAACGTAAAAAGAAAATGTTAGGAAAAAAAAACGCGTATTGTGGCTATTGGTTTATAAAATTGTTTTAATGTATAGTCTATTTGTTGTAATCTTAATTTTAAAACTTATATTAATCATCGAGCGAGCGTATATAAAAGCTATATATATCTTAAAAAAACATGTCTGTATGTTGAAACAAAATTGTAGTCTAATTTAATATCGAAAACAATTCTATGTAAAAACAATAATTGTATAACAAAAACTAGCATTAGTTTTTGCATAAAATAAATAAAAATAAAAAAGATACTTTGTAGCAAATAAACAAAAAAAAAACCGGAAGAGGGTTGAGTTTTATAAACATAAATATTTTATTTCTATTGCATTGCTGATGAAGAGTGGAACTGAAAAAAAATGCACAAAAACGTATGTCCTGTTAACCTACAAAATCTTTACCCGGATTAATCCTGATAATTGACTGAATTTAACGTATGTTTTGTACTTTTAGTTATCTTTTAATCGCTTAAACTTCAATCAAATCTTCTTGCAGCCGTCCATAAATTTGTTCTCAATGCCCCATTTAAAGTCGTCCATAATTAAACCCTTTTCAGTTGTCTACCACGACTCCTTATCACTCGCCACGAAGAGACTAATTTTCTGTTTTATGTTATGCCAAAGGATTCCTCCTCAGTCGTTATCTTTCAGTTGCCCAAAAAGACTCAATGCAGGCCTCTTAACCTCCCGTTTAACCCCAATTTGCTATCCAGACCTCGTTTTATATTAAATACATCCTTTGCCACTGATACTATCATCTCATTTCGTCTATGTGTAACTTCTTTTCATATTACTTGATCTTCAATGAACTTGATGCAGATAATATCAATTGTAATATCGCCCAACAACAGTTACACTGGACAATGCAAATGCCACCAAAGATGGACAGTGGATTTGACGTCTCTAGAATTTATGGGTCTGGAAAAAAACTGTATAGAAATATATTATAATATAGCTATTTATTTTTTGTATAAAAGGTCATATATTTTTACAGACCCTTTTTATACCCTCCACCACACTGTGGATGACAACGATGTAGTAAGGGCGGTTAAAAATATCATATTTGACACCAGTGACGGACGCCTGAGTGTGAAAAAATGTGTGTCTGGTTACGTTTCATATAGGAATTGTCCAGTAGCATATTACTGATGGAGTAAGATAGTTCTATTCTCTTTTGCGAGGAAAGTACGAAAAGTAAACATACGGTATTCCTGCAGAAGTTTGCAAATAATCAGCTGATTTGTCAAAACAAACCAATTTGTCCCCCATTAAAAAAAAAGGTGAAGAAAGGAAACACCATAAATTTTACAAGTTTTATAAATAAAAGGAAATTAGCAATAAAATAAAAATATGAGCAATAAAAGAAATAAAGAACGACTTTCAGTAACAATTTGTAACAATTGTTACAAATTTTAGGGTAACCAGACACACCTTATAGTTTCATTTCTATTGCCAGAAAATCATGGTAGAAGAATACAGGGAGATGCATCAATGCTTAAGAACATTGATATGACAAATATTTTTAAATGCTTTTTTTTCAAATATAATTAGATTTTTATATTTTTTCTTATACGAAGTCATTCGGAGGTTATTATACTTCGCGTTTTTTAACAATTTTTATAAATTTAAATAATTTTTCATTCAACATTATCAATTCCAAACTTGGTTTGACAGTGCATTGTCTCAGCAGCTGTCTAGATGCGTCTACCTATATTCTTCTACCATGCAGAAAATTGTCAAATGCATTGTAAAATGCAAAATTGTAAAATATCAAAAGCATTTTATAATTAGTAATATAATTTATTCCACATACATATTTTCATTAAATTATTCACTTTTAATATTATTTATTATTTATTTAATATTTATTTAAATATAATTCAAATCCTTATTTAATAAAAATCTTTTTTAAATTGCCCTGGGTAACCATGGTAGAAGAATACAGGTAGATGCATCAGCGCTAAGTCAATTTTTATATGTTTTCTTATACGACGTCATTCAGAGGTTATTGTATATCGTGTTTTGCAACAATTTTTACAAATTTAAATAATTTTTCATTCAACATTTTCAATTCCAAAATTGGTTTGACAGTTCATTGTCCCAGCAGCTGTGTCGATGCGTCTACCTATATTCTTCTACCATGTGTGTAACGCATTCTTATACCATGTTCTCATTGACAATTGCACAATATTTTTCGCTCTTTAAATTTCGTAAACAATTTAAAGATTTCAAGTTCCTTCAAAATTGTAGAGGGTATTAAAAGTTCGGCCCGACCGAACTTAGTTGGTTTTTACTTGTTTTATTTTCTTGGGTTACATTCATGGTAGAACTAAGAAGGTAATGTCATGCACTCATATGTTTACAATTTTTTTCAAAATTATTCATTTGACAACATCTCATTATCAAAATCTATTTTCATAAATCCATTGTATACCATCTAAATCAGAGACGTTTCTTTTATGCATTAAAAATTGTAGAGTTGACAATGCTAATTTGAAATGAGGTTACCTTTATTTCATTGTACCATGGGTATTTTTCTGGAAAATTATGATACTTTTCTTTTTTCAGGAAATTTGCAAAACTAGCAGATTCTTGGAGTTTTTGGAACAGAGCCTTTATATATTTTCACACAACGAACAAACAAACAACACTTTTGATTAAATTATATATTCCAATGAAAATAGGGCTCGCTGTGATCGAAAAAGCAGGTATGTACTTTACTCATGTATTTCACAACTGAATTGTCGTCCATGTATCACACTCTATGTGAAACTTCTACAAATGGAAATTTTGATATAGCATATGTAAAAAACATTTCGTCTGATAGAGCATTTACTTGTTTATATATGCGCTGTTTTACATTTTCGGATTTATTCTAAGGGTTCTCTTGTTTCTCTTATGTGATCGTTTGCAAATTTAAGCAATGCTGCTAAATGTTATAAAGAGGGGGTAATGAGAAATTTATTAAAAAATATAGTTGAAGCTTGGACTCTTTGTTATACCCTCCACCATACATAGTATGGAGGGTATATTGAGTTCGTCAATACGTTTGTAAATCATCCCTATATTCAGTATTTTATGATTTTAGCTACATTTTTCAATGCAATTTTCTAAAACTCTATACTAGTAGTTCTTTCTAAGCACTTTACCCCCTGGAAGAGAAATGTCTACATAGGTCCACCATATTGTATAGCCCACATACAACGGTACCCCCCATCATTCGATATTTTGACGAATTTGTGGACATTATTCAGCGGAGTTGTTTCAAATATTATATTTAGAATTCGTAATGGGTACTACAGCCTATGACAAAAATTGTGTATTCAGGTTCAGGTCTTCGTATAGGCCCCATATATCACTACCGCCCTATATCCGGTATTTTGGCGATTTTAGGTACAATCTTCACCGAATTTGTTTCAAATTTCCTATTTTAAGTTCCTAATAGGTACTACAGCCTGTGACAGAAAATTGTCTATGTATGTGCAGGTTTTCGTACAGCCCCGATATAAAGGATCCTCTCTATATTCGGTATTTTGATGAAGTTTCGTGATTTGAATATTGTAATAGCTTATAACAAAAGTTGTCTGTGCAGGTCCAGGGTTAATTTCGGCTATAAGCTCTTTTGTTATTTTACGATGACTGAAGCCAGTCAAAAAAAGTGTTTTATGTATTCTTGCCTAAAATATGAGTTCTAAAGACAATCTTCAATTTATCTATATAAGTCCTATGGAGCACCTTTGAAGCATCCAATTAATATCCATTATGAACCTATAATCGATTTTCTAATCATTTGACACCTATATACGGCCATCTATCTATGGAAGATCTTTTGAAAGAAGCTCTCCTCTTTCCCTCTCCCAATGCTAATTTACATATTTATAAAGGCAGGTAAACCACTGTGCCCCAAAATGACATTGCAAAAAAACCATATGCTCTGTAAGAGAAATTTCCAACCAATGGCCTTTTTATGATGTGCTGTTATGTCAATGGCTGGGCTTCTTTCCGGGCATGTCGATGTGTAGGCATGCATGCGTGCCTATGTGTGTGTGTGTTCTTGGGAGTGCGTAAGTTGAAGTTCAGTTCAATTAGTTAAATGGTCAGTTACAATGTGTGTGGGAAATTCAAAAAAACGCAATTGGGAAATTTTGCAAACAGTGGATGGAAATGGGAATCCTTGCGCTTAGTCTAGGTAGAGGAGAGGAGAGAGGAGGCTGGCGGAGAGAATTGAAAATACTCTCTCTTCTCCTGTAAGAGCAATTTTCATGTCAAAACACAAGACTCTCTTTAATTCAGAGATTGAAATTCACATTTCGCTGATAGGAGCTCTGGAGCGAGCTGAAACCCAGCAGCATCAGCGGCAGCCATGACGGACGGCCTCAAAGAATCATTGAAAGAAATCTTAAAACAAACTTTGCGAGTTTTCAAGATCAGTAGCAGTTTGAAACGCGAGAGTAACGGACAACCGAGCAATAACTTTCCGATTCGTTTGGCGGACGGAAAGAAAGCGCGATTTGAATTTGATTTTATTTTGTGTGTGTGTGTGCATGTGTGGTGTTGTATTTCAATACTTTATCACCACCAATTCCAACAATTGTGCTGGCAGACCTTTGGTTGACGAAAAATAATCATTCCAAATATCTGTGGCGAAAAAAGCGGACAAAATTTGTTTGCCGTAAAAATTGAAAATTAAAACAAAAATGTATTGAAAAACGGAAAAACCTAAAACAAATTTAATAAGAAAATCTCGCAAACAAATAAACAAACATAAAGAGAGGGGTCGGCCTTATCTCCCTTCGTAATGTCATAAAACGATCCCGCAATATTTTAATACACAATAACAATACCAACAACAAAACACATCTATCTAAATCACCAAAGATAAAGTGCAACGACCGTTCCGGCTCGGCTTCTTTTTCTTTTAATTCAACGAGTATTGAAATAAAAAGAAAATCAAATCAGAATCAAATATCAAGTGAAATTTGTGACCCCCTCCAATCAAATAACGCCTAAAACATGAGGCGCTTCAAGTGCTCCGTGTTAGTGTGTATGTAATCACTGTTTTTTTTTATTTAAATAAAAAAATTTAATTCAAATTCAAAACTTTTAAATGACGTAATTGTTTTTAGTTAATTTCACATTACCCAGTAAATGTTTTTGCTGCTAGCCGGTCCTTTCTCGCTTTCGTCGTCTTCGTCTTTTTGCTGTTTCTTTTTTTTTTTCGGTGTTGATAAAGATTTTTTTTGTCTCAATTCAGAGGAAATCGAATGCCCGCATTAAATTTTTGATATGTTTTGCAAAAAAAAGCAGTCATTCATTGTTTATTATTTGGAAATATGTTATGTCAAACAAAATTATGTGCAAATTATTATGGGCCCAAGGTCAAATATTAAAAAAAATCCAATTCGTACTCTAGATTCATTCAATAAAAATAAGATGTATTTATTGAATTTTTAATGAGTTTTTAATCAGTGAATCCGGAGTTAAATTCATAGTCAAAGTTTTTATACCCTTCAGTATGAGGACTGTCGAAAATCTTCAAAATATTTGTATATTTCAAGTTGGATGTGAGGAGAGATATGGATTTAATAAACACAGCTCAAAGAAATAGGGTAGAATATGTATTTTTATTTATGATATTCCAATAAATTAAAGGAGCAGTGATAAAAATCAAACAGTGATAAAAATCGCTTGAAAATGTGACTAAATTTTTATAATTTTTTTAAAAGGAGACGAGTTAGTCCCATTGTTACTTTTACCATCATTCTAAAGGTGCAAGAACATAAATAGCTTTTTTTGATTGGTTTAAGTCGCCGGCTGGCTTCTTCGTAAAAGATGAAAGGAAAAAGGAGTTCTAGTCAGACTTATTGCAATTTCGGCCTTGTGCACCCTCTGCTTCTTTTAAGATAAAGATTGTCGATTACTTAAGCCATTAAAAAAATCATTTTATGTATTCTTACCTTAGTAGTATTTATACTGCCTCAAAGGTGAAGTTTTGAGCAGTTATTTAGAATATCAACCAAAAATACGAACCCAAAACATAAATAGATAGTCCATTTCGGGGGTGTAGCGTTATATTTGGGGTTTATTTTACCTCTTGCAACAGAAAATGTTTATTAAAAAATAAGATCAAAACACCAAAAATACTCTAAAGGTGAGAATATATAAAACGTTTTTTTTTTTTCATTGGCTTAAGTCATCGGCTGACTTCTTCGTAGAGGAACAACGGAGTTTTAGGTTAAAATTGAAAATCGGAAATTTTAAATTAAAATTTTAATAATAAAATTAACAAGTAAAAAAGCTGTAAGTTCGACCGGGCTGATCTTTCAATACCCTCCACCATTTGGAACGATTTTGGCAATTTTCGAAAAAATATAATCTGTTAAAATCTTAAAAATATCGAATGTAGCCGTAATATTAGGGTCTATACGACGAAGTGGACCTGCATAGGCAACTTTTGTCATAAACCATAAATATTCCGAATATCGGGAGGTACCGTTATAAGGGGGTTATATGAAGACGTGGACTTGCACAGAAAATTTTCTGTCATATGCTGTAGCATCCGTTACTACTTCAAATACCAAATTTAAAACATTTCCGGTGAATAATGTCGCTTAAATCACCAAAATACCGAAAAAAGGAGGTACCATTATATGGAGGCTATACCGAAACGTGGACCTACACCATCCTTTTTTAATACCAAAAGTCCTGCAGACATAATACACATTTGAGTAAAATTTTATCAACCTACTTCATTTCGTTCAGAAGCTAGAGTGATTTCCACAGACGGACGGACATCGCTAAATCAACATAGAATTTTATGCTGATCAAGATGTATATATCGATGTGTTACAAACGGGAAGACGAACTTAATATACCCTCCATACTATGGTGGAGGGTATAAAAACAATACACATTCACATAAAAATAGCGTATATGTTTTGAAAGAAAAAAATTACTTCAGAGGTTGTTTTATTCGACCTCCTTTTATTGTAGCCATGGTAGAATTAAGAAGGTAGAGCCGTGCAATCATTTGTTTAAATTGTTCATTGAATATTCAAAAATCAGAGATGGGAACCTATTTTCTAGGCAGTGAAATTTGACAAGGTAAATTGCAGAAAATACAGAGATGGACGTTTTTATTTGAAATGACTTTACCTTCTTAATTTAACCTTGAGCTACATAAATCATGGTAAAATTAAGAAGGTAAAGTAATTTCAAATAAACTCTTCCACCTCTGTATTTTCTACAATTTACCTTGTCAAATTTCACTGCATAGAAGGCAGATTCCGACCTCTGATTTGTCTATTTTGACAATGAGATGTTGTCAAATGAATAATTTAAAAAAAAAAATGTGAACTTATGATTGCATGACTTTACCTTCTTCATTCTACAATGACCTAAATGTAGACAGAACGATATATAGTAGTCAATACCAGAATGTTAGGATTTTTATCAGGGCACGAGCTATGTTTTAATGATCTGTCATTAATATTGTGATTTCAACAGACGGACATAAGTAAAACCACTTGACGCCCATAAAGAGTATATACAAGGTAATGTCATTTCAAATAATAATATCCATATCCGTCTTTTTTGTAATTTACCTTGTCAAATTTCACTGAATAGTAACAAGTTTCCATCTCTTATTTCCGTATATACAATGGATTTACAAACATATTGAAAAAATAAAGAATGTAAATATTTATAAAAAATATTTCTACCATGGTAGAATTAAAAAGGTAACCTTGTTTTACAATATGTTTACAATTTTATTGGACATTTGACAACCTTTCATTGTCAAAATGTTTATATTCATAAATCCATTGAATATACACAAATCAAAGATGGGAGCCTATTTTCAATGGAGTTTAATTTAACAAGATAAATGACAGAAAGTGCAGAGCTGGACATTATTATTGGAAATGACTTTATCTTGAATTAATTGTGCCATGATTTCTACATTAGAATACAATTCGTACGTCTATCCCTCTGACTCATCTGTAAAGTGACATTTTCCATAGCATAATTTTAGGTGCTCTCCATTATTTTTAAACCAAAAAAAAACATGGCACATACTATTTAGGTTGCGACAGCTATTACATACAGTTAAAAAATGAATTAGAGAATACCACTACAGGTGTTACAGATATATGGAGCTATAGGAAAACGTAGACTTTGCCTATAACGAACACCAAATTTTCTTTTATAGGAGGTACTACATTGCGAACTCCAAATACCAAATTTGAAACAATGTCAGTGAAAAGTGTGACACAAAACATCATAATACCGAATATCTGGAGGTATCGTTATAAGTTGTCTATTCCAAAACTTGGATATAATTTTTTTTAATTCTATTTAATGAGAGCAAAATGTTTCGGAAATAGCATCAAATTTTAGAATAAGAGTGCAAGTACATAAAGAGCTTGAAGTCATGGCTAGGCATATTTTGTTACATTTCATAAAGGGATTACAGATCCGCACTAAAACCCTGCCGTCGTTTTCCATTATAATTTGACATTAATATGCCTAGCCATGACTTCAAGCTTGTTATGTACTTGCACCTTAAGTTTAGATTTGTTCGAATTGCTCACCTTTGGCACGAATTATGGCCTTCAAACGGCCAATGAAACCGTCACACTCTGCCCGAATGTTTCTCTGCGGTATTTTGGCCCGTTCCCGGTGAAGCGCTTGCTTGAGGTGATCGACAGTTTGGTATTATTTTAGTGCCAACCTTGCTTTCCAAAATACTCCAGACACTATAGTCCAACGGATTGGTATCCGGAGATTTTGGTGGCCATTGTGCGCTGGAAATAATGTAAGGAACCTTATTTTGTAATCATTCTTAGACGTATTCTGTTGGTGTTGAATCCTGCTTCAATACACCCTCCAGAATATTTTCGCGATAGTATTCGGCATTTATTCTGATGCCATGGTCTAATAATACGAGCGGAGAGCGACCATCGGCTGTTATGGCGGCCTACGGCCCACACCATCATCATGGCCGGCGCTTGAGTTCTGGTGTCCAACCGAAGGTGCACATTTTCAGCTGACCTCTTTGGCAATTAAACACGATCATTTACAAACTGCTGGACAACGAATGTTTTCTCATCCGAGAAAACCAAATTCGGCAGTTCACCCTTTTCGGCCAAGCGAAACAACTCTTTAGCTCTTTTGAGCCTATTTTCTTTCTGTTGCGGTGTAAGTTCTTGCACTTTTTGGAATTTCAATGGCTTTAACCCGAGCTCATTTTTTAATAATTTCCGAATGGAATATTGCGATATGTTCCGGTCACGAGCCATTTTCTGGACACTGCGACGCGGGTTTCGATCAAGTCACTTCTTTACTTTTCGAACCATTTCTACTGATGTCTTCCGTCCGTCGGGCCACGCTACCGGTATCACGGTAACGAGCGATGGTAGGATACACAAAAGATTTATTAAAATTTAAATGCTGGAGTGCTCTAACGATAGCTACTAGTGGTTTTCCCGGCCAAATATATAGAAATCACACTTGAATTCCATCACGAATAACTTTTTTTTCTGGAAAATTTTCTCCAAAATGCTTTTGTACGCTTGTAAACAATATAATGTGCTGTCATAGGGATAATTTTAACAGCTGTCGGACAAGTGTCTTAGAAATGACGGCAGTCTGAAGTTGTGTAAAGTGTTTTTTTTCACATTTTTAGAATTTACGTATGTATTGCCTACTTTGAGGAGCTCAAAAAATGTACACATCTTTTTTGCAAGTAATTTATAAACATCGTTAACATCGCAAGCCTAAAGGTTAGAGTACATAAAAGGCGTTTTTTGACTGGCTTTATACTTGCTCACCCTACGCTCCTTTGTTCTTTTACAAAGAAGCCAGCCGATGACTTAAGCCAATTAAAAAAGCGTTTTATGTATTCTCACCTTTTTTGTTTTATTTTTTGGCTCATTTGCTTGCAAGTTTCTGCAGTGATTTTCATATATTTCTTGCAAAAGAGAATTAAACTACTTTGCACTCTCAGAAAAAAGCTTCCCGCATGAAAAGTAATCAGGCAAACCTAACTATACCAAGGGTGAATTTGTTGATTTTGAAGGATTTCTATCTGGTATTGGGTTTTTTTTGGAAGGATATCCATCTGTAGAGACTCTCTGACCTTCAGCTCGTCTGTGGAGACCCCCTGGCCTCCAGCTCGTCTACAGAGACTCCCTGGCCTTTAGCTCATTTATAGAGACTACTTGGCATCCAGTCCGCCTATAGAGACTTTCTGGCTTTCAGTTCGTCTATATAGATACCATGGTTGAATATGCTGATTTTGAAGGATTTCCATTTAGTTTTGACATTTTCGCTAGTTTTTCATTCCCATACTCTCTCTGGAGTTTTCTCAGGGCGAATTTATCAATTCTTTCTTATACTACTTTAATTATTAAAATGTAATTTAGTAAATTTACGATGCGTACTTTATGGAATCTCCGACTAAAATAACGAGATGTTACAAAAGGAAGGATTAAATTAGCACATCCTCTATCTTCTTTAAAAGTACTCAAACACAACATTGAACGTAGTAGAGCTTTAAAAAAACCTCCAAATACCGGTGTCCTCAAGGTTAAAGGGTATAAAATGATTTGACAAGACGGTTTTTTAATTTCACTTACATAGAGTAGGCATCTGTAGCGCTTTTAAATAATGTTAAACTATAAAGACTAAACGAGAAAGACGTATATGCTTGAAGGACCTTTTTACATAAATACCCTGTTATCTACCTCACCTAATATAAATCTTCTCTTACAGATTTATTTCTAATATTTCCGGCGTCACATCATGCCTTCAACATCATCGGCATCAACAAACAAATGCTGTACGAATATGTGGGTACAGTACAGGTTGGTGCCAAAGCGCCGCAGGACGAAGAATTGCCAGCACCACCAACCTCTGGCTGGATAGTGAGGGGTAAATTAACATTACAGAGGCAAAGTAACAGTACACTGGCGGCAGCGGTGAGTAAACAATTAATAAAGTAGGATTCTCCACCCATCCTTATCTGTAATTCTTTTGGAGCATGCTAAAATTCACACCTCTTAATCTAATGTCGACGCATGCACCTTTATAGTATTTTTTTTTTGTTTTTGTTGTAATAATTTTTATCTCACGTTTTCGGTTTATATGAGAGTATTTGTGGGTTCGTAAATGTCAATTCATTTGCCAATTTCAATTGAAATCAATTAATAATTTTTGCTGCTACTGCTGCTGTGATTCCTCATTGCGACCTCTTGACCCGCCAACACACAGAACGAGCAACAACACATTTCGATGTGTTTGGTATTCAAAATCACAGAGTGTTCAATACAAGGGTCGATCAATGTCGTCAATGATTCAAATTGAACAACGATAAAGATATGTCTATATATATATATAGAATGTGATGGAATCGCCTAAGATAGGCGTTATATTGAATTGATGCCATTAGTCTAGCCTTAGATTTTGTTTTTTCGAGAGGGATTACCATATAATTGTACTCATCATTAAATAATACGCCACCCTTCTGATATATGTATAGCTAGTCTTTAAATACTCCTAGGAAATCATTGTCTTTAGCTCATTTATATATAATCATTAGCCCTACCTTCAACTCCCACATAGGCTCCCTAGGCCTTCAGCTCATTTTTATAGACTTCCAGGTCTTTAAAGCTCATCTTTATAGGTTCGATGACCCTTCCGAAAATCGTCTTCATGCCCTTAACAGAGTCTTATTAAATTCTGTGGCCTTCCAGCTCGCTGGCCTTCAGCTCGTCTATAGAGACCCCCTGGCCTGCACCTCGTCCATAGAGACTCCCTGGCCTGCAGCTAGTCTATAGAAATCGTCCGAAAATCGTCTTCATGCCCTTAACAGAGTCTTATTAAATTCTGTGGCCTTCCAGCTCGCTGGCCTTCAGCTCGTCTATAGAGACCCCCTGGCCTGCACCTCGTCCATAGAGACCCCCTGGCCTGCACCTCGTCCATAGAGACTCCCTGGCCCTTCAGCTCGTCCATAGAGACTCCCTGGCCTGCAGCTAGTCTATAGAGACTCCCTGGCCCCTCAGCTCGTCTATAGAGACTCCCTGGCCCCTCAGCTCGTCTATAGAGACTCCCTGGCCCCTCAGCTCGTCTATAGAGACTCCCTGGCCCCTCAGCTCGTCTATAGAGACTCCCTGGCCCCTCAGCTCGTCTATAGAGACTCCCTGGCCCCTCAGCTCGTCTATAGAGACTCCCTGGCCCCTCAGCTCGTCTATAGAGACTCCCTGGCCCCTCAGCTCGTCTATAGAGACTCCCTGGCCCCTCAGCTCGTCTATAGAGACTCCCTGGCCCTTCAGCTCGTCTATAGAGACTCCCTGGCCCTTCAGCTCGTCTATAGAGACTCACTGGCCCTTCAGCTCGTCTATAGAGACCCCCTGGCTCTTCAGCTCGTCTATAGAGACTCCCTGGGCCTTCAGCTCGTCTATAGAGACTCCCTGGGCCTTCAGCTCGTCTATAGAGACTCCCTGGGCCTTCAGCTCGTCTATAGAGACTCCCTGGGCCTTCAGCTCCCTGGGCCTTCAGCTCGTCTCTATAGAGACTCCCTGGGCCTTCAGCTCGTCTATAGAGACCAACTGGCCTTCAACTCGTCTAGAGAGACTCCCTGGTCTTCAGTTTCAACCATTAACTCTTGGATAAAGACTCCCTAGGCTTTCCCTGTCCTTCATCTCCTTCCTTCAAGGGTTATTTTTCTCCTGATCTCTAATCGTATTAAATATTTCCCTTTATCTTCCAGCTCGTCATTGACGATGTCACTCTTAACAATTCCGGTGAAAAGTTCCTGCAAAACAAAGAAATGTATCCAACCTATAAACCCTTCAAAATTGCCCTTACCTCTGAGGGGGCCATCAAACATTTGGTCTTCAAGGAAGGCGATCCAATTTGGTCTACCAATTTCAAGCGAGCCATAGCATCAATGATACAATTTCAGACCAAAAAGTCCGGGGCTTTTGTGGTGGATGAGGTGAGTTTTCATTTAAATAACCTAAAAATTAAATCTTAAAATGTTTTCCACATTTCCAGATGGGTATCCATGGTGAATGTCAAACGGAATATTTCATTTCGAACAAAACGAATTACATTTCCATACGTAAAACACCCGAGCTGAGTACCTGTAAACCCTATGCCGAATCCATACACATTACGCGTAGTAATGTTCCGACAAATACGTGTAAATTTGATTTCCAACAAAATGTGATTAGCGGTAATGAGGCCATATTTGGTATGTTGCCACATCCGGAGACGGGATATTTCTTGAGCATGGCTCATGTGAAGGGTTCGACACTGATTCACACCTTTGAGTCGACCGGTGAAGCTCAGTTCATTAATTCAGAGTAAGTATTGGGGGGTGGAATCGCCATTCTCCAACGCAATTTCACATAAAGTTTGTGCTAAGCTAAGTTTGGCGCCCAATGTGGGGCATTACTTCTAATCATGAAGACTCTATCACTGCAACCCATAATATCAAGAAATCGTTCCCATAAGTTATTAAGTAAGGGTCAGTTGGCGCGCAATATCGTAAATTGTTCTATTAGTTATGATAGGGTCACTTTGGCGCTCAATGAAGTATTACTCGCAGTCATGCCTTCTCAATTGTCACAACGAATGATTTCCAGCAAGTTTCCTTGTTGATAATAATCAGTTTAGTTTGGCGCCCAATTGATTAGTAGATCATTTAATTAGTTTCAGTGCCAGAATTTTTAACCAATTACTTCGACAAAGGCAATCAACATCCACTATCTTTTTTTAAACCTTAAAAACTCCCCTTTCTTTCACAGACTACTCCTAAATTTCCTCAACGAAACGACAATCGATAACCCCATCGATGTGGAGACTTCCATGAGTTCAGTGGAAACCGGTTTACAATTACTACCCATCGAATTGAATGATCCCACGGGGGGACGTAATCCACAGCAACAGGAAACCCTTATCAAAACAGCTTCACGTCTTTTGGACAACTTAGCCGAAGGTCTTGAGATATCCAATTATAAATTTACCGAACCCTATGATGCCACAGTATCCGATGTAATACGCCTACTAACTGAAATGGATTTTGAATCTTTAAAGAAATTATACACCGAAGTGGATATTGGTACCTCCTATCGTCAGGAGACCATACGCAACATATTCCATGAAATAATACCAAGGATTGGCACTAAAGCTTCAGTATTCTTGACCCGTTATTTGGTGGTGGAAAAAGAAACCAAATCGACCATTGCGGTCCAATTACTGGTCTCAATGCCTTTTCATATTTTCGAGCTATCCCATGAATTGGTTAAGGAATGTGAAGTTTTTCTCACGTTGGGCCCCGATCGACCTGATGTCAGGCAGGCGGCCATATTAAGTTTTGCCACTTTGGTGTATAACGTGCACATTGCCGGTGCCATAAATCGTGATATTTTTGAGGATTATGTCCAGAAGTATTTTAATTTTTATTTAAGTAAGTTCAGCTTCTCCTTTACACTTTTAAGAGATTTGGATAATTTTTGCATTTTTTTGCAGGTTCCCGCGACTACGACACCAAAATGCTGTATCTGCAAGGTTTAAGTAACTTACAGGTTGGCAATGTGGCAAATTACTTGGATCCCATTGTCAGTAATGGTGAGGAGAATCAGGATATCAAATTCTTGGCTGCATGGACAACATTATCATTGGCGCCCAATCGTGCGGAAAGGGTAAGTCACAAGTTGTATACATTAGAGTTCACATCGATTCACTGGCTCTTCAGCTATATAGGTTCGCTGACCCTTCAGAACGTCTATATAGACATGCTGTCTTCAGCTCGCCTATAGAGACAAGCTGAGCCTTCAGCTCGCCCATACATAGACAAGCTGAGCCTTCAGCTCGCCTATAGAGACAAGCTGAGCCTTCAGCTCACCTATAGAGACAATCTGAGCCTTCAGCTCACCTATAGAGACAATCTGAGCCTTCAGCTCGCCTATAGAGACAAGCTGAGCCTTCAGCTCGCCTATAGAGACAAGCTGAGCCTTCAGCTCGCCTATATATGCAGCTGAGCCTTCAATTCGCCTATAGAGACAAGCTGAGCCTTCAGCTCGCCTATACAGACAAGCTGAGCCGTCAGCTCGCCTATGCAGACAAGCTGAGCCTTCAGCTCGCCTATGCAGACAAGCTGAGCCTTCAGCTCGCCTATAGAGACAAGCTGAGCCTTCAGCTCGCCTATAGAGACAAGCTGAGCCTTCAGTTCGCCTATAGAGAGAAGCTGAGCCTTCAGTTCGCCTATATAGACAAGCTGGCCCTTCAGCACGCCTATATAGACAAGCTTAGCCTTTAGCTCGCGTATATAGACAAGCTTAGCCTTCAGCTCGCCGATAGAGACAAGCTGAGCCTTCAGCTCGCCTATAGAGACAAGCTGAGCCTTCAGCTCGCCTATAGAGACAAGCTGAGCCTTCAGCTCGCCTATAGAGACAAGCTGAGCCTTCAGCTCGCCTATAGAGACAAGCTGAGCCTTCAGCTCGCCTATAGAGACAAGCTGAGCCTTCAGCTCGCCGATAGAGACAAGCTGAGCCTTCAGCTCGCCTATAGAGACAAGCTGAGCCTTCAGCTCGCCTATAGAGACAAGCTGAGCCTTCAGCTCGCCTATAGAGACAAGCTGAGCCTTCAGCTCGCCTATAGAGACAAGCTGAGCCTTCAGCTCGCCTATAGAGACAAGCTGAGCCTTCAGCTCGCCTATAGAGACAAGCTGAGCCTTCAGCTCGCCTATAGAGACAAGCTGAGCCTTCAGCTCGCCTATAGAGACAAGCTGAGCCTTCAGCTCGCCTATAGAGACAAGCTGAGCCTTCAGCTCGCCTATAGAGACAAGCTGAGCCTTCAGCTCGCCTATAGAGACAAGCTGAGCCTTCAGCTCGCCTATAGAGACAAGCTGAGCCTTCAGCTCGCCTATAGAGACAAGCTGAGCCTTCAGCTTGCCTATAGAGACAAGCTGAGCCTTCAGCTCGCCGTTGCAGACAAGCTGAGCCTTCAGCTCGCCTATAGAGACAAGCTGAGCCTTCAGCTCGCCTATAGAGACAAGCTGGTCCTTCAGCTTGCCAATATGGGTTTGCTGGCCCTTCAGCTCCTCTATATAGATTCGCTTGCCCTATAGATTCGCTGAGCCTGCAGCTCCTCTACATAGATGAGCTGAAGGGCCAGCTCCTCTATATAGATTCGCTGACCCTTCAGCTCCTCTCTATAGATTCGCTGGCCCTTCAGCTCCTCTATATAGATTCACTGGCCCTTCTGCTCCTCTATATAGATCCGCTGGCCCTTCAGCTCCTCTATATCGATTCACTGACCCATCAGCTCCTCTATATAGATTCGCTGGTTCTTCAGTTCCTTCATATCAATTCGCTGAACCCTCAGCTTTTTCTTACGGATTCGTTGGCACTTCAGCTCCTTAATAACGATTCGCGAGCTCTCCAGTTCATCTAAATAGATCCCCTGACCCTATTAAACAAATCTGCCGATAACCTATTATCTGACGTCTTGTAATTTTGCCTTTTCCTATTTTTCTTTCAGATCTATGAAATCTATTGGCCCATATTCGAGTCGCGTAATGCCAGTTTGGAACTGCGTGTTGCGGCTGTAACTCTGCTATTGATCTCCAATCCTACCGCTGCCCGTCTAATAAGTATACATCGCATCATACAAAGTGAAACCGATCCTCATATGATCAATTACTATAGGACCACCATAACAAGTATTTCGGAGACCACATATCCATGCTATCAAAATTTGTGAGATTCAAAAAATGGGAACCATCCTCCCGACAAACTTTTAACCTTTTTTCGTTTTGTTTTTTTTAGGCGACGTCTTCTATCCTACATGCATCGTCATTTACCCCAAAAGCCGGAGCCCCGCTATTGGGTAACTGGTAATTACATCTTCGATTATCGTGATTCGAAATTCGGTATTGGTGCCATGCTACAGGCCTTCTTGGTGGGTGATCCTAAATCCGATTTACCCGTGGTGGCTTATTTACAATTCGATACAGAGGCTTTGGGTAAATTTACGGGACAAATGGCGGTAGGTTTTCCCAAAGGTGCACTTTGAAGGCCCCCAATTAATTCCTTATCTTTTAAACAGTTATACATCAAAGCCCGTGGCCTGCCGGATAACTTGTTCAAGGCTTTTATGAACATCAATGGTAACCCCACCAAATACATTAACATACAAAATCTACTCAAACTTTTGGATGCTCCGATTGTGGCCACCAAGCCGTTGCATTTGGAATTCATTTTGAAAATGGAAGGCAAAACGGTGCTGTCGTATTACTTGAATGAACGGACCTATCAGAAGATTACCTATTATGATTGTAAGTCTAATAACGATTTTATAATCTGCTCAACATCTAAATGATCTCTTGATTTTTTTCCAGTAATTGATCGTATTAGTTTCTTGATTCATGCCGATTCCCATATCAACATGCAAACGGTACGCTGGCCCTTCATGACGAAGTATGTTGTGCCCACTGTGTTGGGTACCCATGCTGATGTGTTGCTGCAGACCACAGTGCTGACTTCGCTGCGTGGTAATATCACCCAATATCATGAGACCAAGGTCAAACAATCGTCGTTGGAAATTGATGCCCGCTATTCATCGTATGCCTCATGCCGCAGCCGAAGTTATAATCCTTTCCTAAATTTGGATCATGAAATTAATCGTGAACAAGGTTTTCTCATTTATATTCCGCTGTATTTGAGATTAAATTATTATGCAGGGGCCTGTTGGGAATATACATTCACGCGTCCGGAAAATCTTACAAGTGGTCTGTCGTTTAAATCACGTTCGGTGACCATAACCAAGGGATTGATAACGAAATCGGCCAATGAACCTTTTGAGGAGATCATGTATCCGGAGCGACATCATGATGTGGTAAGTAGGGAGATTTTTGAAAAATCCTTTGCTCTTAGATGCGAATTTTACGGAAGAAGGTCCATATAACACCTACGGTGAAACAGATCCTTGAGTTGCTCTATATAAACACGTCGATCCTTTAGCTTCTCTATACAGACATGCTGATCCCTAAGCTCGTCTATATAGACAGGCTCGTCAACTCGCCTGTACAGACACTCTAAGTCTTCAGCTTCTCTATATAGATCCGCTGACCCTTCAGCTCCTTTATATAGATTCGCTGGCCATTCAGCTCCTCTATAAAGATTTGCTGGTCCTTCCGCTCCTTTTTATATAATCGCTGCTCCTCTATATAGATTCGATCAGCTCCTCTATATAGATTCGCTGACCATTCAGCTCCTCTATATAGATTCGCTGACCATTCAGCTCCTCTATATAGATTCGCTGACCCTTCAGCTCCTCTATATAGATTCACCGACTCTTCAGCTCCTCTATATAGTTTCGCTGACCCTTCAGCTCCTCTATATAGATTCGCTGACCCTTCAGCTCCTCTATATAGATTCACCGACCCTTCAGCTCCTGTATATAGTTTCGCTGACCCTTCAGCTCCTCTATATAGATTCGCTGGGCCTTCACGCCACAATATAGATTCTCTAGCCCTTCAGCTTCTCTATAAGGATTCGCTGGGCCTTCAGCTCCTTCATATACAGACACACTGATCTCCAAGCTCGTCTATATAGTTTCGCTGATCCCTCAGCTCGTCTATACAGTCTCGCTGATTCCTTAGCTCGTCTATACAGTCTCTTTGAAACCTCAGCGAGACTGTATAGACGAGCTGAGGGATCAGCGAAACTATATAGACGTCTATACAGTCTTGCTGACCTCTTAGTTCGGTTGTACAGACGCTCTAACCTCTCAGCTCGTCTATGTGAGTGTTCACCCTCAGCTGGGCTGTACAAGCGCCCTAGGCTCTGAGCTTATTTATAAAGATACCCTGTCCTCGCTGACTCCTCAGCTCGTCTATACAGTCTCGTTGGTCCCACAGCTAGTCTATACTGTATCGCTGATCCCTCATCTGGTCTATAGAGTCTCTCTGACTTCTAAGCTATTCTATACAGTCTCGGTGCCCCTCAGCTCGTCTATACAGTCTCGCTGTTCACTCAGCTCGTCTATAGAGTCTCTCTGACTCCTCAGCTCTTCTATACTGTATCGCTGATCCCTCATCTTGTCTATACAGTCTCGCTGACGTCTAAGCTCCCCTCAGATCGTCTATGCAGACACACAGATCCCTCAGCTGGTCAATACAGTCTCGCTGATCCCTCAGCTCGTCTTTACATTCTCGCTGATCTGTCAGCTTGTCTATACTGTCTCTCTGACCCTCAGCTCCTCTACACAGTCTCGCTGGTCCCACAGCAAGTCTATGCTGTATCGCTAATCCCTCATCTTGTCTATACAGTCTCGCTGACCTCTTAGCTCATCTACAAAGCCACGTCAACTTCTCAGTTCGATTTTACAGCAACGCTGAACTCCTCCTCAGCTCGTCTATACATACGAATTAACCCCTCACGTCTTATATAAAGACATGCTGACCCCTCAGCACGTCTGTACCGACGCTCTGAGCTCATCTATTGAGACACGCTGATCCCTCAGCTCGACCCCTCAACTTGTCTAGAGTTTTTTTGGGCCCTCAGTTTGTCCTACATGGATTCCAGGAACTTTTAACTTGTCTTTACAGACTCGCTGACGCCTCAGATCTTCTGTACAGAGTCGCTGGTCCTTTGGCACTGCAATTTTATAATTTTCTGTCTTTCCTTTGCTTCCAGTTCCAGTTATTCAAATACGACATGGAGGATTTGGGTATGTCCATTGTGATCAATACCAATTTGAATGAGTTGAACAAATATCGTGGCATGTTGGTGAAATCGGAATTCATGGAAAAGTAAGTTCCCACAAAAATGAGACCTTCGAAGATTTATATAATAAACATTTGATATCCTTGCAGTGGCTTCTCGCGCAACATGATCATCAATTTCCTGATGTATGTCTTCGGTGTGGCCCAGCTGAGTTCCATACATTTGGGTCATGATCGTAACTTTACCATGTTGATATCGAATGATAAGTTTACAAAGGTAAGGCGGAAGAAGGAAGATTTTTTGTTCCAAAAACTGAAGGATGAGAGCATTCTCTTTTCAGATTGAGGGTGCCATTTGCAGTACGGAAGAGTTGAAGTCCCATGATCAATCTCTGCGTCACATAAATTTCACACTCCAGCACACCGATGATCAACATCAGGATCAGGATTTGCACAAATGGATTATCGATATGGATGTGGAGTCATCGAAGAAAACAACATGGTTTAATATTGCCGGAAATGTCCAGCGTAGTGCGGTTTCGAAGGAGCCTCATGCAAATAGCTCAGAACCCAAGGATTGGAAGGTAAGTTGGATGGGGAATATTACATAACTTCGGAGAATATTTAAAGAGTTCTCAATTAATTAAGAGGGTAATTCCTTAATATATTTATAGAAAAGAAAAACCTCCGAAAGAGAAAACTCTTAAAGAGAAACCTCTGAAAGAGAAGACTCTGAAATAAAAACCTCTGAAAGAGAAACGTCTAAAAAGAGATACCTCTGCAAGAAAAACCTCTGACAGAGAAACCTTTGAAAGAGAAACCTCTGAAAGAGAAACCTCTCATAGAGAATCCTCTGGAAGAGAAAAATCTGATACGTGGTTTAATGAATTGTCTGCAAATTATTTATTTTTATTTATAAAGGATTTATGTGGATGGATAGTCCTGTACAGTCCTGTATAGCCCGATCTTCCTGGAAAAGATTCTTCTCCAAAGGTTCCTTTTATTTAACAAAAAAAAATCTATTTAAAAATATTTATCTAAAAGTATAACAAATGAGCAAATGTAGAGTCCTCAATCTTCCACATTGTGTTGAGCGAAAAATCCTTATTCCTTGGCCTCCAGTTCTTGTTCGGCCTTGATCAGGGTTATGATGCCCTCTTGCAGGGATTTTACCAATCCGAATTCGGTAAAACCTAAATATCCATGACGCCATCCACAACTGCTGTGTGTTCCCCTCCGGTACCACGAATTTGAAGATTCAAATCAGAAGGAAAGATAAAGCTCTGAAAGAGAAAACTCCGAAAGAGAAACCTCTCAAAGAGAATCCTATGTAAGAGAAACCTCTGAAAGAGAAAACTCTGCAATGTGGTCCAATGAATTGTCTGCAAATTATTTATCCTAATTTACGAAGGATTAATCTCAAAAATTAATAAATTAGGAGTTCTCTACAGTCCTGAATAGCCCGATTTTCCTGGTAAAGATTCTTCTCCATAGGTCCTTTTTTATTTAACAAAAAAAATCTATTTAAAAATATTTATCTAAGAGTATAACAAATGAGCAAAATCCTCCACATTGTGTTGAGCGAAAACCCCTTATTCCTTGGCCTCCAGTTCTTGTTCGGCCTTGATCAGGGTTATGATGCCCTCTTGCAGGGATTTTACCAATTCGAATTCAGTAAAACCTAAGCGGCGACGATTCGAAATATCCATTACGCCATCCACAATTGCTGTGTGTTCACCTCCGGTACCACGAATTTGAAGATTCAAATCATTGGCCAAGGTTTTGAGACGTTCCTCATCTTTCGACAACAATGGCAGGCGTATATGGACCGAAGCTCGGAGAGTGGTGCCCAAATTAGTGGGGCATGCCGTCAAGGCTCCATAGCGTGCATGGCGACCAAATGTCAAGGTTTTTTCCAACTCCTGGAGGCCCTTAATCAAACGGTTGTAAACGTCACCTGTCAAATGGAAATTTAATTAAAATCTCTCTTTAAAAGAATTTTTAGAAAATCTCACCCAAATCCCCACACTTTGACATCGAAATAATACGCAAATGATCCTCCTCATTGACCCAAATCAAAAACGTCTCCGACGGATTATGATAAATACCCCTGCCAATTGGCCAAAAACGATAGCACCCGGCCGTTTGCAAAAATGCATCACCTCTCTTGAACAAAATATGCCTTGCCACCATTTCCGCCTGTACCTCTGGATTTATATCCTCCATACTGAAATAGGCCCCGGTCAGTTCACCATCAAACGATTCTGTGGCTGCCTTTACTTTCGCCTCAATTTCATTGAATTGCTTTTCACTCAACTTGGCAAAATATGGATAACCTTCAATGTTACGTGCAATCCGTATCCTTGTCGATTTGATATATCTCCTTTCAGGATCTAAATTTTCGATTTCATCGGCATTACCAAAATCAGCATCGGGATGTATTTGTTCCTTATCATTATCCAACTGGCCATGGTAATCACGTATCAGGGGATCAAATAGTTTCGTATAGGCATCATAACATTCTGGGTCGGCAGCATATAGACCACAAGCAGAATCATGATGATTGTAACCAGATTGTACACAATCCAAGAGAGATGACTCCACTGGCGGGGAGGTGAATATGGATTTATATTCATCGAGTATTTCTTTGGTTAGATATTTCCTTAAAAGCGATGCAGCGTGTTCTTCATCTTCAATGAGTTGCTTGAAACCTTCCTCGAGAAGTTCAGCAACCTCTTCGGGGGATTTTTTGCTGTAAGGGGAGAAGGAATGGGAAAGGAGAGTTTGGTTCCTCAGAAAAGTTTGATAATAACCTGAATAATGTATCTACGTTATCCAAATAGCATATATAATGTATCTACGTTTTCCAAATTGCACGGATAATGTATCTAAGTTATCCAAATAGCATAGACAATGTATCTACGTTATCCAAATAGCATGGATAATGTATCTACGTTATCCAAACAGCATGGATAATGTATCTACGCTATCCAAATATCATGAATAATGTATCTACGTTATTCAAACAGCATGGATAATGTATCTACGTTATCCAATTAGCATGGATAATGTATCTACGTTATGTAAATATCATGGATAATGTATCTACGTTATCCAAATAGCGTGGATAATGTATCTACGTTATCCAAATAGCATGGTTAATGTATCCACGTTATCCAAATAGCGTGGATAATGTATCTACGTTATCCAAATAGCATGGATAATGTATCTACGTTATATAAATAGCATAGATAGTGTATCTACGTTATCTAAATAGCACTGATAATGTATCTACGTTATCAAAATATCATGGATAATGTATCTACGCTATGTTAAAGGATTACAAAATGTATCTACTATATCCAAATAGTATGGATAATGTATCTACGTTACCCAAATAGCATGGATAATGTATCTGCGTTACCCAAATAGCATAAATAATGTATCTACGTTATCCAAATGACATAAATAGTGTAGTGTAGTGTAAATAGTGTATCTACGTTGTCCAAATTCATGTATAATGTATCTACGTTATCCAAATAGCATGGATAATGTATCTACGTTATGCAAACAGCGTGGATAATGTATCTAAGTTATCCAAATAACACGGATAATGTATCTACGTTTTCCAAATAGCATGGATAATGTATCTACGTTCTCCAAATAGAATGGATAATGTATCTACGTTATGCAAACAGCATGGATAATGTATCTATGTTATCCAAATAGCATGTATAATGTATCTACGATATCCAAGTAGCATTGATAATGCATCTACATTACCCAAATAGCATGGAGAATGTATCTTCATTATTCAAATAACATGGATAATATATCTACGTTATGCAAACAGCATGGATAATGTATCTACGTTATTCAAATAGCATGAATATTGTATCTACGTTATCCAAATAGCATGGATAATGTATCTACGTTATCCAAATGGCACGGATAATGTATCTACGGTATCCAAATAGCATGAATAATGTATCTATGTTATCCAAATAGCATAGATAATGTATCTATGTTATCCAAATAGCATGAATAATGTATCTATGTTATCCAAATAGCATGGATAATGTGTCTACTTTATCCAAGTAGCATAGATAATGTATCTACGTTATCCAACAGTATGGTTAATGTATCTAGGTTATCTAAATAGCATGGATAATGTATCTACGTCATTCAAATAGCACGGATAATGTATCTGCGCTATCTAAATAGTGTGGATAATGTATCTACGTTATCCAAATAGCAAAGATAATGTATCTACGTTATCCAAATAGCATAGATAATGTATCTACGTTATCCAAATAGCATAGAAATGTATCTACGTTATCCAAATAGCGTGGACAATGCGTTGATAATGTATCTTTGTTATCCAAATAGGCTGGATAATGTATCTACGTTATCTTAATAACGTGGATAATGTATCTACGTTATGATAATAACGGGGATAATGTATCTACCTTATCTTAATAACGTGGATAATGTTTCTACGTTATGTAAATGACTTGGATGGAGTATCTACGCCATTCAAATTTAAGTATCGTTTTTAACATAACGTACATATTGTATCCAAACATGTATACGTATTCCCTATCCTATTTATATTATGTTCACAAATACACATACATTTGCGATCGTAACCTCTCCAAATCCTGTTCCAATTTCGCTATTGTCTTATGGGCCTCTTCCAAATCTGCTTTCATGGCATCGAATTGTGTGTCGTCGGGACAAGATTCACACATAAATTTCCTAACAAAACGTATGGCATCTTCGGGCTTATTTTGTTCCTCATACAACTTTATCAGAGCCTTACTCAAAGCATCAATAACACCAGCTCGTTCCAAATATTTGCGATATTGAACACGTTTCGATTCGATCTGGGGAAAGGGGTTAAACGTTTTAGTTGATGTCAAGGACGTTACCATTAAACTAACTTACCGAGGACATTTTTGAATTTCAAGGTTTTTTCGGGTTTTCAATTCAAAATTTCCAAAACTTATTTGTTGTGACAGTTGAATATTTTATTTTAAATTTTCCAATTGTGGCACTTGTTACTCTGTTTCTTTTTTTTTTTTTTTTGTAATAAATAAATCTTCTACTTTGCGTGTCTAAAAACTATTGATCAAACGTCCTTTATTTGTCTGTTGCAACGACGGCTGGTTGTTGATGGTTACGGACGGACTGAGTTGTAATGTGCGTTTGATGGCTGATGACTGTTGTTGTGGTATCCTTTGATTTGTCTATTCCACTTCACTGGGAAATCTCATTCATAAAATGCTGTGGAAAATTTCGAAATCACTAAAAACGAACGGTAAAAACAAAACGGCGGCCACACTCTACGTGATTCGAACGTTGTGGCAAGTTCACAACAACTGTTTGGTGGGCCAAGTTTGTTAATGCTAATAGCTCCTTGCAATGAGGATGAATGGTTGGTTGGATGGATGGATAGTTGGAAAGCAGACATGCGGTTGATTGTTGCTGTTGTCTTTTTTTTTTTTTTGTTTTTTTGTTTTTTTTTGTTTTTGGTATCTATTGTTGTTGGTGTTGTTGTTGTTCTAAAACAGCCATAGTTGCAATTATTCCACTGGCATTCATTAGGGGGGTTTTCTATGGTTTGTAAGTATGTTTTATAGGGTTTGTGGAAGGGTAACCGGGGGAGGGTCTGTTATAACACAGTGGCAGAAAAACAATTTCCGATATTAAAAAAATCTACTCAACGAAGATTATTTCAAATATTTCTACCCATATTTTTCAATTTTTATACCCTCCACCATAGTATGGAGGGTATATTAAGTTTGTCATTCCGTTTGTAACACCTCAAAATATACATTTTAGACCCCAAAAAGTATATATGTTCTTGATCAGCATAAAATTCTATGTCGATTTAGCGATGTCCGTCTGTCTGTCCGACTGTGGAAATTACTCTAGCTTCCAAACGAATTGAAGTAGATTGATGAAATTTTACCCAAATGTATATTATATCTACAGGACTTTTGATATTGAAAATGGGCCATATTGGTCCACGTTTTGGTATAGCCCCCATATAACGGTACGTGCCGATATTCGGTTTTTTGGTGATTTTAGCGACATTATTCATCGGAATTTTTTCAAATTTGGTATTTGAAGTTCATAATAGATACTACAGCCTAAGACAGAAAATTGTCTGTGCAGGTCCACGTCTTCGTATAGCCCCCATATAACGGTACCTGCCGATATTCGGTATTTTGATGATTTTAGAGTCATTATTCATCGAAATTCTTTCAAATTTGATATTTGATGTTCGTAATGGATGCTACAACCTATGACACGAGATTGTCTGTACAGGTCCACCTCTTCGTATAGCCCTCATATAACGGTACCTCCTGATATTCGATATTTTGATGATTTTAGCGACATTATTTACCTGAATTATTTCAAATTTTGTATTTGAAGTTCGTAATGGATACTACAGTGTATCCCAGAAAATTTACTGTGCAGGTCCACGTCTTCGTATAGCCCCCGTATAACGGTACGTCCCGATATTCGGTATTTTGATGATTTTAGCGACATTATTCATCGGAATTGTTTCAAATTTGGTAATTGAAATTCGTAATGGTTACTACAGCCTAAGACAGAAAATTGTCTGCGCAGGTTCACGTCTTCGTATAGCACCCATATAAAAATATCTCCCGATATTCGGTACTTTGATGATTTTAGCGACATTATTCATCGGAATTGTTTCAAATTTGGTATTTGAAGTTCGTAATGTATACTGCAGCCTCAGGCAGAGACTTGTCTGTGCAGGTCCACATTTTGGTATAGCCCCCATATAATAGTACCTCCCAATATTAATGATTTTAGCTACATTATTCACCGATTTTTTTTTCAATTTTCTCATTTGAATATTGTAATGGCTTATGATAAAAGTTGCCTATGCAGGTCCACGTCGTCGTTTAGGCCCTAATATGGCGGCTACATTTGGTACTTTTAAGATTTCAACAGAATTTTTATTTTATTTTATTATTTTTATTTATTTATTTATTTATTTTTTTTTTTTTTTTTGAAAATGCCAAATTCGTTCCAAATGGTGGAGGGTATTCAAAGTTCTGCACGGCCGAACTTACAGCTTTTTTTAATTGTAATCATTTTAATCATATTTTTCCTTCTAGGCTGCATTGCGATTTTCCCATAGAAAATGCCATTCACCCAACCTGAATTCCCAGTTTCCTGTAGAAAAGGATATTCAGCTAAGCTGAAAGGACATTTGCCTATTAAAAATGTAATTTCGCTAGGCTGAATTGCAGTTTCTTTTAATAAAATGCCATTCAGCAGAGCTGAATTTTAATCCTGCTATAGAAAATGCAGTTCATTTGAGATAAATTGCAAATTTTTGCTGAAGAAAACATAAATCAGATAGACCTACAATATTTCAATAGAGAACCGAAAATCCCCCTTTAAAAATTTGCACCCACAGTCCTCTAAATACATTTTCCATTCATTCATATAAATATGTGCAGTATATAAGTATGTTGCCATTTGTTGTTGTTTCATTATTCTTATGTAGGCGTAATTTTCATTCTCCTAAACATCATGGCATTGTAGATTGTGTTGTTTTTTCCCTCTAGTTCTTTTTCAAAGTGTATGCGTGCGTTTGTCCTTATTAGTGTCATGGTGATTTCAAAGTAGACTACTGTTACAATGTCTGTATGTCCCAAAAATATCCTCGCTTTCAAATCCTTTGAAACTCACACGAACTTATATTTTTATTTTTTCAAAGACAACATAACTACAAAACTAACCTCAAAATGTCTACTTGCAGGGGCCTCATAAAAAAAAATACTTAGGTTAGTTGTAGCGAAGCGCTCATGTGTTGTTCAACAACCTAGTTATGGTTGTCATGTCTATGATTTCCGTTTTTATTACTTTCAATCGTTTTGTTTTATATTTCTATTGTTTTTGTAGTTGTTGTGTATACCACAAGACAAGTTGGAGAAAGGACGTACTCTTAAGGATTCAGTTTGTAACGGCAATTGGTCTAGTTTAGCTCAGAGAAACACAAATGATTTCCTATAGGAATGTAAAAAATCAAATTAGAAGACCAGAAGGTCTTCTTATAGAAGATCCGAAGGTTTTATTAAGAAGACAAAGAAGGTCTTCTTATAGAAGACGAGAAGATCCCCTCATAGATGGGCTGAAGATTTTCTCACAGAAGAGCAGAAGGTCTTCTCATAGAAGGCCGAAAGGTCTTCTCATAGAAGAGCTGAAGGCCTTCTCATAGAAGAGCTGAAGGTCTTCTCATAGAAGAGCTGAAGGTCTTCTCATAGAAGAGCTGAAGGTCTTCTCATAGAAGAGCTGAAGGTCTTCTCATAGAAGAGCTGAAGGTCTTCTCATAGAAGAGCTGAAGGTCTTCTCATAGAAGAGCTGAAGGTCTTCTCATAGAGGAGCTGAAGGTCTTCTCATAGAAGGCCAGAAGATCTTCTCATAGAAGGCCAGAAGGTCTTCTCATAGAAGGCCAGAAGGTCTTCTCATAGAAGGCCAGAAGGTCTTCTCATAGAAGGCCAGAAGGTCTTCTCATAGAAGGCCAGAAGGTCTTCTCATAGAAGGCCAGAAGGTCTTCTCATAGAAGGCCAGAAGGTCTGTTCATAGAAGGCCAGAAAGTCTGTTCATAGAAGGCCAGAAGGTCTTCTCATAGAAGGCCAGAAGGTCTGTTCATAGAAGACCATAAGGTCTTCTCATAGAAGGCCGAGAAGGTCTGCTCATAGAAGACCAGAAGGTCTTCTCATAGAAGAGCTGAAGGTATGTTCATAGAAGGCCAGAAGGTCTTCTCTTAGAAGACCAGAAAGTCTTCTCTTAGAAGACCAGAAAGTCTTCTCTTAGAAGACCAGAAAGTCTTCTCTTAGAAGACCAGAAAGTCTTCTCTTAGAAGACCAGAATGTCTTCTCTTAGAAGACCAGAAGGTCTACTCTTAAAAGACCAGAAGGTCTACTCTTAGAAGACCAGAAGGTCTACTTTTAGAAGACCAGAAGATCTACTCTTAGAAGACCAGACGGTCTTCTCTTAAGAGACTAGAAGATCTTCTCTTAGAAGACCAGAGGGTCTTCTGATGGGAGACGAGAAGGTAGTCTTCTCATCGAATGTAAGAAGGTGGTCTACTTATAGAATACCATAAGGCGGTCTCCTCATAGAAAATGAGAAGATCTTCACATAAAAGGTGCAAAAGGTCCTCTCATAGATGACGTGATGGTCTCTTCATAGAAGGCCAAGAAGGTCTTCTCATATAAGGTCTCTAAATCTTCTTTTAAGGACCCAGACATTGTTAGTCTTCTTTTAAAATTCGGAAAAGTTCATCTTTCAAGTAAATATATCTAACTCTGTTTTTATTTTTCATTCCAGGCCTGCGTCAATGTCACCTATGCCCCCTTGGTGTTTACCAAACGTCCTCACACATTAATGGGTTCAATAACATTCGGTAATGCCACAACAGATAACGCATGTCCCGTTGAAGGTTCCAGCATAACGTTTAATAGCAGAGCTGGGGTAAGTTGACATAACTATGGACCTCTCTATCCAGTCGATAAATAATATTTCTTGTCTATTTTTTTAGCCCTCGGATCGTGCACGAGAATTCCTGCTCTCCGATAATCCATTGACCGATACCGGTTTTTGTCCCAAGGAAGTATTAAAATTCACCCCAATACCCACCTCGAAATACTGCAAAAGAAGTAATTTTGAGAACTTTACCTCGGTTACCAAATACGATATGGATGTGCAGTTCAATAATGTAAGTTACGGGAGGGGAGGAAATAACCTAACCATGGGATGACTTGAAATTACATTCCAATTTCCAATTGGAACTGAAAATAACTTTTTCTATCTATCCCTTTAGATGCCCGATTGGTTTGATTTGTGGTCCAGCCGTTTGGATCACTTTGTCTCGTCCTTCTCTCATGACAAAGTCGATCGCCTTGACATGAACAAAGAGATACACCTGTCCATAAATTCCCCCAATGACCACTTTTGGTTAACAATTGAGGTCAATGGTGTGCGCCGTCGTATTTATCACATACCCTTCATACAGAAACTGGATTCGAAATATGATGCGTCCCATGAGATCCTATATGATTCTGGAGTGAAACGTAAGATAACCCCCATGGAAAAAGGGTGAAGAGTACTTCTAATTTGTCGTTTGTTTTAATTTCAGGTTCCTGCTCAGTTATCAATGGCATGGTAAACAGTTTCGATGACTATCTCATCGATTTGGCTGACTATCACAAGGTCACGAAGGCAGATAATTGTCAAACCCTGTTGGCGGCCGATTGTAGCCCCCTGCGTGAAATGGCCATATTCTTGATGCCATCATTTGAAAATAGCCTGAGTTCAAATTATGGCCTGCGAGTTTATATTGGTGAAAATTATTTCACTTTCAAATCGACCAATAGTACCGATGACAAGGCTCCCGTTTTGATAACCTTGAATGATAATGAGAAAACTGTGAATGTACGAGAGAAACCCTATCAATATCCCGAGGAGGGGAACAAGTTGGAATTTAGGTAAGAAATTTATTACACTTTTGTATGAAATAGAAATCCTTTAATAGGTCTTCGGTCCATAGAAGGTCTTTAAAAGTCCTTCGGTCTATAGAGGTAATTAATAGGTCTTTTGTCGATGGAAAGACTTCTGACAATATCTTTTGTCCCTAGAAGACCTTTAAGAGATATTCGTAAAAGACTTCGAAACGAAGACTTAAAAAATGTTCTGTCCACAGAAGACTTTTAAAAGCTTTTCGGTCAATTGAAGATTTTTAATATTCTTTCTGTTCATGGGGATCTTCTGTCCATGGAAGACCTTAAAAAAGTATTCTGCCCGTAGAAGATTTGTAAAAGTATTTTTTTATCCATATCCTAAGAAATAAAAATCCTTTAAAAGGCCTTCGGTCTATAAAAGTCCTTCGGTCTATAGATGTCATTTAATGGGTCTATTGTCCATGGAAGAACTTTAAAAAGTATTCTGACAAGATCTTCTGTCCATAAAAGACCTTTAAAAACTATTCGAAGAAGACTTAAAAAATGTTCGGTCCATAAAAGACTTTTAAAAGCTTTTCGGTCGATTGAAAACCTTTAAAATTCCTTCTGTTCATAGGGATACTTTCAAAGGTCTTCTGTCCATGGAAGAACTTTAAAAAGTGTTCTGCCCTTAGAATGTTTTTAAACATCTTATGTCCATAAAAGACATTAAAACGTCTTTCTGTTCATAGAAGTCCTTTAAAAGGTCTTCAGTCTATAAAAGTCCTTTCAAAGGCCTTATGTCCATACCAGCTCTTGAAAAGGTCTTCTGCCCATAGAAGGCCTTTAAAAGACCTACGTCAATAGAAACCTATTAAACGTCTTCTGTTCGTAGAAGTCCTTTAAAAGGCATTCGATCCATAAAAGCCCTTAAAAAGTCCGTCTGTTCATAAAAGATCTTTAAAAGTTTTCGTGTTCATAAAAGTCTTTTATAAGGTCTCCGGTCTCAAGAAACCCTCTAAATGGCTGGCTGATCATGACAAACTTCTTAAAAAGTCCTTATGGTTATAGAAGTTCTTCGTTTTATAGAAGTTCTCTAAAATACATTCTTTCCATAGAAGTCCTTTTAAGGAACTATTCAAATCTTTTTTTAAAGTTCTGGTGTTCATATAATTCCTTTAAAAGGTCTTCGTCCTATAGAAGTCCTATGAAAGGCCGTCTGTAGAGAGCAGTCCTTTATATAACCATCTGTCCATGAAAGAAATTTAAGCCCATTGAATTGTATTCCGTATACTGAAGTCCTTTAAGGGATCGTCTGTCCATAGCAGTCCTTAAAAAGATCTTCTGTCCATGGAAAACCATTAAACGTTATTAAATCCATTGAAGCCTAAAAGTCCTTATGTTTATAGAAGTCTTCTAAAAGTCGTCTGTTTATAGAACCCTTTGAAAGACCTTTTTCCATAGAAGACCTCAAAAAGACCTTCTTTCCTAACAAGACCTTTAAAAGAACTTCAACCCATACAAGCCTGGTGTTTATAGAAGTGATTCCAAAAGGCGTTCGACCTATAGAAGTTTTATAAAAGGCCGTCTGCACATAGCAGTCCTTAATAAGGCCTTCTGTCCATGGAAGAAATTTTAAAGGTCTTCAATCCATAGAGGCCAATTGAAAGGTATTCCGTCTACAGAAGTTCTTTAAAGCACCGTCTGTCCATATGAATTCTTTAAAGGATCTTCTGTTCATGAAAAACCATTAAACGTTATTCGATCCATTGAAGCCTAAAAGTCCTTATGGTTATAGAAGTCCTATAAAAGGTCTACGGTTAATATATGTCCTTTTAAAATACCTCCTTAGAAGACCTTTAAAAGGTATTCCGTCCATAGGAGTCCTTTACAACAACTTCCATCCAAACAGGGATTTTTAAAGTCCTGGGGTTCACAGAAGTAATTCAAAAAGTTCTCGACCCATTGAAGTCCTATGAAATGCCGTCTGTAAATAACAGTCCATAATAAGGCCTTTTGTCCATGGAAGACATTTTAAAGGTCTTCAATCCAAAGAACTCTTTAAAAGAGATTTGGACTATAAAACGCCGTCTGTCCATAGCAGTACTTAATCTTCTGAAGAAAACTTTTAAAAGGTTTTTTTTCCACTGAAAACCCCTTCCAAAGAAGAAGATCTTTCTTTTAAAGGCCGACTGTTCTTGAAAAGGTTTTCCCTTTTGGAAGAACTTGAAAAATTTCGATCTGATGAAGGCCTTTAATAGTCCTTCTGGTTATAGAAGTCGTTAAAAAGACCTTCTGTCTATAGCAGTCCTTGAAAAGGTCTTCTATTCAAGGAAGTAATTTGAAAATAACTCTGCCTATCAAAGATCATTAAAAGATCCTCGATCCATAGAGGTTATTTAAAAGTCCCTCTGGTTACAGAAGTTCTTTAAAAATCCTTCTGATTATAAAAGTCCTTGAAAAGGGCTTCTGTTTTTTTAAAACATCTCCGTTATAAAGAATACCTTTGAAACCCCAATGCCTTTTATTTCATCTCATTTACCGATTTTAACTTTATTCTAATTTCTCCTTTTCCTCTTCCTTTCCAGGGTCGAAGTCAACGAACAAAACATTTTGATTGTGGAGAACAATTTAATGCCCTCCACCATACAATTCGATATGTTGAATATTCTCAATTTGGAAATATTCTCGGTGTACAAGAATAAAATGTGTGGTCTGTGCAGCAAACCGCTGAACAGTATGCGCAACTATACCCTGTGTGCATAACGCCCAAAAGCATGCTTCCCAAAATGTTTTTTAAACAAATTATAACATTCTTTTTTTTTAATTTCTTCCTTTAACGTCGTTTACGTTTTCCCCCCAACAACTTTTCTTTTTATTTAGAGTTAATAATTATGAGATTATGAACCTTGTTTGTCTAAACTATTTAGAAAAAAACCCAAAGCTAACTAAGAGCTATAGAATTAATTGTATGTGACAAAAAAAATTATCTTTGGCTTTAAAAAAATCAATGAAAAATTCTTGCCAGGCAGATGTAAAAAGAGAAACAAGGATTAGAGATAAATATTTGTACTAAATCTAAATACAAAGTAAATAAAGTTATATATTTTAGCATAAAAAACTGCTGGTTTTATTCAAAGTTATCTTTTTCAAAGATATTATATTGCTAGTATCAAAACTTAAAAGCGAGGAATTCATTTCAACTTAAAACTAATTCAAGAACAAGTATATTTTTCATAAAAATAATGGTTCTTTTTGGCCTTGAGGAATTTATTTTTTTGGTTTGTAGCGAATTTTCAGTTCACCATCGCGATGTAATTGCGATAGCAGGTGGATGCGTATTTGCATAACATTCTCCAAATACTGATTACACAAACGGCAAGTTAAAGGCTTTACTGTGTCACCACTGAAACAAAAGAGAAACCATCAGAAAACAAGGCATAAAAATAAATTTCCAAACTTAACTTACAATTGTGCCAATCTATGCAGTTCATCACAATGCAACAGCAAGGCTTGTATTTTATCATACTGCTCATCACGCAACACCAAAGCGGGCAACATGGGAAACAGCGAACGATCACCCAAAACAGCAACGGTTTCCAAAATTTCACTGCTATCATGTTCCAGCCAAACATTGTCATTTTCACTGACATGCGTCTCAATGTATTTGCGATTTTTACTCAGCAACCTACACCAAATATAGACAAGAATATATTGAATAAAATTCGATTCAAATTTTCATTTCAGTTCATACTTAATAATAAGCTGTTTAATTTTAGCCTGCAAATCACCAATTTGTTTTGGTAGAATGGTGGGCTTTTCTTCTCCAATGTCCGTGAACAGCAAGGAATCCATGCAATAGCGTAATTGATTGATCTGCAAAGATATGGAAATGCTAATTTTAAAAAAGTCGTTTTTGGACATAAGTTGTCCGTCACCGATAGTAATCGTCTTCATGAAGACTTTTCGACCCCTTTGGCCATTATAAAAGACTGCTTGAAGAAGACTTTCTGGTCTTCTGCGAAAGCGTCTTTAGAGTGCATCATTTAAGAAAACTTTTTAGTCCTCTCTATATCGACCTTAAGGAAGACTTTCTGGTCTTCTATAATCTCTTTGAAAAACATATTAGCCTCTTTAAAAAACATTTTTTGCTCTTCTTTAAAAACATTTTTATGAACTTAACACAAGAAGGCTACATGGACTTCCTTTAGAAGACTTTAAGACTCTTTAGCCTTCTCTACAAGGACTTATTTAAAAAACTACTTTTGGCCTTCCCTAAAAACACTTTAATGTACTTCTTCCTGAAGACTTAACGGTCTTCTTTTAGAAAACTTAAGGACCCATTTGACCATTTCAATTAGTCTTCTGGGAGTCAACATTTTGGTATTTTCTACAAGGACTTCTTAGAACGTCATGCTTAAGGTTTAATCTTCTTTAAGATGACCTTAAAAACAATTATTGTTTTCTCCTAGAACGCCTTTTTGGCTTTCTATGTGAGGGTGATGCTGTAACCTTCTTTAGGAAGACCTATTGGCCCTTTTATGGAATTTCTTAAAAGCACTTTTAATATTATTCAGAAGGCTTTTAGATCTTGGCTAGAAAGTCTGTCAGAAAAGGTTGTGGAATTCCTTATTCCAGTTAAGGATCATATAAGCTTGGCCAAGAAGACTACTTTTGACAACAATTTGGCAATAAACTTAGTAGATTTTGCACCATTGTGATTTGACTCTCTTCTCAGATCGCAATATGTCTTTTGACGGCAAACATAGCTTTCAGATGGGCTTTGTGGGCGACCTTACATATGCTTTTTTTACCAACCATTTCAAAATCTTCCGTTTTAATTTCCACATCCAAATTGAGGACCACATCATGTTCGGCATACAATGGCTTGTAGTTGGTGGGATTGTAACCCAAACCTGCCAAAATGGCAACATATTTTGTACAGCTGCTATTACGTTTAATCTGCATGGTTGGACAAAACAGCATTGTCATTAGGGCACCAAAACCATGAATATTTGGCATAAGAGTAGTTGCACGTGCAACAATTGTTTCACCCGATTGGGTTGCTGTCACTCCCGCCGCCACATACAAACGTTCATGTACATCCTGCGGATCGGTATCAAGTAGCACTGAATTAACTGAGTCTCTTTCAATTTCAACACTTTTCCATGAACCCGCCCGCACGGTGGAGAATATTTTCGTTTCCAGGGGAGAGAATGGGCCACGCAAACGTATCATTTTGTTACACATTGTCAGCGGGGGTGGTGGTATATCTTTATCCTTTTTCGGTAAAATAGACTCAAGATATTCTACTTTTTGCCGCACTTGATCTTCGTCCAAATAACGATTGGACAATGCCTGTTGGCGCTGACGATTATCGTGATCACTCTGGAAATATAAAGAAATATTAATTTATTCAAGCAACCACCTATTTCTCATTCTTTTCGGTACCTTGGAGAGATAGTTCTCATCGGAACTTCTGGCCAATTTCCTTTCCACCAATAGATCATTGAAAGTTGTATTGCCTATATTTATAATAATATTAGCCACGGCCTCGACTACAGAAAATATTTCAATTTCCACAACACCAGTGTCGGCACATTCTTGTAAGAGTTCTTTGGTCTCCTCAGACCATTTACCATTCGGTGAGCGTACCGTTGAGGGCTCAATCATGGCCAAACGACACTCAAATATACGTGGTGGTATTTCGGCCATAGAAGCAATTTGTGGCCAAAAGGCACGTAGCTGTTCGAAGCGTACAAATGCCGTACTACCATTGTCAATAAATAATACCTGAAAACAAAAGACAAATTGCTTTGAAAAGCAGTTTCTAACAAATTGTTGTAACTCCAAAAACCTTAAACTGCAACGTGGCTGTTGAGGAGATTTTCAAAACCATGGCCCTTTGATAACGATCATTAAGAGGAGCACACAAAATCATGCCTTTTGCCACTTCTGCTGGACTCTTAAATCGTGCAGTATCCAAACTTTTTTCATCATTCAATATATCAAGCATTTCATTGAAACGATTCTTTTCAGTTATGGGGAGAAAGAAGAATTTACCACAATTCTCAATCTATGGAAATATTTCAAGAGATAGGACCTGCTATTAGTTATCAATTTAAGAGTTAAAATTTATGAGCACTTACATGAGTTATTCTGCCTTTTAGTTTCTTTTGAAACACCGATGGCAGGACAAACAAATCGGGATGTTTTATTTGATTTTTCACCGGCTGCCATACACCGTCTATCATGGCGCCATAGCCCTTGTCTTCGGCATATTTAACTGCCATCCGGGGACTGAAAAAAAAAAACAACTAAATTAACTAATCTCATTTCATAGCAAACAAAGAAACTTACTCCATAACATTGATGACTGTGCGCATTTTTGACATACGCATTCGTATGGCCTTATACACCTCAGGGCGCACCCGACCCGGTACCACCAAACGTTTACTGCTCTCATCATAGTCCTTCTCCAGATCATTTTTAAAGGTAACCAATACCTTTTCTGAGCCTGGTTGAAATCGTACTTCTATATCTTGTGGTCCAATTTCCAGATCTCGAAATATATCTTTAATGAAATGGGCATACAATTGACCAATATGTTTGGTATTGAAATTGGTAAAATAAACCGTGCTGCAAGGATCATTGCCACACAATATGTGATAGAGGCCACGTTCGCGATCTGTATCATTTAAGGTGGTGCGTGTAAAATAGTTGGGATAAAATGCCCCGGCAATAACAATTTTCAAAATTGTTGTTTTTTCACGATCCATCCAATGAACATGTTGATATGAATTGCGAGTTTTTAAATTGAAACCCTCTAAACGTTCTAGGATCTCTTGCCGCAACAAATGCATTTCTTTGAGGGAACGTATATTGAGATGACAACGGTTGGCCCAGGCATATTGGGCATCATCGTCACGCAAATTATTTTGTTCACACATTGAAGACCAGAGCTGCAAACGTTTAAAGATTATGACATTTGTAAAGAAATCATTAAATGATTGTGCATCACCTTATATGCCTTTAACATGGCAAATAAATCGGAGCCAGACCCATCAGCAAAGGACAACTTCTTTATATAGGCCTCACAATCGCTATGGGGAGTTTTTGCTTGAAACTGAAATACCGAGCGAACACTCAAACCAGCAGCTAAGAAAAAGCAATTGCTTAAATAAAATGTATAACAATATCAGAAATTAAAAAAACTCACCCATAATAACAGCATCATCAAGGACACCAAAAATATAACCCAAAACAATTAGGCGACTTAGACGTACATCCAACGGTAATGCTGCCATAATACGTCCCATAAAACTAATATCTCCATCTTGTACTGAATATGTGCCATTTACGGTCATATACAATGCACCCAGTTCTTTTAGCATCAAAATTGTATTGTGAATATCACTTAAATTGGGTGGATTCATGGCCAAGCCTAGAATATCGGGTGGCGGACCCATATCCAAGAGTTTTGCCCTCAAGACAACATTTTCCAATGGGCATCGCAACATTTCCGGTACACTATAGTCATTCATGCAGTTCTAGAATATTAAAAGCGCGAAGTGATAAAGAGATCTAGTATTTACAATATTTACATACATCATAATAGTAACGTGGTACTAATCTGTAAACTCGTCCGTTCATTACACGTCCCGCACGACCCGAACGTTGTCGACAATTTGCCTTCGAGGCCCAATGCAATTGTAGGCAAGAGAAATTTGAGGCTGAATCGGTTACCAATGATTTGGTAAGACAGAAATCAATAACTAAAAGAACAAAAAACTGGATTAGTAATGGAAATATAAGTTTAAGGAGTAACATTACCATATTTTACATCAGGTACAGTTACAGAACTCTCAGCAATATTGGTGGATAAAATAACTTTGCGATAACCTGGGGGAGCTTGATGAAATATTTTAAGTTGTTCATCGGGTGATATGAGCGAATGCAAACGTATGGGACTTAGTTTTATTGTATTGCTAAAAAAAAAAGAAAAATTACTTGAAATACCTTTAAATATTGAGTTTGGTTTCAAGACTTACTCATCAATATCGTTAATGTCTTCTATTAGTCGGCACATTTTATCAATCTCATTGATGCCCGGCAAAAATATCAATATGGAAGTTTTGTATGCGGCATGTGGAGCTTCATGTTTTTCAATATTATCAATAACATAGATGAGTTTCAATGCAATACCATACATTTCGTTTGAGATTCCAGGTTCGGCATAATCTATTTGTATATTCTAAAAATAATAGAAGAATAAAATATACAGATTAATAAAAATTTGTAGAATGTACCATGGATGTACAAAATATCTACATACCGAGTTATTTATGCGCCCCAATTCACACAAATAAAATTCACTAACTTTATAACGACGACGAGAATCGGCTTTGATAATTGGTGCTGGTTCACGTCTGATACGGAAATAGTTGGCAAACTGAAAAAATACGTGTAATACCAACAGGATCACAAATTATCTATCACAAGAACTCACCTCATTTGTATTAATGGTGGCAGACATGAGTATGATTTTAACATGTTTAGATGTGGTGGCCAACAAGCGTCTAACAACAATTAAAAGAAAATCCATTTCTTGATCTCTTTCATGAACCTCATCCAATATGATGTGGGTAAAATGACCCAATGATTTCTCTCTGACAAGTTTTTGTAACAACACACCTGTTGTACAATAGAGAAGACGTGTGTCCTCGCTCAAATTTGCATGAAGACCAACCTACGGGGTAAATATGCAATTAATATATAATAATATGTTAATATTTCAATTTATGTTACCTGATATCCCACAAGTGTGCCTTCCTGCCATTTACGTTCTTGGCATACACGACGAGCTATGGTTATGGCAGCAATACGCCTTGGTTGGGTAACAACAATTTTACAATATTCCCTACGAGTATAGGCATCGTCAAGGATATATTGCGGAACCTAAAAAATAAAGACAGTTAATAATTTCCTCCAATTACGCCAATATCGACTGATAAAGAAAGAGGCTTTAATATTTTAACATTAACAGCCATGTTAATTACATGATCCCGCCTGTTAAGACCTTAACCTTAGACATTAACAACTGTTAACTTACCTGTGTTGTTTTACCACAGCCTGTATCTCCCTCCAACACAACAACTGGGTTGGTTCGTATCATCTCAACAATTTCATCCCGTTTATCATATATGGGCAGGGAGGAATTTCGATTCAAATCGAAAGGATAACGATCATAAATGCCATCATCTGGTCGTTTTGCTCGGGGATTTTCCTCATCGTCATTTTCCGAGTCGGTGGATAAAGGTTCCAAATCATCCATACAGGATGATGCCACCGTACTATGAGCCTCCGTGTGATGGCTTTTATTTAAATCCAACTTAAAATAAAAAATTTCTTCATAATTTTTCAAAATCTTAAATTCACAGTTGCAATTTACCTCATCTAGCTTAAGACATTCCTGTTCAATCAATGATTTTGCATATGAAGTCCCAACATAATCCCTCCTGCCAAATGCCGAATTTAATTCTTGTGGTTTGCCGGCTGTTGCGAGTGCCGAACCCGAAACACATCCTCGCGGCACTGTTTTCTTCTCGAAATCTTTGGAGAAATCAAAGAAATCATTGATTTCATCCATTCTCCTGTTGCAGTAATTGGAATTTCTTGACTATTTTCCTCAATTTTGCAAATTCCTTTGGTGGCCACTAATGAATGAATGTAGCAAAGCGGCGTCTTTTGTCCCCCAAATGAATCCCGTTAATTTACATTATTAGTGTTGCCAACCTTTATTGCATAGCAAAACATTCGTAAAAGTTCATACTCAAACGAAGAAGTATGACAATTGTCAATACATTTTTCTCTTCTGAAACGTATGAAACTTTAATATCGAAGACCTTTATGGGGATATTGTTTAAATAAAAAAACATGGTATAATATATCTACACATGGTACAATAATCACAAGTTAGGGTAGAATGATTAAATTCGAAAAACACAACTCTAAAGCTAGATTCCTGTAACTTTATATTTACCAATAACAAATACAACAATTTATTTTTTATTTGACACTTTGTTCGCAGTAGTTTTATTCAAAAGAAAATCGTGAAAAAAGAATGGCTTGAGAATAATATTACAATAAGCTTATTAACATATGAGAAAATCCTGAGAAAACTTATAATGGAACCCTTATTTATAAGCATGTACTTGTAATTGTAGAATAAGGTTACGAAAGTAATATTATACTAAACTTATCTTTGTAATGGTACAAAATATATATATTTTTTAATATTTAATGATTTTACACCTTTTGTTTCGTTGATGGACATCCCATCTACACCCCAATGACACTTTCTTCTCCCAATACCATGACACTTTCTTCTCTCCTATTTGAGCTTCTGCATCTCTTCCATTAAGACTACACTTCATTGAATTCCTACAAACACATCTTTTGACATATCAATTTTCTTCTACCATGGTTGGGATGTTATTGGATTATTAGACTACCAAAAAATAAAATATTGAAAATATTCTAATAGGCTACCATCCAAATTTGCAAATTTACGTACGTCATTCGCTAAGTATTAAAGCATTACCTTTAACACTTACAATCATTTATTTTATTATTATTAATGCTATTTTCGGGTCTATTCCAGAACTGCAATATTGTAAATGTTTTTACTACGATAACCGATTTTCCCTTTATGATATTTATGTACTTTTGTACAAATTCCTATAAAAATCAACAATCGAAAAATTTGAAAAAAGGAGTTATGTTCCTAATTTTAAGTGCGAACAAGGTTGCAATGAGAACATAGTATAAGTCGGACAATCGACTATGAATAGTCGAGTTCGAATTTCAGAACTTTGGGCACTAAAAGTCGATTACTCGAAACTCGACTTACCTATCCCTAATTTTTTGTTTATCACTTTTAAACGCTTAAAAAACTTAAGTAATTTTTGTAATTCTTTGTTTATTATTATTTATAAAGAGCCCCCAATAACTAAACAAAAGTCCCAGAAAAATGACTAGTGGTCGTTTCCACATAAATGGCGAGTCGGCTCCTGCTAACAGTGAACAACATTCCTCAAATTCAGCCACAGCGACAACGTCAGCAGCAGCAGCGACAACAACAACAAGTGCAAGTTCGAATGACATAAATGAAAAAATCCGCTTGTTTGTGTTTACATCACGGGAAACTGGCAGCTCCACAAACCTATCCACATTGCAAAGGGATAGACAGTCATCTACGGGGATTTTAGAAGAATTGGAAATAAAAATTCCAGAGGTAATAAAATAACTAATAAAAATAAATGGAAGAATATAAAATATGTCCTACGTTTTTGTAATTATTTGCAGCTCCTACAAAGCGGTTATTCATTCTACACGTGGCCCTGCTCACCCATATTGGCTTGGTTCTTGTGGGAACGTCGTCACTCCTTGGTTGGAAAACGCATTTTGGAATTGGGAGCCGGCACAGGTTTACCTGGAATTTTGGCAGCAAAGTGTGGTGCTCAGGTCTTGCTAAGCGATAATTCTATTTTACCCAAATCGCTACAGCATCTGCGGCGCTCTTGTACAATTAATAATTTGCGTCCAGGACAAGACATTGAAGTTATTGGCCTTAGTTGGGGCTTACTTTTGAACAGTCTTTGGTCACTGGGTCATTTGGATTTAATTATTGCAGCTGATTGTTTTTACGACCCCTGTGTTTTTGAAGACATTTTGGTAACAGTTTCATTCCTCTTGGAACGAAATCCCTCGGCGAAATTTATCTTCACCTATCAGGAAAGAAGTGCTGATTGGTCAATTGAGGCTTTGCTGAAAAAGTGGAAATTGTGTGCTTTGCAAATAAATAGTGACGATATTGGTAAGGCTTCGGGTGTGGATTTGCTGGAAATTCTGGGAGGTCATACAATACATTTAATTGAAGTTTCCAAGGAGTTGTAAAAAAGGAGCAATAAGATGTCTAATTTTATACGCCATACGTACAAGTTATTTGTTGGTAACTTACCCTGGACTGTTGGCCAAAAGGAGCTGCAAACTTACTTTTCCAAATTCGGTCATGTCTCGTCGGCTGCCATCGTTTATGACAAACAACAAGGCTTCTCAAAGGGTTATGGTTTTGTAACCTTTAGTGCTAGCGATGCCTATAATAGTGCCTGTAATCAAAATGTGCATTTCTTGGAAGGACGTGTACTTAGTGTTAAGGAAGCAAATAATAATTAGTTTATTATTATGATTTAATAGATAATACCATCAAAATGTAAAAAAATAAAATAGTTCGTATGCAATATATTTTAAGAGTGTATACGGATTTCAAAAAAAGGATGTTTTTTTTGGAGAAACCATGAACAAATTGAGGGCATTCGATTCCATTTGATTCGCAATTGGTAGAAAAATAAGTTTGCTGAACAGAATATAAGTCTAGCGATCTACTATGAATGTCAAGTTTTTTTTTGGTAAAATATAGTTTATTTGTGCTTTAAGCTTAATCCAATTATGTAGTGTCATATTTTCAAAACATTACAATACAAAAAATCACCTTGCATCTAACCCTACTTTTTCAAATAGGCTTTGTAGTTACTGCCCACAGCTTCGCTAATAGATTTATAACCCTTACCCTGCAAAATTTCTGCCAGCTCCTGTTTAATCCGCGACACAACCGGCGGTCCTTGGTATATGAATGATGTATATAATTGCAAATAAGAAGCACCAGCTTCCAATTTCTCAAAAGCATCCTGGCCCGATGAAATACCACCCACGCCAACTATGGGAATTTTACCACTCGTCTGATAGTACATTTCAGCAACAAGTTGTGTGGACTTGGAACGCAGCGGCACACCACTGAGACCACCAATTTCCTTGGCAATCTCTTCGTCCTTGAGATTCTCACGACTTACTGTGGTATTAGAGACAATTAAGCCATCAACATGACATGACTTCTTATTTATTACCGAGGCAATATCTTTTATGTCCTGTGACGTTAGATCTGGTGCAATTTTCAAGAGAACAGGAACCTTATTGTTGTACGGCAATTCATTGCGTGTTTGTATGACGGTTTCCAAAAGTTCTTGTAAATCTTTTTTGCCTTGCAAATCCCTTAATCCCGGCGTATTGGGGCTGCTAATGTTGATCACAAGATAGTCGGCAATGGGACCAAATATCTGTACACCTTGTTTGTAGTCTTCCTTGGCCGAGGGCGAGGTTTTATTTTTACCCAAATTTATACCCAAAATGCCATTGTATTTTCCCGAATCTTTGAGTTCCTTAAGACGTTGAAATACAACTACATGTCCCTCACTATTGAAGCCATAACGATTAATGATGGCCTCATCATTGACCAAACGAAAAACTCGTGGTTGGGGATTGCCGGGCTGGGGTTCTGGTGTCACAGAACCAATTTCCACAAAACCAAAACCCAATTGCTTTAAACCCTCCACAGCTTCACCATGTTTGTCGAAACCAGCCGCAATGCCCAATGGATTTTCCATGTCATGTCCAAAGAATTTTGAGGCCTAAAAAAAAGTAAAACCCCTTAAGTTTCGTCTTAATTTCATGGTGCTCCTTAGAACATACCAAAATAGCATCATCTTGTTTGTGTGGTTTTCCGAATAGCTTGTATTTACAGCACCACACAGCCAATTTGTGACTGGTTTCCGGAGGCAGCAAACGGGTGGCTGGCATCAACACATTTCTGTAATAACTTTCATTGCCTTGATTTATGCATAGGCCGGAAAACACCAAACCGCCGCCGGTGCACACCAATGCCAGCGATTTCAATTTGTTCTATTAAAGGAGAACAAAAACAAATTATTAAATTTCATATTGTAGTCCAAAGGTACTTACTATGGCTTTTTTGGAATTAGCCGCCATCTGGAAGAGTTGCGCAAAAATTCGCCTTTGCAATCCAAATCAACCCACACTTCTAAACAAACATTTTATTAAGGGGTACGGCCCACCATCCAAATCGCTATTATTCTAACCTAACACACCATGTGAAGTATTACAGGTTGTAAAGCTTTTATTTATGTTTCTAGTCAATGTAAAACGGTTCCATTAAATAAAAAATATTCTGGAAATATGATACCTCTTTTTTCTTTATTTATTTCTTCCTTTTCACCGCATTGAAGGGACGACATTCAGTCGCCAGACGCTTTTGATTGTGAACGACAAAATATAAATTAAATTGGTTTTCCAACACTGGCATTAAATGACTTTTCATTGAAATTACAATAGGTGTGTAGATAACTCAATAATTTGCAACTATTTATGAATAGTTTCAAATACGTAAAAAAATATTAAATGTGAAATTTTTGAGATTAAATGTGAGCAAAAATAAATCACTCCTTACCAAATATGTTAAAAATGTTGTTATCAAACATTTGCTATCAGTGTCAAGACCAAACTGACCAATTATGCCTTTACTCCAATAAATACATTCATTAGATAAAGGCCGCGCAATATGCCATAGCTTTAACAAATAAGATACTAGGTCGGAAAGCTCATTTTTGTGAATATTTCATTTGAACTTGGAACAAACGACTCAAAAGATTCAACCTGTTCCATCCATGGAGAAATAAGGGCTCATTGGCACCAACACTTCTCTGATAAAGATTATAGTTGCTCCTCCATCTAATTACAACAACAAGTCGTATTGTTTGGTGTCGCTTTCAAAGGCATTTAGATAAGAAACCCACAATCTAACAAGTGAAGGATACCGATGTTGGAGTATTAATTTGCAACTATTTATGGAATTCTTTTAGTATTTGAGAGAGAGAGAGTGAAGAGAACAATTTTGACAGATTTAAACAGTTTGGAAACACTGGGAACAATTTCTCTCTAAATTTGTTCAGCTGATTTTTTATGACCTTTATGAACAATTTTTACAACATGAAATATATATATATAATTACTCACATAGCAGGAATTCTCAATTAAATTGTATCATAAAATAAATTGTTAGAATGAAAAATTTCAATTTTTCGGCTTGCTCAAACTCTTCTTTCTGCTGTTCGATAACCTCCAATTTTTTCCCATATTTGAGAGAGTGACACAGAAGGCTACAGAAAGATATTTTATTAAAAAAGTTATAGAGCACACCTAATAACACATTTTGACATTTAATCTGGTTATCAGCTGGTGCCCCCCCCCACTTTATTTGGGGTCAGATAATAACAAAAACAACACAACGATCAAGGGAACATGTTGGTTTTGTAATTTTGCAATTTTATTCAATAATCATTAATTAAAAGTTGTTTCTTTAATTACAATCGTTTATCACATGAAACGGATGTTTGTCGCGCTTACAAGATTACAGTAATTATTTGAATTTTCTATTTAATTTAAAATGGAAGCGGCAGAAATTGGTTCAGGTGTTATGAACCCTGATATTGTGGCGACCATGACTCCTGAAACCTCACAGCATAATTTTATCAATGCATTGGTGGTAAGTTGGAAATCTCGTTGTGGTCTCATAACAATTTCCAATGTCATCAATCTGTTGTGTTTTCCTTTAGGCTGGTGGCGTTGCTGGCATGGTTGTGGACATTGCCCTGTTTCCCATAGACACAGTCAAGACACGTCTGCAAAGTGGCAGGGGTTTCTGGAGGGCTGGTGGTTTTAAGGGCATTTATAAGGGACTGGCACCTGCTGCGGCGGGAAGCGCCCCCACCGCTGCCCTTTTCTTTTGTGCCTATGAAAATTTTAAGAAACTATTTTGTGATCTCAGTGGATGTACAAAAAATTCACCATATATACATATGGCATCTGCATCTAGTGCCGAAGTGGTATGTAAATGATATGCCTACCTTTGCAAGAAAATTTAAGTTTTTGATATTTTCTTCTAGCTAGCCTGTTTGATACGCGTACCTGTTGAAATTGCCAAACAAAGAAGGCAAGCATTGGGAACAAAATCACAGAACGGGGCATTACAAATTCTCTGGACAGCGTATAAAACTGAAGGCCTACGTAAAGGTCTTTATCGCGGTTTCGGCTCAACAATTATGCGCGAAATTCCATTTAGTTTAATACAATTTCCACTGTGGGAATTTTTTAAGCTTCAATGGGAACCATTGACCGGCATAGAATCAACGCCATTTAGTGTGGCGCTATGTGGTGCCGTTGCAGGAGGCATATCGGCCGGCTTGACGACTCCATTGGATGTTGTGAAGACCCGAATTATGTTGGCCGAACAGAATAGTGCAATACGTAAATTATCCATACCAAAAGTAATGGGTTCAATATACCGTGAAAAGGGTATAACGGGGTATGTAAAATATTTCTTTTTTTTTCAATTTTTTTATTTTATTCTTGTTTTTAATTGCAGTTTATTTGCCGGTTTTGTACCGCGTGTTATGTGGATCACATTGGGAGGTGCATTTTTCTTTGGTTTCTATGATTTGACTACGAGAATGCTGGCAGCCCAAAGTTAGGCATATATCATAATGATATACTATACATATAGTAAACGGCAGTTCTATTAATTGGAAGTTTTAAAATATATTGTTCATTATTTGTTTTTTTATAATTAGTCTAAATTAAAGAATAATTATAATATTGATATTAGTTGGAATTGTACGTAAGTAGTTGTTAATATGTGCAGTAAAATTTGTATTTCTTTCTAAGTTGACTAGCCTGTTTTTTTGATTATAGGTAAATAATACTGTTGTAATATTAGCTGCATTTCGAAGTAAAATGTGATTTAGGTAAACAATTCCGAAGACTTATTGAGATGGGAAGTGCTCAAGTAGTTTTCATAGCGCTGAAAAGGGAAGGGGCAATGTTTAAATATTAATTATAGAAGTTTACAATAGATTATATCGTAATTGTTTCAAAAATGTAGTCCTTTTTACCACCAACTTACATTATTGATTTGCAATTTCCCCCTCAGTAAACTTTTCGTTGGATTATCTTCATTGTCCACTTCATCTTCCTCCTCGTGCATTGCCTCAGGATCTTGTTCCAGTGGAGAATCATATGCATCATCATCGTAGGCGAAACGTTTTCCCTGTCGTTTTTTGCAATAGATATGAGCTATACGGCGACGATTACGTGCCATTAGGTACACCTGTGTGGCAAAACAAAAAAAATCGAAACAGGTTAAAAATAGCTTGAAGTTTGTTTGCCCTCTTGAGTCTCCAACATACCAGCAACGACAAAACAATTATAACCAAGAAGGCCGTAAAAGGTATTAAGATATAAAAACTACCCTCATCCTCTGTTTCTAATTCCATGTCATGTATTGTTGTGCTATGCTGCACAATTGTTGGCACTTGTGTTGTCTCCTCGGCAATTATTGGCCTGCGGGTTTCTTTTTCATCCAAACCCATGGCGTTTAACAGTAATTTAATGTATTTTTCTAATTTTCTCAAAAGTTTTGTTTACAATTTTAATTTCACCCCTACAACAGGGAGATGATAAATGAACGATGATATTATCGATAGTTTAAGTTTCGATGTCACTATCGATGAAGCGCACAATGAATTGTGTCAGATGCGAAAATATTTCATGTGAAACTTTTGAGGTTAAATGTAAACAGAAATAAATCTCTCATATCCGCTCTCTATCAAAAATTTTGTTATCAAACATTTTTGCTATAGTGTCAGGATACAAACCTGGCCATTTGAAGCCTTTACACCAAAAAATACATTCATGAAATAAAGTTCGCGCAATATGCCACAGCTTTAACAAATATGTTACTAGTTCTGAAAGTTCATTTTTGTGAATATTTCATTTGAACTTGGAACAAATAACTCAAAAGATTCAACCTGTTCCATCCATGGAGAAATAAGGACTCAGTGGCGCCAATACTTCTCTGATAAAGGTTATAGTGGCTCCTCCATCTGATTACAACAACAAGTCGTATTGCTTGGTGTCGCATTAAAAGACATTCAGTCAAGAAATCCACCATCTAACAAGAGAAGGATATCGAAGTTGGAATATTAATGTGGTGATGTCGCTACTTCAATAAAACCACCAAATATTCTACCTTCATTCAATCACACCCGCCCAAGATGACAACAACAAATGATGTTATTGAAATCCCCGATGATCTGACCGAACTCTGCCGTGTATGCCTACAAATTCCAGATGAAAACAATTGTCTGGACATAACAATGATCTACGATGAAGATGACAACCTAACATATGGAGAATGCTTTACAATTTGTACCAACATCAATTTGGCTGATGGGGACAATCTACCTCACAATCTGTGTAAAACATGTGGCCTAGAATTACAAATGAGTTATGACTTTTATAAGAAAGTCGAGGAGTCGAAACGTTCCTTGGAACAATATCAGCAAAAAATTGAAGAGGTCACAAAACTGGTGGAATTGAAAACAGAGTCAGCGGAGAGAAGAGCTGATGTCCCCGTGACAAATTATGCCAATACAGATGCCAGTGACGATAAAAAGCATGCTACTAAATCTCCGAATATGGAAGTGGAGTCACTGTTCCAGTCATATGATAAACTAGAGCTTGAAGTCGTGTCAAAAGATAGGCAACAAATTGACAGTAACTTCTTTGTGGAAAATGAGCACGAAAACGAGGATCACCATCAATCTTATGGTGCTGAGGTTACTGCTAACACAGAGACTGCCGTCCATGGATTATCTGCAACAGCAGTACAAGAGGAACACTTAGACGAATTTAATATTGTTGAGGCTTTGGAAGATGAAGGTTGGTAAGAAACACTTCTTAAATGTATCATAGCTCCAAATAAACACGTCTCTTCAATGACAGAAACCCAGCATTCCAAATTATCCAATGGAAATTCCGGGTCAATTATTCTACACATGGATGACAGTGGAAAATATTTCTTTGAAACAGATGATATTTCCAATCAAGGGCAACAGCAGTATACCACTGTTACAATAGGAGATGGAGAATTTGAGGAATCTTCACAAGATTCACAACAACTTGAAGATGATACAAATCGTTCGTGGCAGGAGAATGTGGTGGCAGTGGCGAATAAGGAACACATACCATTAGAAATGGTAAACCAGGAATTACACCATCCAACCAAAGATAGTAATGAAGACTTTGCATATGAACTAATAGAAAATGATGAGGACGCCGTTGCCAACGATGTTGGCGAGGAATATATTGACATGGTTGAAAATGACAAGGAGGGTGGCTACACAAATTCCGCGTCACAACAATCGCGCAAACGCCATTTCGGCTCATTTTCCTGTGATTTTTGTCAAAAAGTATATCCCAACTATTCTCGAATGATTACCCATCGACGGTGTCACGAAAAGGATCGTCCCAAATATACATGTGAATATTGTGGTCGCATCTATGCCACAAAGCAGGCCATGGATTGTCATGTACAAACGTTTCATAAAAAGACTGGTTTTACGTGTCACATATGTCAAAAGATATTCGCCATACGACGCAGCCTCGAAGTGCATATGCGTTTTCACACGGGCGATTTCCCCTACGCGTGTAATTTATGTGATAAGAAATTTGCCCAATTGGGTCATTTGAATACGCATAAAAATGTACGACATAATAATGTACGATTCGGCTGTAATTATCCAGATTGTGGGAAATTTTTCACCTCATCCTCATCGCTGCGGAATCATGAATTTTCACATAGTGCAATGCCGTTTGAATGCCACTACTGCCAGCGTGGTTACCCGGCTAAGGCGAAGTAAGTGTTTTGCATACATATTTTTTAAATTTGAATTAAAATTGTTTTATTTTGTTTCCTTTTAGATTAAAGGTCCATGTCAAGCGTAAACATAACATTGAATTGTCCATAGAACAACTGGAAGATATGCGCAAATTCCATGTAGCACGTTCAAAAGTAAACTTAGTTAAGGTAGTTCCAATTGAAGACGAAGAGGAGGAAGAAGAAATATAGCAATAAATAAAATTGAAATTGAAAATATAAAATTGTTGCTTTGGAAAAATTATTAGTCTGTTCCAGAACTAAAAGAATCTACAATTTTTTACAACGGAAACCGATTTTACTTTAATAATATTGAGAAAAAATCCAAAATTAGTAGATTCTTGCAGGTTCTGGAACAGAGTGTAGTAGGACATCCCTTTATAGAAAGGATTTACATGACTTAGAGAGGGGGTTAAAAATCGTCGAATTTTCGACTCCCAGAAATCTAGATGGGCCTTTCGACTGTACCCCTTTTCCCTTTTTGTTGTCTGTTGGAAGAGACCACTCAATGTGACTTATTAACATAAAGAAAAAACACTTATTCTTTTGAATATTTTTATTTTCAATCATATGTTCAACATTTATTAAAAATGGTGTTATACACATTTACATATACACATGTATTTAGTTAGACTAGTTTGGTTTAATACAGTTTTTCTTTTTGCTTTTTTTTATTAAAATAATATACTTTACTTAAAACTGAGCATTATACCTTTGGCTAAAAACTTCATAAAAAACAATAATTTGGCAACAAAAATAAATGCATTTTGGTTTGGTTTGGTTTGTATTTCGTACTGTTTTCATGATCTGTTGTATATCTTCTGTCTATTTGCTGAATACCAGAGGTATGGCCTTGCCACTTGAATCTTCTGTAATTAAAGAGAAAAAATGAGCGAATTTCATGAAAAGGCAGGATGAATTTGAGAGGCTGTAATAATAAAATCATTGCTTAAGATATTAATTGAATGAAATAGAAAATAGGTCTTCCATTTGAAGAGAGAATGTCATTTGAAAGTCTACTTTTAATTGAAGACCTCATGTATGGAAGTCCTCTTATGTTTGAAAGTCGTCTTATGTATGAAAGTTTTCTTAAAAGAGAAGATATTTTGGGTCTCCCTTTTACACACAATGACCTCAAATTGGTGTTCTATATATAGAAACCATGTCAAAGATCGACTGCTCATAAAAATAAATTTGCCTTCCATGAAAAAAAGACCGCGTCATGATCTTACATGAGTAGATGAAGGTCTTCTTTTTTAAGGTCCTTTATATTTTGACAATCTCTCAAAGGTTCTCTTCTAATACCAGATCTCATTTTAATGTCCCCTTCTATGTAAAGAAGTTCCATTAAAAGAGGAGTTTGTTTTTGGGTAATCAATGTACAAACAAAAATCTAAAAATGGTCTTCAAAACATAGAAAACCTGTTGGACTTTATCTTCTTATAAAATACCTCTAAAATGTCTTGCATGCAAAGAAGACCTCTTGATAGTCTTCCCATTAGAGGAAAGTCTACTTTTTAAAGGTTGTTCATCTAAACATACTTTGTACATTGAAATTATGTAAAGGTTCTCTATCAATACAAGACCTCTTAAAGGCTTCTTAAAGTGCTTCTAAGCATTGAAGACCTCTAAAGGGTAATCTAATGTATTGAAACGGTCTTTTATGTAGAAAACCTCGAGATTCGTTTTTATATAAAAGAGCTCGTTATGTCCAGATCTTCGAGATCTTTTCTATACATAGGCTCTCTAAGACCATTGAATGATATTTGGTGTTTGGAAGATCACTTGAGAGTTAAATATGTTATTTTTCCTTTAAATGACCGGGTAGGCCTATAGAAGACCCTGCTAAACGTTTTATTTTTTATTTTTTTTTAATATATATTTTTTTTATTTTTTAAATATCCTTTAAAAAAATCCACGTTTATGGTCCTTTAAATAACCTTTAAAAATACTTAAAAAATCCACGTTTATGGTCCTTTAAATATCCTTTAAAAAATCTCTAAAAAAAACCACGTTTATGGTCCTTTGAATATCCTTTAAAAATTGTTTAAAAAATTCACATTTTTAGTCCTTTGAATATCCTTTAAAAATTGTTTAAAAAATCCAAAGCAAATGAAAAGTGACAGCTCTAAGCAACATGTGCGTGAAAATAAATTTAAATTTAAATTCTACTACTTTGATTTTTCGCTTACCAACACTGGTTTTCTCTCAGAGATAAATTTAAATTTAACTACATTTTCGTGAGAGTAAATTTAAATTTAACTCAAAAGTGCTTGTTGTGAAAGAAAATAAAAGTTAAAATTATGAAAATAATATAACAATAAAATGTTATATGAATTGTATTAAAAATTAATAATTATAAGAACTTTGGCCAGAACAAGAAAAGTGGCCAGACTTATATTTCCTATGGTCACTGTAGGATAAATGGGTTTGGACCCACTGTGGGAAAATGGTTAGGGATGCACCTTTATGGTGTTCATTTTCGGAAAGAGCATCGAAAATGCTCATAGATCACTTATTCTCATAATCCAAACCCATCTGGAATTCCCACTGTGGCCAGATTTATATTTCATATGGTCACTGTAGGAGAAATGGGTTTGGACCCACTGTGGGAAAATGGTTAGGGATGCGCCTTTATGGTGTCCATTTTCGGAAAGAGCATCGAAAATGCTCCTAGACCAATGATTCTCATAATCCAAACCCATCTGGAATTCCCACAGTGGCCAGATTTATATTTCATATGGTCACTGTAGGAGAAATGGGTTTGGACCCACTGTGGGAAAATGGTTAGGGATGCGCCTTTATGGTGTCCATTTTCGGAAAGAGCATCGAAAATGCTCCTAGACCAATGATTCTCATAATCCAAACCCATCTGGAATTCCCACAGTGGCCAGATTTATATTTCATATGGTCACTGTACGAGAAATGGGTTTGGACCCACTGTGGGAAAATGGTTAGGGATGCGCCTTTATGGTGTCCATTTTCGGAAAGAGCATCGAAAATGCTCCTAGACCAATGATTCTCATAATCCAAACCCATCTGGAATTCCCACAGTGGCCAGATTTATATTTCATATGGTCACTGTAGGGGAAATGGGTTTGGACCCACTGTGGGAAAATGGTTAGGGATGCGCCTTTATGGTGTCCATTTTCGGAAAGAGCATCGAAAATGCTCCTAGACCAATGATTCTCATAATCCAAACCCATCTGGAATTCCCACAGTGGCCAGATTTATATTTCATATGGTCACTGTAGGAGAAATGGGTTTGGACCCACTGTGGGAAAATGGTTAGGGATGCGCCTTTATGGTGTCCATTTTCGGAAAGAGCATCGAAAATGCTCCTAGACCAATGATTCTCATAATCCAAACCCATCTGGAATTCCCACAGTGGCCAGACTTATATTTCCTATGGTCACTGTAGGATAAATGGGTTTGGACCCACTGTGGGAAAATGGTTAGGGATGCACCTTTATGGTGTTCATTTTCGGAAAGAGCATCGAAAATGCTCATAGATCACTTATTCTCATAATCCAAACCCATCTGGAATTCCCACTGTGGCCAGATTTATATTTCATATGGTCACTGTAGGAGAAATGGGTTTGGACCCACTGTGGGAAAATGGTTAGGGATGCGCCTTTATGGTGTCCATTTTCGGAAAGAGCATCGAAAATGCTCCTAGACCACTTAATCTCATAATCCAAACCCATCTGGAATTCCCACAGTGGCCAGATTTATATTTCATATGGTCACTGTAGGAGAAATGGGTTTGGACCCACTGTGGGAAAATGGTTAGGGATGCACCTTTATGGTGTCCATTTTCGGAAAGAGCATCGAAAATGCTCCTAGACCAATGATTCTCATAATCCAAACCCATCTGGAATTCCCACAGTGGCCAGACTTATATTTCCTATGGTCACTGTAGGATAAATGGGTTTGGACCCACTGTGGGAAAATGGTTAGGGATGCACCTTTATGGTGTTCATTTTCGGAAAGAGCATCGAAAATGCTCATAGATCACTTATTCTCATAATCCAAACCCATCTGGAATTCCCACTGTGGCCAGATTTATATTTCATATGGTCACTGTAGGAGAAATGGGTTTGGACCCACTGTGGGAAAATGGTTAGGGATGCGCCTTTATGGTGTCCATTTTCGGAAAGAGCATCGAAAATGCTCCTAGACCAATGATTCTCATAATCCAAACCCATCTGGAATTCCCACAGTGGCCAGATTTATATTTCATATGGTCACTGTAGGAGAAATGGGTTTCGACCCACTGTGGGAAAATGGTTAGGGATGCGCCTTTATGGTGTCCATTTTCGGAAAGAGCATCGAAAATGCTCCTAGACCAATGATTCTCATAATCCAAACCCATCTGGAATTCCCACAGTGGCCAGATTTATATTTCATATGGTCACTGTAGGAGAAATGGGTTTGGACCCACTGTGGGAAAATGGTTAGGGATGCACCCTTATGGTGTCCATTTTCGGAAAGAGCATCGAAAATGCTCTTGACCACTTATTTTGAAAAACCAATCCTAAAAACCCCCATCCGACAATCTCACAGACGGTCGACTTAATTTTAATTTGATCACCATTTTATTGTTCTTATATTTTTAAGTCAGTTGCAATTTTTTTAATTGAAGTTCAACAAAAAATCTGCAATAGAATAATACGAAGGTATTATGTAATGGTTAAGCTATTTCTGCTACATTTTCATAATTAGCAGCTTTACCTAAAATTCGACTTGGTGTACACAACATCCCTAATATGGTAAAATTTGTTGTCGTCTGTAATATCCTAATTATCCAGGTACATCTAAAATATAAAAACGTTGTAAAAAAATTCAGAATGTTTAAATTTACAATAATAAACCACTTTACAAACATTTATTTGTTTATTTATTGTATTATTCATTTACATTTTCAACACACATAAAAGAAAATTGTAAATTGTCAATGTTGAAATACTTTTGCTTTAAAAAATACATATGTTTAAATTGCGCGGTGAATAACGTAATTTTTAAGATAAAAATTTTGATTATCATATGTAGTGTACATTCATTATTTTCAAATAAAAAATAATTTTTTTTGCAACAATAAATTAACATCGCAATTTATTAAATAATATATCCTCCTATCATTATAAAGAATGAAAAGTCACTATCAAATATTATTTATTTACTATATGTTAAAATTTTACTCATATTCTTCGATATTACCATACGTTACCACACGCAGCATTAGCAATTAGAAATTGCAACCCTGCTACATTTTTACAAAGCCGCCAAGTTGACAACATTGTGGCGGCAAAAAAGCAATAATTGTGATTGAATTGTGCTCAGTTGGCGCGGAAAAAACAACAAACAAACATCGTTTTTCAGACTAAAATTCTAGAATATTTTGATTTTTTTTCTGTCAAATTATGAAAATCCAAGAAATTAAAACGCTTTTTGCCCATATCCATATCAAAGGTTTGAGCATAAATAGAGAAGGTGTCCCATTGCCTATGGCCGCTGGTTTAGTTGGACAAAATGCTGCCCGAGAAGCTGCTGATATAGTTGTGAATTTGACGAGAAACAAGAAAATGCTGGACTTGCCTTACAGCTGGAGTTAATATCCGGTACGGGCAACACTGCAACTGCTCTAGCTATTGCCCAGGAATTGGACAATAAGGTAACATTCTGTCCCGGAGATGTTCAGCAGCAAAATAAGAAAGACCGTGTTTCTCATAGAAAATTTGAGAGGTTTAATTGGTTTTAATGGAATGTGTGAAATTAAGGAAGCCTGAGGGTGAATTTACCGAACTCACAGAAAAAATGGAGGTGGATGACATCTACATTTGGCCAATAGTTGTGCCGTCAAGCGTTA